CGCCACAACAGCTCAGGTGATATTGGTGAAATGTACATAGCACGAACTCTTGTTCTCTCAGATAATATGTGCACAATAGCACGATTATCGACCGTGTTTATCAGTAAATGAATGCTGACGACAATGGTACAATGGCTGTGTACTTTTTTTTCAGTGACAATCAGTTGGGTTCGATTAATCTGCAAACGGTCATCGCTTCACAAGAGCTACGCGAGCAAAGGCGCTTGTACTATGCGCGCCAGTAAGTTGCTTCTTCATTAATATGAGTACGAAAATGGTCTATATGCGCAGCAGTGATAGTACGATGATGAATTAAGCCTTTTTGCACCTTCTTTTTATAGCGCAGAGATCCCGAATGCCATCAGTAATTTTCAGCAAGAAATTAGAGACTTTCTGAATGAAGTGGTCAGCACCTTTCCAGTCAATGAGGACAAAGCTGAAAAGAGTAAGAAACCATTTTCAATGTTGAAAAAGGCATTACGGATAGTGAGAGGGACTAACACAAATTATATAACTTGCTATAGTTCTGTGGCTCATCGACGACGGTGCTTACAAACTCATGGAGTATTTGCGTTGCATCGATCAAAATATGTAAGCCACGTTTCTTTCTTCTTTTCCTTCAGGCTAATCAATCTTAATTACAAAGAACGATATTATTTTGAGTTGGTATAAACTAGTAACCATCACATCTATTTTCTTAACAAAAAGCATGGATATAGGAGGCGATGAAAAGACTTCTTTGGAAGAAGAAAGCGAGGCCGGAGTCATGAGGTACGATGTATGGTAAAAAAAAAGTTGGGATGATTCTTCTTTTTTTACTAAATTGTATAAACCAGTGAAGCAAACACTTTGCTAAAGGTGATTCAGTACGAGATTGACACCCTCTATCTTCGTTTGCAAAGGCTCAAATCTCAAAAGCAAGAATTGGAACGATTGACTGCTGAACAAACAGCTACAGAACAACCTACTACTGATCAATAGCCGTCAAGAATAATGAAGAGTGCACATAGTAGCTTTAAAACATGACTAGCTCATACTACATACTATCATCTATGATCACAGACAGCACCTCTACTACAGTACCCCAAAATTGTATATTGCTTTTACACATAAAATATTAAAGAGCTACTAAGTAAAATATCATATCAGCTAATAGCAACGAGCGATCTCCTAGTGATGGTGGCTGCTAGATTAAACTGATGGTGTTTGGCTTGATAATTGAGACGGCACTACTTTACTACTACGTGATTTGAATGATTAGCAGTCTTGCTGCTGTTGTTTCCATACACATACCCTGTCATCAATTACTGCCATATTATACAGCGAAAAGAAGAGGAACGGAAAAATGAAACAAAAACACATGTGCATACAAAAAGAGCCAGCTTTGTTATTATGTTAAATATAAAGATATATCCACAGCATGTCCCGATGCTGTAGATAGTTATGATATACGACGGTGATAGCACTGCTAGTGTAATTAAGGATATTGATGTTTTCGTCGGGCTTGCTAAATATATACGTAAATACGAACATAGCGATTCCATTTGACTCGAAAACGTTTTTGGAGCGAACAGACTATATGTGCTATTCCTAATATCATATGACATGTTTCCAAATCGGTTCGAATGCAATGGACGGGATATGTGCTTTTCATTATGTAACAGCGCAGTTGATGTTAGGCCAGAATATTGGTGTTGACATATGGCTTTATTGTCGTTGGCGTCGTCTTGGTTGATTAAAGTCATGAAACCCAAAGAAAGAACGGTGTTGCTGGAAACGTGATGCGGGTATGTGTATGAGAGTAGTGATCTTGGTCGATGCGTGATGGACTCCGTGTGTGTGCGTATGTCATATCAGAGTCCGTCCGTTCGTCAGTTGTTGGTTTTCGATATTTGGTGGGTAGAGGCCGGAAAGAGAGCTTGTTGATGGTGGAAGAGAACATTCGTTGTGTTATATTGTCGTCAAGAATTTCAAGATCGTGGAGCAGATTCAGAAGCAGCTTCAGTCGAAATTACTGTCGTCTGTCCAAAAAATATCGTCAAACTCTGTCAACAGTAAGCTGAAAACGCTGGTCGGGATGCTGAGTGTTGCTGAGAAAACGATACCGACATTTCGTACGGTCATTTTATTTGCGCCGGCGTTTTGTACGACTCGGATAAGATGAGCGCATAGTAACCGAAGGAGTGTGTAGTTTGCCAAAGGAAGCAAGGATATAATCCTTCCCAATTCGGTGACGCGTTCACGGCGATCAGGAAGATTGTCAACGTTTTCCATAATCTTTTTAAGCAAATCCGTCGTTAAAATGTTATCAGGTAGTTCTCGAAACCACATTTTAAGCAAGCTGGATACAACATGAGCATCGTAGGTTTCTTCGCCGGCTAGCAGATCGACATCCCCCTCTGCTCATCACCGTTTAAATATAAAGCATTGAGCAAGCAAGGAACGTATATGAGCACGATATTATATAGAAGATGTACATGATAATAAACTCAGCGCTAGCATGAATGAATGTTACCTTTGTTAAATTTGGCCTTGAGCGCTCGGATCTTGGCCGCACTTCCACTGCGACGGTAAATACCTTCTTCTTTGATCGAATCTTTGGCCTCTGAATAGTCGATGCAACGATAAACAATAGCGGGCAGCTCATATCTCTTTGAAATTTTGGCCACCTTGATCGCCTCTTCGAGTGGAGCGCCAAACACTTGATTGGGCTCTCGTGCATGATCCTCGGTCGGTGGCGCTGTATAAGAGACATCATTGTTTTTGTTTTTATCTTGTTGACTTTTAAGGCTGCTCGATGGTTTAAGACTGATTTCTTTTGTAACATTGCTGCTGGAACTTGAAAACACCTTTTTAAACCATGGTACGCGTTTACTACTTGGTGTCTTGCTGGAGGTGTCGTCTTCCTTACTGTTACTAGTAGTGAAAGGAGATGAAGGGCTGGCAGTACTGCTATTGGTCTTTTGTAATTTTTCAATGTAGCTCACGGAATGGCGTTTCAGCGTTGCTGCATGATTATTTGGCCCCGAAATGAACGTTGGAAGACTCGACCGTCGACGGTTTGCTCGTATGTTATCATTGTTGTTGTTGTTATTGTTGATAATGATGTTGCCGATATCTGCCTTTGTTGGTGAAACTTTTCGGTTACTCTTTTTCCGCCTGATTATACCGTTTGTAATATACTTGGATGCTGCGCTGTGGTCAATATGCTGCATCAAAGCTTCAATCCATGCATCGCGATTCTCATCCGTGTCTGCACAAAGTACATGTCGGGCAATGCCCCCTGGAGCCGATCTCTTGGGCTCAAGGATCAACAGAGCGTGTTGGAAAAGTGGCGCGTCTTTGCTGGCTACTTCTGAAGAAGAGGGCGGCGGCGATATTTGTCTTGCGATTCGTGCCTCAGTTAGATGGATCTTGCCAAAGCACTCACGACAAAATAAGATACCATCGGTATAAAATATAATCTGAATAACGCCTACCTTTTTATATCCAAGAGGGTGTTAAAGCATCTGTCCAATAATTGATTCCATATGCGAACAACAAAGTCAAGTTCTGATGATTCGTTGGCGATATGACTGGGGATTATCCACCGATACAAAGAACAAATTTCCTTAAACGTCGATACAAGGCAGTACTCATCAAACTGTCTGTAAGGATCATATGGTGCGAGTATTTCAAGAAAACTAGTAGGATTATCCACAATTTCTTTGTCTTGATCCTTTTACTGGGTGGTTGCTGATGATCTTCTCAACAATAGTTTGGCATGAATTCAAAATATTATCAATAGTAGAAGGTAAAGAATTAGTTAATCAATATACGTTGGAGTATCATATATGTGGATTTAAAATCAAAGAATGGTCGACGTCTACTTTAGAAAGAAGTACTCACTGTTCATGATCACAATTTCTTGTTACTTGACACACACGTCTTCAATGAATGCTTGTTAACCGCCTCACAAGTATAGATCCTTTATTATATGCCACTGCGAAGATAGAGAGTCACAATGTCCGATGACCTCACAACATTGATAGAACGCCTTACAGCTAACTCTTCCCATATTTTAAACATCATTAATTGTCTTGGAAGCTGTGGCAGCATGTCTCTAGTAAGTTACTACTATTTCATTATACTCTAGTACTATTTTTAATCATTTTCTATTATGTGTTATGCTTATCCCTTTTGATTTATACTATAAAACGATTTGTTCAATTTTGAATTTTTTTTCTATAGTATCATTCAATGAGAGCGGTTGAGTTTGACTGCAAAGGTTTTCTTTCGGTACCAGAGTTTGCGTTGAACGGTCAACACAAGGGACCTTGCAAGTGTGACAGCGTTGTTCTGGTCCTTTAATAGGGGTTTGTGAGCGAGTGCGTCGAGTATGATTTGCAACACATGGTCTGCCCAACGTTCTACATACTAGTGCCCGTTATCTGATAAGGCTTTGTAGCAAGGCTTCGTTGGGGCTCTACGACAAATCCTTTCGCTTGTTAGATTTCAAGAGAATAAGATAAGTACTAATAAAAGTTTAATTTTGTTCTGTTGATTATTTGATTTTGTTTCTACGTGATGATTCTCTACGGGAACTTTCTTAACGACCATTCACCCAATGGTATGGCGTTAACTCACTTCTGCGTCTTTTACCTTTTTCTCTTTGAGGGCGATTTGAGTTTGCTCTCGTCCGAGTGGTCGCTGTCATCTATATAGCTGAAACAATCTGTGAAGAATATTACAACTACAATAGCAGCCAAACAATGGTAGTACTAGCATCATCATATTTGATACCTCATCGAAAAGAACGTGAACTACATCTGAACAAGACAGAACTCAAACTAGTTACTAGCTGAGTCATGTTATTACACATACGGATGTCGGTATCAATAAAAATAGACCACATCTTGGAAGAGACGAAGTATAAAATTCGTTGACCTGAAAAGCTCAGTATCACGTACACATTATGCAGCTTTATACGCGTTATTCATTAGTTCGTCGCTCTGCACATAATAGAGTGCTCAACAGAACCGAGAACCAAGACTACTTTTTGATGTGCACAGTCCCTTTTGCTGATAGTAGTAGAATTAAGCAACTCAAATAGTAATATCTTGTATGCTGATTGTAGCTCAGAAATACGAAAACTTTGTACCACTGAATGTCTAGTCTTATGTTCATACAGTATGTGTTACAAAACAAACACATCCTTCGCTTTCTGTCAGAATTTTACATTGTTTAAAAAACCATCTGCATGAAGAATTTACCGAGTGCTATAGGGGCGGAGCATTGGAGAACCTGGATGATATTTCATCAAGTAACGATATACATGTCAATGCCGATGATTATGATCGGGATACAGAGATGGTACATTATAGGATCACTGATCGACTAGACAACTTGACTACAGCACATTACACATTATGATACTATAACTCTTCCAATGTGGGAAGAAGATCACCAGTAATTTGAGTTTTATTCAATTTAAAGTACGAGCTACACGTTGTTGTCTTTCGTTGCTTTTGACTACTTCTCGATACTTCTTGAAGGGGGTTCAAGAAGAGAGGTTGCAGAATTCGTATTACAACGGGGCTTGTGGGATTTCAAAAGTAAGTGAACATCACCCTTCACATATTGTAAAAATCTCAGTTTTATTGCACCATTAAATCATATAATACACGCTTCTAGTAATATACGTCATGCCAACCACTGCTGTCTAGTTGATCGATGATGATTTCATTTTCATATAACCTCAAGTATGTAGCGGTGTATAAGTGGTACCAAGAGTAAGGAGCAGGAGCGACCAGTCATATAAACAAAACTACCAACGTGCTTTACTATTGTAGTGACAATTCCCCGCTTACAATAAAGATTTCTTTCTTGCCACCATACTCGATTTCGTCCACATAAATTCGCGCACTCTTATTGGTTCCTTGCTAATGTCAACTTGGTATTTGCTTTTATCACATTAGCATTAGCTCTTATCACATTAGCATTAGCTTTTATCACATTAGCATTAGCTTTTGTCGCATTAGCATTAGCAAACCACGAATCACATAGCTAGAAACCGACACATCAATTAGTATAAATGGCCCCTTTCTTTCCATTCGATTTCAGTTCAGTTCATCTCTTATCTCTTTTTCTTAACTCTTCTTCTTAATAAAGAATCTCTTAAGTGGCTTTCGGACGTAAACATTCCCGAATCTTGAACTCCCACTTCTTCTTTCTACTTCTCATCAGATCAGCTTTGATAGCTCATTTAAGGCCCATAAATTGCCTTTTTCCTTTATTCTCACTTCATTTCCATTGTATCCAGAGTATAGCCGACGCTCTGCGATACTACACTATGTAGCAGGAATGCCGTTCCCGTGGCAACCAGCGCTTTCCCAGTTGAGTTAAGCATGAATTTCACTCCGCACGCGCGATGAGACTTTTTTGAGTGGAATCGTGCCACCACAACTCACATAAACGCGCCTCTTTTTTCCTTTTTCTTTTTCCCTAAAGTCCTAATGCCCGCCGAAGAAAAGAACAAAGTAATCTACATCTCGCATCCTTCTGGATCGTCTGCTGAAATTGCACTCTATGGTAATTCCGTCTTCTTCCCTCCTTGTTTTGAGAGACAGAAAGAGACTGAAACTTTGCTCTTTATCATGCTATCGGTTTAAAAAGGCGCAACGGTGACCAGCTGGAAAGTGGACGGTACTGAGCGACTTTTTGTAAGGTAACTAGAAGAAAAAAGAGGGGGAAGAACACAGTGTAAACAGCTTTCCCATTCTTGAAATGGAGACGGGGACGAAAAAGCTAATGGGGTAAGGGCCGTATGAAAACATAAACAGCAAGCAAGCTATTCGTGATGGCAGCAAGGCCATTCGTGGTGGCATTCCACTTGTGTTTCCTATCTTTGGCACCAAGGAAAACATCCAACTGCCCCAGCATGGTAACATTCACTGAATTATACTTTGTTAAATATGTGTATAAATGGAACTGAAATATGGGCTAAACAAACAAACAAAAACCTTAAAAAACACAATGTAGGTTTTGCTCGCAACAGTTATTGGGAGTATGTGGGCCTCATCAATGACAATGACGATGTCTCTGTGCGCTTCAGTAAGTCGTTGCTCGTGTGTCGATGCGGGGTGGACCAAGGATATGCTTCTTCAAATGATGCCTAACTCAGATACTATGTGTCTATTGAACACCAGCATTGAAGGACACGCAACTGGATCAAAAGCTACGAAATGGCTGGCCCCATTCGTTCCGCTTGACGTACACTGTCACGCTCACTGCAAAGTCGATCAAGACTGTTCTCGGGCTCAAGAACGAGGACGAGGATACATTTGAGTTCAACACATTGCTGCACACGTACTTCCATGCTCCTAACATTGCCGACGTGTCAGTGGATGGATTGAAGTCATTGAGCTTCATTGACAAGGTTGCCAATGGAGCCAAGGACTCTGAGAGCAGAGATCAAGTGACGGTATCTGCAGAAGTGGATCGTATCTACTGTAATGTACCCGACAAGCTCCAGGTGAACTTTGGCAAGGATTCCAGCATTGCGATCGAAAAGACTGGCTTGAAGGATACAGGTTTGTACTTTGTGACCCTACTTGTTTGTGTTTGACCCGCCAGCCACTACGTGTCATGGCCATTCTTTTTCGTTGGGGATAATGTAATAACGGTGTTTATTCTCGTCATTTAGTGGTGTGGAACCCCTGGACGGACAAGGCGAAAGCAATGGGCGACTTTGGCGACGATGAGTACCACAACATGGTTTGCGTCGAGGTCGGTTCAGTTGCCGACTGGGTGAAATTGGGCGGTGGCCAGTCATGGACTGGTGGCCAAACACTTACTGTCCTCTAGAGAGAGAGACACACACACACACACTTGCTCAAAGGAAGAAGAGACACAATAAAAGTGGTGTGCTTCTTGCTTTCTTCTGCTTATTGCTTTGCGTCTGTTCTGTGTGTGTTGATGCGTGATTGGATATTTTACTCTTGATTAAAAGTACGAATATGCAGGCTATACTCTCTTTTGCTGCTGCTTCAACAACCCCCATCCCCCACCACCACCCCCCCTGAACGCACATACTCTCTCTCTTTCTCTCTCAACCACACATAATGAAACGGCCTCTTTCTCTCTCTCTTTTCCTTCTTTTCTCCTTCTTTTTTCACTACTTTACACTACTTTTCTTTCTCTTTATAATATCACCACATGTCTAATATCAAAGAACAGGTTGAAACATTCAGCTCACGCGCTGAAGATATCGTCGACAAGATTGGCCAACCGTTGAAACCATACATTCCGGCCATTGGCCGTTTCTTGATCGTTGCCACCTTTTTGGAAGATGCCTTGCGAATTATTACTCAGTGGGCCGATCAAATCTCGTTCATGCAAGACTACCGTCACTTCCCAAAAGGACTCAGTCACCTTTTCTTAGGATTAAATGTCGCGGTATGTATTTGTATCAAGAGGAAATTGGACGTTGGAAGTGCGTGTGTGTTACACCAACCCAAGTGTCACTGCCGGCGCGCATGACGTGCCATATGCACTTAGAATCAACCATGCAACTAAACACTTTACAACGAAATCAATGGTCGTAATGATACTAGGTCATGCTGGCAGGCTCAGGAATGGTGATTGGAAAACGGTACCAGGACTATGCAGTCTATGGATTGTTGGGTGTCGTGGTGGCGCAAGCGCTGGGTTACGGATTGATCTTTGACCTCTCCTTTTTCTTGCGTAACCTATCTGTCATCGGTGGCCTTATCATGGTCTTGTCCGACTCGGTGGCCAAACAGCGACGCATGTTTGCTGCCCTGCCACAGCTTTCTGAGAGCAACCGTCGCACATATTTGCAACTGGCTGGACGTCTCCTGCTGATCTTTTTATTTATTGGATCCGCATTCCATGGCGAGTGGTCCCTTCCCCGCATCGCCACCTCGCTGTTTGGACTGACTGCGTGTGTCATGGTCGCTGTGGGATTCAAGGCCAAGTGGTCGGCCATGTTCTTGGTCCTGTTCTTGTCCGTCATGAACGTCCTGATCAACAACTTTTGGTCAGTCTCGCACAATCATTTCAAGCGCGACTTTCTCAAGTACGATTTCTTCCAGACATTATCGATTGTGGGTGGATTCTTGTTGCTTGTCAGTATGGGTCCGGGTGGTTATTCGATCGACGAAAAGAAAAAGGAGTTTTAGATGATCATCCGTTTGCTTTATTGATTTCTTTCCCCCTCCTTCACCTTATCCCGCATCCCATTGTTGTTGTTGTTTTATAATAGCTTTCATTAAATACACTACATATCTCATCACTAGCTGTTCCTTTTGCTAATATGTTTAGTTTGCATTTTGAGTGTGGATATGGTGAAATCACAATGGTATTTATTGTGTGACAGTAGAAGATACAGGCGATACACTGGAATATAGACTGAATATGTACGTGTAATTTTATCACAAGACTTGGGGAATACGTACCTCTCTAGACTGCAGATCATATATACAAACAATTACTACATAAATTAATATGAATAGTCATTCTCCAGACTACAGATCATACAAACGATTATACATAAATTAATATGGAAAGTGATTTTCCAAGATCGTTCTATGCGAGAACCGGTATGTCTGGGTAACCCAATTTGGTTCCAATGAATCGATGATTCTGCGCTACATGCTTGTTTCGATAATGAAGCTGGTCTATTATCTACGTCGGCTCTTCTGTATGATACGAACGGCATGCTAAGGTTGAAAATGGGCGGGTTGTTTTATTTTGGAATCAGGAGAAGTTGTATGTGCTTTATGAAACTTAAATTCGAGTATAGTGGTCCCCCGCTTTTTTCAACCCTACCCTACTTTTCCTTTCAAGACAAGCTATAGGGCTAAATTCTATACAAAGTGAGGAATGGCTGTGTTCTTTTTTTTTTTTTGCTGTATTATCAAAAAAAAGGCAACAATAGAAAAGCACAAGTCAACGAGACATGGGTCAAGTGTTTTAATACAATAATGCGAATCGCTTTTATTTATTAGAAAATGGCTTACCCTTTGGCATAGCCTGCATACACAGTTGGAAAATGTATGTTGAGTATGGCCTTGTGCGCGTGTCTGACGGAAAGCTTGTTATTAAGCAACCTTCTATCTGCGTCGTCTCAAACATGGCTGATATAAAACACTAAAAGCTCAGAGAGCTGCTGGAACTTTACTGCTACTCATATTATCTTTCCTAGCAATTGCATAAGTGCTGAAAAGTTGTATTAATCCATCTAATAAATTCTGGCTGGACCTGCAACATTGGATTTTGGCTTTGACCATATATGTAAGACCACACGAATCTCAGCCACCACAATTCAAGCGGCATTTGCCCAACTTCAAAAATGATTTTTTTATTGCTTGACAACCGCCAACACACAGAACACCATGCTTCGCACAGTGTAAGGCTTTGATCTCGGTTCGTTTTACTATCACTTGCGTACACTTAAGTAACTCATATATCCCTTTGGTATTTACAGAAAAGCAAAAAATGCACGCACAAAGCGTTTCCTGAAGAATCGCGAAGCGAAAGTCACCGAGAATCCTAAAACCGCCTTGATTGTGAAAGGATCTACAACGAGTCAGATCATTAACGATGCCCTGAAAGATCTCGTAAGAAATTAACCTTGCTCTTTCTCTATACTTTTTTTGTTACAAGCAATGCAAAGATTGGCAAGAAGAAAGGTAGCGATCTAAACTAATTGCTTTATTTTTACTTCTGCTTGTAGTACTCGTTGAAGCGTGCCAACGCTGTCTTGTTTGGCAAAAAGAATGAGTTGAAGCCATTTGAAGACGATTCGAAACTCGAATTCTTCTCACGTAAAAACGACGCTTCGCTCTTGGTGGTCGGCAGTCATTCGAAAAAGCGACCACACAATTTGACGTTTATCCGGATGTTTGATCACCAAATCTTGGACATGTATGAATTGGGCGTTGAACACTTGACGCCTCTCAGTGAAATCAAGGGACCCAAGTGCTCGCTTGGTTTGAAGCCATTGATGGTGTTTAACGGCGATAAATTCGAGTCGAACGAGACGTTCAAGAGCTTAAAGAACTATTTCTTGGATTTCTTCAATGGTGAACTCGTGGATGCGGTTGATTTGCAAGGTCTTGAGTATGTCATGAGCTTCACGGCTGCTCCCGAAACCGATAACAACAAAATCTTCGTACGGTCGTATCTGGTACAAATGAAAAAGAGCGGCACTCGGACGCCGCGTGTCGAGTTGGAAGAGATGGGTCCCATGATGGATTTGGTTGTAAGACGTACAGAGTTGCCCAAGAGTGATATTTGGAAGAAGGCTGTACGAGTACCCAAGGAATTGAAGGTAAAACAAAAGTTCAGGAATCTGGGGGAAACAGTGAGTAAAGTGTGTCGTGTAGAAGACTGACTCATAGTAATGCTATCTAGACAAAGAAGGAGAAGAACAAGGCCGTGGATGATATGGGTGATCAGTATGGCCGTGTCCATGTTGGCAAACAGAGCTTCGACAAGATTCAGACTCGTAAGATGAAGGGTCTGAAGCGACGACGAGATGACGATGAACAGGATGAACAGGGTGAACAGGGTGAAGAAGGTGGTGATGCTGTTGAGGATGAACCTATGGCAGAAGAAGCATAAAAAAAGAACTCTTGTTTTGCTGTTGTTTATCACTCTTTACGTTTACTTTTACTCACAATTTTCCTTTTATACATACGCACACGCTCCACTCACCCCTTGCTTACACATAGTTTATCTCGCATTTCATTCATCACAAAATTTGTATCATTTCCCAAGAAATCGTTACCATAATAGTCTTGCTTTTTTATTCTTCTATAAGCTTTTTTTTAAATCAATTGTTGTTTCTGGGTCCATTTGGTGGATTTGGTTGTGGTGATTATGGTGCTATGTACCCATGGAAGAAGTTAGTTATAATCAGCTCAAAGACATGTACTAGGCGTACTCCTGTTTTGTTTTCAGTTCTCGTGCCACAACAATGCCAAACATTATACGCAGTGCAATAAATAGATTCAGTCAGATCAAACATAATAATGTTTATAGGGGATATATATAGTATTTATTGCAGTGAAAAATATAGCCATTACAAAGAGAGAGAGAGAGAGAGTGAGTGACGAGATTAAGAGGAAGAAGGATTTGTATAAGAGATAATGATTCGTGTTATGTATGTGTATCAAGATATGATCAAGCTCGTATTATCGTTATTGCTGCTATGCGGTATCTGCGCTTACTCCTTCTATTACAAGTAGAAACTGGCCATCATGATCACAGTAAGCGTGAGTGCAGCTGACATGGTATTACCGGCCATTGTGATGCTAGGAGCAGAGCTTTGTGGTGTCTGGATGGCATTTTGTGTTTGGGAAGCGACATGGGAGGAAGCGCTACCACTAACGCTAGCAGTGGCGCTGGCAGTAGCACTGGCAGTGGCCGGCATTGACGTTGACATGACCGAAGAGTTGGCAGGACTCACACTGGTCGGCCAGTATTGTTCCACGCAGCCGGTGTAGCAGTCATCAGAGCCTTGGCAGTTTTGGATGCAGTTGTTGGCATCAGAAACTACATAAACAAGAGTCTCTTAATATATATCACTTATACAACCATCACCACTGCCCGAACCTCGATTGACTGACAACACTACCACCACTCGTTCATATTCTTACCACACTTTTGCAAACAAGTCGTATCGGCTTCACTGCAACTACAGGCGGCATTGGCCACAGTAGAAAGGAACGCTAGAAGCGACATGACGACAACGAGAAACATGGATTTCATCTTGGAGGACAGCAGTAATTGAGGAAAAGAGTAAATGTAAGAAAGAAGAAGAAAAGGTAAAGAATCGGATGGAAACTTGAATCTCTTTGTTTATATATCTTCTTCTTTTCTTTCTTTCATCACTTGCCTTTTCGGTCACTCGTACGAATATGTACGGCAAATAAACCCCCCCCCCCATGCCATCCGGACCTATGACGACGTCCATGGAGGATGACTATGACCACAAAGAACACATATATACGAGACTGGAAAAGAAGCAGTGCGGGCTATACGGAAAGAAAGTGAAATTTTGAGCACCTTTACATATACACCGCAACACGCGTGCGTTGCTTCTCCATTCTTGCATATGCATGATACTATCTATACAGCCCCTTTCTGTCCAGCGGTAGTGTACAACACATGGTGGTGGCAGCGGTCAATGTACCGATTTTCCTGAGCTGTCCATAGTACGCCACTATTTGAGCTGGCAACACGATACAGCGATTGGTCCTAGCTGCGTATAACCAAATAATGATAAATGAGGAGGTTCCCCGATCTTAGTTGCTATTACTATTGCTGATGTTCACAGCTAAGGTAAACAAATCTATCGACGATGACCGTTCGCGTGCGTAATTGTTTTGTATTCCTCGCTCTTCTAATCTTTTCCGCTGGTGTGTGCATACAGAAATCGATACTCAGCAGCATAAATCACCACTTGAAAGTACCTAAAAACAGTAGCATGTACAACATTCAAATCGCACTGCAGATGAGCCAGAGTGAAGGAGAGGAGTGGATGCATGAAGGTACGTGACTACGATATGTTACCATCCTTTTTCGAATTTCCTGATAGTAAGTGATAGCAGACGCAGTCATTGTTTCCTTCACCGTTTTCTCTTTCAACAAAATTCATGGATAAAAAAAATGGTGACGTTAGTAACAAATACAGCGATACTTCACATAGCATTACAGAGAAACTCATGGCCTCCTTAAGCATATCACATTCGAAAGTAGTGTGTAACAGATATACGCTAGTGTGCTGATATAATAAACGATGCATGACCCTTGGAAACGAAATTGAATTTTTGTCTTCCAAACATGGGTGGTGGAGTGTGTGTCTGGATAGGTGCTGCACCATGTTTATTAGTTTATATTTGCTTTCACACGTACATGATGCACCTCATCGTCGGCTTCATACTCGTCGAACGCTCTATCGGTATATGTGACACGCTTTCTCGGCGCCGTCTTCAGGACAAACATAATGAATACAAAACTAAAAATATAACAGCCACGTTTATTAAAATAAACAACAACTGTTCTCTTTGTATTGGGAGCATGTCGATGAAAGAGAGCATAAAAGTTTATATTTATACTTCATCCCATAATCAGCAGAGAAAAAGCATGACTACATATACGATTATACATAAATTCTCATCCTTTATCAACGCAACGCACGGTTTTCCATACGATTTATCGCTTTGTCAACGTTGACATGGGTACACGCAAATACATTCTTATAAATTCTTCATGTTTGACCTTCTCAATCTCTCTCATACTACGTAGTATGAGCGTAATTCACTACTGTAACGTCACAGTGGAAAAAAGGGGACGCACCTGCGAGGATAACAATGAAAAACGCGAAATGGAGAATAATGTACATGATTGGCGCGCTTGATTTCTCCGTTATTCATATTGCTAGTGTCAAGTTGTATGCTAAATAGACAGATTCGCATGCACTCGTTATATGGTAAGCTCCAGGGTAATCATTGCTACATATGATACATAGAAAACAGAATGACGTGGAGCGCGGTCAACTAAGGAGTCGCTGCATAGATTCTCAGTGAGTGACAAGATCCATGATGCTCAGAGTTGAAGTGACCGCCGTTACCACCACTACCACCTTGATGAACGAATGCAGAAATCCATGTACAGTGTTTTCTATAAGAAAAGTTTTCTACCACCCCCTTTCTGAAGAATACCGTTCCGCTGCTCACTTTTGATCTGTCTTTTTTTTAGTGGTGCCTGTGCTTCGGCTGGTTCTACAAAAACGGAAAGTTGAAGGTAGTGTAGCGTCAGCATTATCAAATATTTATAAACAAGAGTAGCACAATCCGACGTTGTGTTGGTCGCTAATTTTAACGGCTATGATCATTTTTCAATGATGATTTTATTTAAAAAAAGAAACGCCAAAGAAGAGACTTTGGTGGCGTGTACTGTACGAGTAAAGTTCGTGACGCACTGAGAGAATTTCAACGGTCGTCACTATATTCTAGAGGAAGTTTTTAGCCACACTCCAATCACAGATTTTGAGACATGTCCACTTCGTTCGACTGAAGTACATATTCATTCCATTACCCTAAAGCAAAGTGGTGACAGGTATAAAGTCGCTGGTGCTCTGGAGTAAATGCCATCCGACCACAGATGTGGGACGTTTCCAGCAACATATACCGATTACTGGGACACTGTCATTTCTTCGCGTATCCATGCGCGTATATAGCCCATTCTGCATAAACGACAGCGTCAGTTTCGGCTCGGTAGATGTATCTTCCATCGCTGTCTTTATCCTTGCTACGAGTAGCAAGTACTTTAGGGACCACTTGGATGCTAAAAAAGCGAGTTGCTAAAGACGCAGTGTATCTCTCGCTCTTTCTATTCAGGATAATCTTGAGCGATGCACAGCTAATCATGCCAATATTCTTTTTGCGAGGAGGGTCTGTCCCTGATCGCATAATTATCAACCGTAATCGCGTTGAAGGTCATGATAGGCTTTATGCTGACTAACCCAGTGTATCCTGAGAGTTTATTTAGACATCGTTTTCGCATGTCTAGGAAGCTATTTGATAACATACTCGAGGGAATAGTAGAAATGCATTGGTACTTTTCTCAAAAATACGATGCCGCGTTATAACCTGGTTTGACACCTGAACAAGAGGCAACTGCAGCAATTCGACAGCTTGCTTATCGTGTTTCGGCTGATGCAGTGGATGAGTATGTACAGTACGCTGCGGCGAAAGTAAGTACTGCTCTGAAATGCCTAGAGTATTTTTGTGAGGGCGTCATCGAGAACTACGGTGAAGAATACTTTCGAACTCCAACAAAAGAAGACTTCCAATCGTACTTTAAAGAATTGTGAAGGGCGCGCATTTCCCAGTATGATTGGGTCTCTCAACGGCTTGCACTGGGAATGGAAGAACTGTCCCTTTGGCTAAAAGGGACAATATCAAGGTCGCAATGATCATTTTGGAAATCGTGACCGATTATGAAACATGAATATGGCATGCACATTTTGGCCTTCCTGGATCCTTGTACGACATCAATGTTCTTCACCCTTCCCTTTATTCACGTACACTGCCTTTGATCTTACGCCCCCAATTGAGTTCACTGTGAATGGTCATGAATATGATAAAGAGTGGTCTTTGGTTGATTGCATTTATCCACCACGGGCAATGTACATCAATACAGTTCCATACCCGGTCGAGCAAAAGAAGAAGGTAACGATGAACCGTTAAACTGGATTTACTTTTTACTCATCTTATATACAGCTTTTTGCTAGAATGCAAGAAGCTTGGCGTAAGGATGTTGAACGTTCGTATAAAATTTTACAAGCAAGATTTGCAGTGATTTGACATCCAGCAAAGCTTTGGGATCTCAACACGCTGGCCATTATGCTGAAGGCATGTATGTATTATCATGCGTTATACGATACTTGAGAGTAACCGCGAAGACCCAGATGAAGATGAAAGACATGAGAAAGTGAGATGTGAAGGGCCTGTACCACCATTAGTAGTTGAGAGAAGCCTCAAAACGATGAGGAAATTCTTCAACGCTACAGTGAGATCAGTGATGGAAACTGTTCACCATCGATTGAAAAAGATCTCATTGAGCATTTATGGGCTCATCGTGGCAACAGTGTTTAACAAAGTCTTTTTCTTTCTATAAATAACATTATGAAGAAACCGTAATTAGACTTTAAGCAAATGACTTTTTTTATAGAATAAACGTTTATTAGATAGCTTACGCTTCTGCTTTTTCCAGTCTCTCAAGTGCCTGTCTCTTGCGTTTCATAAAATAAGCACGAGAGAGCTCATCCATGCCGTCCAAACTCATACTCATCAATTGATAGTCGGCGAGCTCTCGTTCTAACTCGAATCTTTCTCTGTCGATTCGGCATTGCTCTCGTTGGATAGCCAAGGCTTCGGCGTAGCTTTCTTGGCGTTTACGTTTGAAAGAAGCCTCTTGCTCTTGCTTCTTGGCTTGCTTGCGACCAATTGGACGGGCTTGACCGCCTTCGGCAGGGACACTGTTACCAGTAGACTTCTCTACGTGCCGGACCAGGAACTTTGGTTGATTACGAAGGAGCTTGTAGCAATGGTCAAGCTTGAAGCGATCCTTCTTCGTTGGCGATGTTTGCATAAATAGGTCATTTGCAAGGTCGAGCTATCACAATGTCAATCAATGTAAATATTTGTAATTGTGGTGGTGCTGTGTAGGATAATTGTTTATTTACCAGTGACAATTCATTCTGACCATTTCCGTGTCGTGCTGTGACCTGCGCTAAACAGCCATCCAAGCGAGTTACTTCTCTTTGAATGTCATCCCATCTGCACGACATAGAACCAGGGGTACTTCGGCGGGTTATGTCGCCTCCTTTCGATATGAACTCATCATAAACGTCCTTCCAGAAACCTGGGTCATGGGATTCGGGACCGCTACGCGGATCCGTGCCTTGTGCACTGTTTATAGTCTTATCAACCCAAGCCTTGCACAACAACGTATCTTCTTCAATAGTCCAACCAAGGCCTCTAGTAGAGTAAGTAGTGGGAGTGTCAACGGTAGTACTGTCATCGGTAATGGGATTGTTGATGTCAGACATTTTGTTCAAGATTTCGTTTTAGTTTTTATAGGAAGAAAAACTTTGAAACGCGATCAGCATTGGGGAATAGAGTTTTCAAATTCGGAATTTGGGCACAACCGCCGGAGAGGCTCTTTACTACTGCATTTTCGAAGTACGCTGGATGTTACAATTGTAAAAGGAATCGATTTCGTGATCGTTTGTCATATTTTTCTTTTCATGAACAAGCCATAAGAGTAGCAGCGAGGCATCAAATAATCGTTTCCTCATTGCTGTGTACTGTATCAGTAAGAACGAGGTATCCGAAGGGTGATTCCTCGTTGATACCAACATGAAATGATGCTGAATTCTCGTTTACGTGGGAGCCGATCAATTTGCCGTGCCAGTATGTGAGATTAACGCAAATAACAGCACTTTTCTTATCGTGCACAGCATAAAACTAGCCAGAAACCTCAGGTTTATTATCATATTGCTTTGTATACTGATAAATAAACCATAATCGATCAAGCGACGATAAAACGACATGTTCCCAGTGTACTGAATTTCGACAAGGACAGGCGGCAGAGAGCTTGTGTTTTTTGCTTTGGATGCCGTGTACAGAACATCTGACTTGGTGGAATTTATCCACTCCGTGGGACAATGTATACTTCAAGAACCCACTGTTCGCCTGGCGTATTCATCATTATGCCTACCGGATATTCATGCCCACAAGTACACGCAAATGATCCTGATTGGTCTAGATGCGCTGTAATCCCTCTCTTCTTCGATTTGAGGGCTTGCCAAGTTTCACCTTCGTCAAATTTCCTGGTAGTAATAGAAAAGTAGTATAGACGCAATGCACGCTTCTCTTGCATGTCCTAAAAGATCATTTACCGAGCCCTCATAGTTTATGACTTACTCAGGCTTGACCCACGGACGGTCGACTTCCTCTTGGCCTTCATAGGCGACTTCTTTTGGGTCCTTTGTCTTCGCAAAACGACGTAGTGACAAATTTTCATCCAGCTATGATCTTGGGACCAGACTAAAACAAATGCTCGACATGTTTAACTCCTTAATATAGATAAGTGTTTTACAGCACATAACTAGAAACATACCGCATATATGCACGCAGGACACGCGTCATCTAGGTCACACAGATCTCGATGCTTTTCAAGATTGATCATTAATCTCCCAATCTATGGGAGAGCTTCAGTCAGTCGTTGCTTGAAGGATGCAGGTATTGGAAGCTAAAGGATTAAGAATGTAATCATAGTTAATGCATTTTGTATTTTATCTTTCCATCTATTAAGCCGTTTATACCTTGAAGTGGTATTCTGCTCGAGCCAATTCAGCGATTGCGTGGATTGAGGTACGGCAAATAAAGTGCATGTTATGGAAGCTTCGCGTTTGCTCAGTACGGATAGCGTGCTGCGGATCGGATGATGTTGAAGGGAAAAGGTGACGACGCATCATGACAAGTGGCAGCGAATGTTCGGGGCACTTTTTGCACTAAGTGATCTTGTCAGGCGAATCTTTATTACATATGTTGATGATGTGTCGGTCAGCTTGCTTAGACCTTTCTTTCTTCGTTTTTCTTCTTTAAACTGGCGAACTGCTTTTCTTCGTACCCCACTTGTAAACAGTGGTGATATAGGTCGTCTTCTTTTCTTTGCACCCGCAGGTCAACAAAACATCGTCAGTAGCCTCAAGTGACTGAGGTACAGGGACCTGGACACCATAGCCCTGAATGTATGCCTTAGTGAGAAAAGGCAAAAGATCGGCCTATTTTTTGGCACGTTCGTCTGTTCTCTTCCTTATACGCACGACGAAAGGATTCTCATCGACATTGACCCATTCCTTTTGCTGTGATGTCGGATGGTGTAACCTGAGCCCGCGAATTGGAAGCATTACGTTCAATCAAAGAGGTCGTGTGTGTGTAAGCTTCGTCTTTTCATAGTTGTAGACTACTCCAAAAGTTCTTTTGCGTTGTTCACCGAGTTCAGCACTTGTTTGATAAAGCAGATGGGTAATGAACTACTGGTGGTAAAAGCTACAAATAGCAAGCGTGCACAGGTGCACAATGTAAATCCCGCACGGTGGCGGTGGCGGTTGCGGTTGCGGTTGCTTGTCGAGCTGTTCCTCGACTATCAAAGCCGGCAGCTGGGTATGACTAGGGCCATACGCGTATAAATAGAAAAACACCAAAATCTCTGGTGGTCGGGTATGTTGCTAATAGACAAGAAACGCATCCAATCACAATTTGACGTTTATTGTTTGCCCTCCTTTAGATTTTTTATTGTCAGCTACACGGACAATGGGAGGTCGGGGAACACAAGACCAAACGATAGACATGGTGCCTGTGCTTATTGGGTTAGAGTGTTACAAAGTAGCAAAACTGACAGGTATGATAGTGCGCTAGTAACATCATCGAAAGCCCATAGAAAGAATAGTATGCTCGATCGTTGCATTGGTCCGCTATTGCTGAACAAGAACAACAGCTCTTTTTTAGCGATCCAAGAAGATCACCAAGAGGACCTAAAACCTGTCACGGTCCGCAACAACAGCAACGACTATCATAGTATCGTTTACTCCATACCCTCTCTCTCTCTCTCTCTTTTCTCCATCTACCTTTCACACTCGTTTCTCTTCTATCAACATATAGTCTCGCCTTCCTTTGCGAACACTTTACGAATCAAAGCAATATCGACCACCGCCTGTATATATAACCCAACCGTGTCACTCATCCACGCCCACCGCTCGTTTTTGCTTTTTTTTCTTGGGTTTTTAAGATCTCAAGACAATATATACACCTCTCGAATTCTGAATGGCAAGTGCATATACGCAAAAGAAGTGTTCTTCATTTTCATGCGTACGCGACTAATTGTCGATTAGATCGACATTGACCATTACAAAAACTAATCTGTTTGCGTTGACATTACAATAAACAGTGCTGGAGCTGCTGTTCTTCTTCTGGTCCCAAATGGAAACGAGAAATTGTTCGAGACCACAAGTTCGATTATGTCGACTTGGACGAATTTTATGATCGGTCCTGTTTTGCACGTCTAGGCTATCTATGGGTGTATATCATGATACTCAAGTCCACAGCCGTCTACCTGGCCGATTTATGGACTGCAAGTAAGGAAATGGCTATACGTCATGTTCATATGCCACAAAACACAGACTGATAAGAAGAAACTCATCTAAATCGACGTTAGTCTCACTTTTGGCGCTGGACAACCAAATGTATGCCGAGCCTGTCATTCCGACCGAAACGTCGAAATGGATCTTTTTAGCCTCGATCATTGTCTCGTATCTGCTATTGTTCTGGGACATGGTCAAAACCCGCAAAATCATCCGATCGCGCAACATATCCTTTGCATTCACATCGATCATTGCAAGTCGATACTACAGTATTCGAAAGGGATACAAATACTACTGCCTCTTCCGTAAGATCGACAAACAGCTCGACCCAATCCCCTTTTTCGTGTTTTTCACACTGAAAGGCTGGAAACGTTTGTTTTTGACAGAATCGCCACGTCAGGTGATCAACATTGTCACATTGGTCGCGCTGGTACCAAAATGGATCCAGATTGAAAAGGGTGGCCAAGTCTTGCTGGATAATGAAGCGCTGGGCAAAGACTTGGTGCAGAAAATCATGACGGGGACCATGGCATTTTCGGTCGTTATCTTTGGCATTTCGTTCTTGTTGGTGTGTCTCGCGTTCATCATGTATGTTCCGCTCCTGTGCCATATTCAGGGCAACTTGAAAGAATATTGCTGTCATAAAGTAGACAAGAGGTAATTAGCGAACACCCGGACTTGTAGGAACGAAGAGAAAAATATGCGCTGACGAATAGGAACTAGGATTGCCGAGTTGCTTCGCCGACAAGCTCGTAAACGCACTGCAAAGAATCAACAACAGCAGGCTGGAAGATGGGACGCTCATCACCAACCGCCAACAATAACGTCAAACGCAGTAGAAGCGAAAAACATGATTTATAGCCAACCTGAATACGCCCAATCCGATCAGCTGGGACTGATTGCGCATGCCCAGGTCCAACCCTACTCGCCAACTCCATCGTCAACCTATTCTTCACCCTACTATTATCACCATAACAACAACAACAACAACTATTTCTGATAATCAATGTAAATTATAGCATATCTCTTTTCCCTTTCCTCCCTTCCTCGCTCTTGCCTCTGTTGATTGCTGGTTACCAAAACGCAGGGCAACTTTTTACTAACAACAACTCCATCACCACCATCATCAATTTGTTCATTTCCACCCTTGATGTTATGATAAACGATCTTGCTTTACTGTTCTGATATGTATATCCCAATATTATGCATGCATTATACACTGATGGACCAATTAACGCGTATAACCAGTTTTATACGGGTTCGATATATAATGTACACACACACGTACGACCGCTGCTGCTATTCTTACATATGACAGCTATGATACACTATAAGCTCAGCCTCGTGTCTGTCCTTTACTTCTGCTTATTATCTGCGCATACGATAGTGTTTTATCACTCAGCCTTGTCAATTTTTGTACATGGCTGATGCAGTAGGTATATGTACATAGTACATAGTATGCAGGACACGAGGTGCCGAAACCATAATTCAGTACATACAGAAAAGTAATAACACGGAGCGGACGCCGGTGGTCGGGGGGTTTGAAATGAATCCAACAGAATCGAAAATGTAAGATAATCATTGGGTCGTTTTCATGTGTGCTCCAGCTTTCTTTCCCCAGCCTCTTCACGAACCTCACTATCTTCCTTGGCGATAATATACAAGACGGATCTTTCCATCATGTATGTTACAAAATGATGAGCTTGAGTAAGAATAGTAACAATAAGGAAGCAGTAGAAACAATACTGCTGAGCAGATGAACGGGCTTGGCGAAAACAAGTATTCATGGTATCATAATGAATGAGAGAGAGAGAGTAAATTGTAAGCGATGGAGTAGGGGAGGAGAAGAGGAAGCGGGTCATTATGATATCATTCCCTCAGTTCAATCCTAGTGAATGCTATGTACTATGTACTATATCATCACTGCTGCTACCCCATGCCATCTTCTCGCTATGATATCCATCCATCCAAAAGAATGACAACTAGATAAACTCTCCCCATTTATTATTCTAAACAGCCTATTTTCTGTAGCTAGAGCTATCTATTATCCCTAATAGCAATATAGGCTCGTGTCTTTCTTTTTAAATGGATTTGATAAAAATTATAAAGTTTGTTCTGAATTACATCATTGCAACTAGATCGAGCGTGCAACAACAATTATCACGGCACGTTTTCATGTAAGGATGGTCGTTTTCTACAGCACACTACAGTTCCCTGGCTCCGTGAACAACTTTTTCCTTTGAATTTTGACCACTTTAAGCAACTTGACACGATTTTTACAGGACGTGTTGATGCTTTGATTGTATATATCGAGATTGGCTAGCGTACAGATAAGACGCACAGGGTCTAGAGCAGCAACAGCTTCGCTTAATAATCAGGATCTCACTGTGGAGCAGTAATGACTAGTACATATAGTATCTTGTACACTTGTTGTACAACAAAAAGAAACATATCATAGTATAACGGTCGATTTCTCTCTTTCTCTCTCTCTCTCTCTCTCTCTCTCCTTCTCAGTTTCTAAATGCTACTGCTATGATATTTTGTACATCTTTTCCCCTGCTCCTGCTTCTCGTAATGTTCTTTAATATTCCAGATCTTGAATAAACCTGCTGTCACGTATATATTTCTTCCGGATTGAATACTTGCTCTAGGAGTAACAATGCGACTACACCCTATTGTTACTTGAACGCGTCGGTACGCTCTTTTGAAGTTGTAAATGGCTTACTTAAATTGTATAACAAAGAAACGGATATCGGTTAGAAATGACTCATACGCTCATCCAGTGGAGCTTTTGAAAAAGAAAACATTATTGAGCATCGGCTAATATCGGCCCGAAAGTCTCGACGCATCCACGTGCAATGCATGTATAGGAAAGGGGAAATGACGTCTTTAACTGGCTCTAGGTTCCTTACCGATGAACATGAATAATGCAACCACTGCGTGCCCTTGGTAATGATAATGGTCTTTTTGTTTCAGGAGTTGCTGCTCTTCTTAAAGGCCTCCCACGGACTGTAATCGCGCGAACATAGTTTGTGATCAGACCTGAAAAAGACAACCACCACCTTATCACTACAAATGAAGAATAAATTCTTTCCTCCCCGTTCTCCCTCCCTTCTACATACCGTGCTCCTTCTCCATACACCCCCTGTGATTTCTGTCTTCCCTAAAAAAACACACATACACATATTTTCGCACACGAAAACCATATCGGGTGTTTCCTAGTTTCCGGTCCTTCTGATCACAAATGAAAAAGGAGAAGCCCTAATTCTTCTACTCTGTCACTACAAAGATGCAAAGGGCGTGGGTGATGGGAATTCTAGCTGTGTTACCAACAACATTGCCAAACAATATGGAAACATTGTACACTTTCTATTTCAAAACATTAAAGAAAAAGCATAACAGAATATCATAATAATAGAATGGCAATTTCACTAACCGGTCTCAATTACAGCCCTAATAAAAGAACCCACAACATTGGTAAGTTTTTGGAAGTAAAAAAATAAACTTTTAAAAAACAAAGTTCATGTGACCAGATTGAGCTGCAGCAGCACTTGTCGTTTTTGGGCAAAAGCTTGCGTGTATACTATATAGAGGATGATTATGGCACACATTGGCGTCAAGGGGAACCACTTTACACATACATTCACAGTGAGAATGGAAGGGGTTGCTGTGATACGTAAATCGGCGGATATGGTGGGAAAAAACTAATTTACGATGATAACCAGGACGTATCATCATCAATGACAAGCAACCGTTAATCTACAGAAAACAAAAATGCTTTGTTCTTACAAACCTTGTTGCTGTAGAGACACTGTGTGTGTTACATGTTCCCGGAACCCTCGCCTGCTGCAAGTTCCCGGTTTAATAAAACGTGTCGTCATAAACAATCATGCACTTTATGCTGTATGTCTTCCTTGGCAACAGGCCACCTTGTTGTTTCCTTTTCGAAAAAAAGGCGATGTGGGTATCCCAAGGTGCTATTACTAATGTAATGTGTGCTCTAGATGCTCTTTACTGGAAATACCATCCTTGCTAAACTCTAAAATATATTTGATCCAGGAGAAACAGTGAGAGAAAGAGAGAGACTGCTTAACTTTGGTCATCTTCGCGCTAAACAGTGTTATAAATCAGGCTGGGGTACCGAACAAAGGGGGGGAGGGGTGGACAGAAGACACAGTAGTGGTAGTAGCAATAGTAAGAATGACAAAAACAGTGATGGATGCACCTAAATTGCGATCAACATCATTTAAAGATGAGACAAGAAAGTTTCGTAGAATATGCACATGTAATGATACGACGGTCGCGCAATAGTAGTACGAATAGAACACTAGGTACACCCGCTAAAACTGTAAGAGATAAAACAGCCTGATACACGGTCTTATTGCTTACTAACTGCTGTCGTTTATTAGTCCTTTATTTATAAGCAACAACGTGGCAACACAACGACTACGAACAGATACTTCTGCTGCAGCATAATAGATGCACGTACGTATGTATGTATGTATGTACGTCCGTACGTACGCACACGTAACATTATTCCCTTTTGGAAACACATATTTGCATATCATTTTGTATCGCGATAAAGTTTCTCAAACTTAAGGGACGCGCGAGTCCTAACAAAAATAATAGGGTGTGGCAATATTAACCAGCAGATTGCTCCTTTCAAAGAGCAAAAAAAGTGTGATGAAAGAGTAAATTGAAAGAGCAGAAGCACTCCTAACCAGAAAGGCAAGGGATTCGTTTTTTTGACTCGCATCATCAGAAGCACCTTGTCAAAAAAAAAATTCTAGAGCTGTTGCTGCTACACTACCACTGAGAGTTAATGTATGACGAAGGGCCAAGAAGTGTACCAAATCTTTTTTTTTCGGAAAGGGCAGTGATTCGCCGAGCCGACACACAGGCACACAACAGCAACAACAGTTGTGTGTCGTACTTTTAAATAAATAAAAAGAAGATCGCCTAAATTTAAACCATGCAAAAGATCATTGTGCATATAAGAAAATGTATTTTTGGATTGAAGGTGGGAAGCAGAGGGTGGGGTTGGTGGGTGGGGGGGAGGAAGGACGACTGTGGTTTATCCAAACATGCAGGTCAGTGCATCTTTTCAAACTATTCGGAAACCTAAAATAAGAAAACTCGGTTACAGGCAACATTTACTTCTTGGCGAAGAACGGACACATTTGTTTGACAAGCCCTTCATTGTACATTTACGGTAAATGGCTGAAAACGACTGATTGTGTACCGGCCAAGCAGTAGAACGTTTCACCATTCGCCACATGCAACGTATGACAAAAAGAGCGAGAAAAAGAGACACCCGCCGAGGCTTGCTTCAGCCAATGTGATGCCTTTGGTCGCTGCTGACTTGTATGCAAGCAACTATCAATAACTGGACGTCCGCTTGGCAATAAAGAAGCGCAGCAGTAAGTGAATCAAACAATAACAATAGCAATGGTAGTGGTAGCAGCATTGCTATTGACATTTTTGCATTGCTTAGATACTTGCATCATAGAACCGTTATATTTTTAGAAAAGCTTAGACGTCGCGCAGAAATATCCTGCCCGTCATCTTTTCAGTCTTTAAACACACTCACTTTTTGTTCAATTGTTAAAACTACTGGTAGTGACGCCAATAAGAGATCCATGTCTCTGTTTTTCTGTGAGTTTATCTTTTGTCTGTTCCCCATATTTTTTTCTAGATACCAAAGGGAGCATAGGTACCGCCGGGTGTCCAGATAAGGAAAGTGAAGGGAGCTACAAGGGAATAATAGCAGGAGGCGTTCAGGTGTGGGGGGGGGACAGGGAGGAGAGAAAAGAGAGAGGAGAAAGCTTAGAAATAGAAGGAAGGAAGGTGGGGGATGATGATGATGATGTGGGGCGCTTCTACTTGTGTCACATGAGGCAATGCGCGGTGTAATACTCTCTACCCAAACTGCTGCTACATAAACTCACGCACATAGTACATGCTGCACTAACACACATCTACAAAACACACACACACACACATCATACCCTAAAAATAAATCCAGTTGCATATTGCACTGCTGGCCCAAAAATGCATATAAAAGAAGCTCAATTTCCTTTGTCTTTCGTCGATCTTGGCCCCTTCTATTTTACGCGCTTTTTCGGCTTTATTTTTATTACTTGTTCTTCTTCTTTCTACATTTGACATGCAAACCTACTACGAAGTATCAGATTACCCTTTCTACCCTACTCCTGCTGACGATGAAAACAACATGCTTATGCAGCAGCTACAACAGCAGCAATCATTCATATTGCCCGATCAGGCAATCGATTACTTTTCATCACCGCCAGCGATAGTGACATCCCCGGTCGTCGTCGATGATGACACCATCACCACTTGTTCTTCTTCTTTTATGCAGCAGCAGCAACAACAACAACAACAACAATGCTATTATCCAAGCCCCACTTATTCCGTTTCTCCAACTGATTCCACCTTTATGTCAGCATCTTCCAGCGATGGCACCTTTGGTTTCCTGGAAGATCCCTTGTATATGCCCACAACTACTACTGCAGCAATGGCTGATCACCACAGCAGCAATATGACTACTACATCGTCTATTACCTCTTCTACTACGACCCCTATCGACGATTTTTCATTTACATTTGAAGATATCACTACTACTATTACTGCTGCTACACCAGCCGCAACAGCAGCAGTACCAGCAGCCAATGTACCATTGCTCCAAACGCCGCCCCCAGCGCCAGCATGCTATCAGCAGCAGCCATCACCACGACAACAACGAACACGGAAACCTAGCAACAAGGTTACCAAGAAACAACGCAGCAGCAAAAAGACTACCACTGCCACAAAAGTTTCACAACAACAACAACAACAACAAAGCAAGACTGCCTTGTCCAAAACTTGCTCAGTATCATCATCATCATCATCATGTAGTAACATGTACAACTGCCAATTTCCTGGCTGTGGCAAGTCCTTCACTCGTCCATACAACCTTACATCACATATGCGCACCCACACATCTGAACGGCCTTATGCGTGTCAACATTGCGGTCGACGATTTGCACGACAACACGATCGAAACCGCCACGAGAAACTGCATTGGAACATCAAACCTTATGTCTGCTCCAACTGTAGCAAACCTTTTGCTCGCATGGATGCATTGAATCGCCATCTCAAGGTTGAAAATGGCTGCGGCTCAATTGTGGCGGCCATTGCTGCGGCAGCTGCAGCTGCAGCCCGTGCTAGTAGTAGTAGTAGTAGTAATACTACTAGTGCCACCACCACAAACAACACGGCATCGCCATCATCATCATCTTTGGCAACACCACCTTCTTCATACTCTACAACATGGACTTTACAACATGACGAACAACAGCAACACTATTTCCCTCCTCATCTTTCTCATTATCAACATCAACATTACCATCCTACTACTACTACAGCTCTTCTCCTTTAACGGATGATATTCCTTAAGATTATACATTTCAACAGCGAAACAAAGAAGCTGCCTATTTCTTCTTTTGCTTATATACTCTTCTTCTTTCTTCCTCTATAACATATTTTCAACCGCTCCTTTACTATCTTTTTTTTGTAGCTGTATATTCTTTCGTCTTCTTCTTTACTAGTGTACATATTATCATTTTATTCCTTCTTCTTTTACCTTACGTATGAAAAAAACCAACAGTTCTCTCTTAAAAATCGCACAACACACATGAAAAAAAAACAAGTTGTTTTCCCTCTCTCTCTCTCTCTCTCTCTCTCTCTCTCTCTCTGTCTTTATTTCTTTCTTATAACCCTCTTTTATACATATACAAATCAAAATTGCTTTTTCTTTGAAGTGTAAAACAATTCCATGGCTTCTTGAACAATAAAAAAAAGAATAAACATATTCTCAAAGCACGAGCAACATTGCAATTCTATACGTTTATTATATATTACAAGGCATATTTCCTAAATGTTCTTTACTATTTTCGCCAAGCCGGGGCATGCTTTTCCTATCTAATGTGTAAGTACAAGTTTCGATCTGCATGGTTCGGAAATGTTAATAGCGCGCACCAGCACACAGCTCATCAGCAGGACTCACTCGTTGTTCTTTTCATCTTCCTTACATCATACTACAGCTCTAGCCTGTAGAAGAAAATAACCATGCATTAGAGTGGGACCCGCTCAAATTATTTCCCACTCACTAGAGGTTGAGCCGTCTTTCCTTGGTGCATTTATATATGTACATGCTCGGTGACACCAAAGACGGCTAATGTGATATACCATCGACTCTATGTTCTGGAGGATATGTCAATATAGTAGGCAAACTTATTGATCAGAAAGCAAGTGGATTTACATTTTCCAGATACAGTAATCAAAGCATAAGAACAATAAACCCATTGAAACAAACGTGCTGCTGCGGTCGAAATCGATCTGATACAGCGGGAGTGCTTGTCATTGGCTGATTTTCCCTTTCCCTTTGAAATTTATAAAAGCTTTCTCTTGGGCCGAAACCATACATGAGTATCACTTTTGATTCGCTGTGTATGCTATTGGTACAAATGAAATTCGGCAGGAAGTTACCGTAAAATACAGCCAATGAGATTCATTCTGCTTGAACCAATCTGCATGGCAACCCCCCTCCTCCTCCGTGCTTGTCGGAGACAAAATAAATTTAGTGGCTTGGGGATAATGAATTTGTGTGTGTGTGTGTGTGTATGTTGTATGTGGGGAGTCAGTAATTTCGGCTGGGGGCAAAGCCAGGTTTTAGTGCGTGGCCTTTCTCTCTCTGTCCTCTTGTCTTTCTTCTTTTTGTTTCCAACAACTGCCCACTATAACTCGTTGAAAACTCTGAACATGTTCCTATAATCTCTTCCTAATTCCATCTTGACCATTTTGCCTGTGCTTTCTCTCTCTCTCTCTCTCTCTCTTTCTTCTTCTTTTTTCTCTTGCCCATTCCACGTTCTGCATTTGCAACACTCAGCGTCACTGTTCCCCAACCTCCCCCACAACTGTACATAACTCCATTTATTTCTTCCTTCTTTATATTAGCACATTGCACCCTCCACTCCTATACACAACCACACACAGCTCTCTCATATATATATATACACATACACCACATTATAAAAACGCACTTCAAAAAAAACCGCCCTTTAACAACTGCAATTAGCAACCTACATTTTAACATAAATACCTTTCTATATAAAGCCCTTCTACCCCGCACTTTATAATTTGCCACAAACAACGACCAAAGAACAAAAAAAAAAAATCAAGAACAAACAAACATGGCCCAAACTTTGCAGAACAAGCAGCAGCAACAGCAACTCCCATCATCAAAAACATCAACAACAACAACAATTGAAAGACCACGACAGCTAAAAAAACCATTGACTTTACCAACGCTGGACGATATGGAAGAAGAACAGCAAAAGAGACAGCAGCGCTGGTCTAGAAAGGGAATAGCGTCCCCACCATTGCTGACGCCCGAGAGCAACCGTGACGATGATCCATTCGCAGGAATGACTACGGGCGTCAACTATCAGCAAGAAATCGAACGACTCAAGTCGCTGGTGCCCAAAGTCGATGGAAAGAAAGGGGGACGTCGGCCAAGATCGGTGGGTGCCATCGAGCGCAAACTGAAGCCTATCGTGTCACCAACAGGAGGGGCTATCACCACAGCCTTGGCAGCAGTAGCCGCTGCAGCTGCTGCTTCGAACAATAGTAATACAAACAACAGTAGCAGCAACAGTGGCAGTAGTAACAGACGTGCATCGCCACCAGCACATCATCAGCGACCATCGACGACTGAAACAACGCCTTCTTCGTCGCCATACTACGATGCAAACTCGCGCGTCACAAGCCCCTCGCTGTCGACCCCGCGGTCTCTTTCGCCTGTGCAATCCGACTATACTTCAATGACGATTCCTCCGGTGCCCGAGGAAGATGAGGAGCAGCAGCAACAGCAGCATCAGCAGCCGCCGCAACAACAGTCGTCGGTGATCACCGAAGAGGAAAAGACGCGGTTTTTGCAGTTCATGCGTAGCTGGACAGGTGGCTGGAAGGGGTGGGAACGCAATGACGAGGAGGACGAGGAGGACCAAGTGGACGGACATTATAGCGGAATGGAGTCTGTGCGGAGTGGCGGGTCGCTTTGGGCGGAACAGCTGCCTTGGACAAAGCAGAACAACCATTCAAGTCGTCTTCGCCGTTGTTCTTGGCAAGAAGGCCCTCGTTCTCGCACCCATCATCATCATCATCATCAACTTCATCATCAGTACCACCACACGGATCATCGTCCATTGGCCGTGACTCTTCCCGACCGCAAGTTCGACATATCGATGCGGTCTGAACCGTGCACGCCGTTGCTTGCGCCGAGGTAAAGAGGCGACCACCATCCCATCTATCCATCTACCCCATAACGAATCAAGAATCCCATCTTGTTCAACATCCACATATCTCGCACCTGCTCACATTTGTCACCATTAAATAACACACACACTACATCTTCGCTACTACATTTATTCTATATACACAACAATGCACACTACAAAAAAGGAATCCCCCTTTTATATCATCTTCTTCCTCTTTCCACATATAACAACAACAACAACAACACTTGCATCCCTCCAGCTATAAACAACCCTTTCTCCTCCCTTGTCCCTGCTCAGCATTTCCCTATTGTCTACTCTTATTATTATTATTATTATTCCTAGTTCATTTCCATAAAACGTCTTTCTTCTTATACAAACAACAGAGCATGTTAATGACAGAATTGCATCGTTGCACAGAAAGAGAGAAAGAGAAAGAGAGAGAGCTATCACTAATTGTTGTGTCGTAAAACAGCCAGCTGTATAGTAGTAGTACATACCGATTGCCAAACAGGACTAACTCGACATGCTCGCTCTTTCCCGCGTATAAGCTGCAGTGAAACCAGCCAAAGAAGAGTTACACACACGTGTCTGTTCTTAATAAAATTCCAAAATAGGTAATCACCATGGGTGAAATGTGAAAAAACAATCTCATGTCTGTGTCTGCACATATCGAAAGGGGGGGGGGTTCCTGAGATAATTAACAGTCAAACACACGATCGGATCAAACATGTCATTTATCAAGTCGCGAGCGACTACTTTTAAACTTCAGGCCAATCCCATTCATATCGTATCTTTTTTTTTTCAATATTATTAATGCAAAAAAGAACGACGAGTGCAAAAAAAAAGGAAGAAAAAAAAAAAAAAGATGGAAAAGAGACTTTTTTTTTTAAAAGCCCCATCTTGACTCTATTTGACTTTGATTTTTTCCTTCTTTCTCTCTCCCACTCTTTCTCCCACTCTTTGTCTCTCACCTTTTCCTTGCCTTCTTTCTTACACGCTGATATCTAATCTCTTCTGGACACCTAATCCTCCATCTCTTGTTTCCTTCTCTCCCTCTCCCCACCCCTCTCTCTCTCTAGGTCGCTATGCTGCCTTTTGACCTGGGCGGTACCTCTTCCTCGAGTAACAACAACTATGAGGATCCGAACAATCAACAGCAGCAGCAACAGCAGCAGCAGCAACACATTGAGGATCCGTATGGATTCTTCATCAACCAATCCGTTCCTCTACCACTACCATTCCTCGAAGACGATACGTTCATATCGCAATGGCCATTGTTGATGGATCTTCCGCCACCTGACAACCCAATGGGATGGTACTGTAAATATATGAAGAATAAAAGACACTATCGAGCCATCATCAAAGCCTGTTGCCCAACATGATTATCTCTATATGCCAACAACAGCGAACCTACCACTATTAGGAACTACGAACTGGTCGTTGCGCAGCAACCGGTGCTAGGGAGACGTTGTGGATTCGGCACAAAGGATCGACGACCCATTAGTCCACCACCGATCGTCGAACTGCTGATAACTACCTCCGACGGCATGCGAGTCAAAGCAGAGTAAGAAGGAAGCGAGAGAGAGAGAGTGTGTGTGTGTGTATGTGCATACGGTACACGATGAAGGAAGAACAAGAGCAACGATCATATACTTCTTCTTACAGTAATGCAACTTACAGAGACGTCGATATCTCGTTTTTTGTGGTCCTATGCGACAACTGGCAAGCGGACGGGATGACCGAAGCGAATGTGATCGTCGAGCCTACGAAACGTAATCTTGTCGGTAGTCTCGTCGCGTCAGCCATCAAGCTGTATAATGTTCAGGGCCAGATGGGGATTTACTTTATTTTTAGCGATATCAGCGTACGTCTTGAAGGGACATACAGGCTCGGGTTCTCATTAGTGGACGTGCGTTCGTAAGTACACTCTATATTTGGAGGGACCTGGGAAACATTCATCCTCCCCCTCCCCCCCCCCAAATTGCATGCCTGAAATAAGTGCTGAAGATTTGAAAACGATAAACACTAGACCATGCATGTCACCGGATCAGTCGTCGAGCACACTATCGAAAATCTACACGGACGCTTTCACCATTTATCCTGCAAAGAGCTTTCCGGGCGTAGCACGTATGAGGGTTTTATATATATTATATAATACATCTGGCTCTTGGAAGTCGGGGACAATGGGGATGGAAGGGACATGATTACTCTTACCTTTCCATCCATCCGTACCAATCTCACCTACAGCAATTCACATGCCTTTTTTTCTTATTTCGTGCCGTTAAATGTTTTTTATTTTACACGGTTTTCGATCCATAGCACGGACGGAGCTTTCTCAATGTTTTCTGCGACAAGGCGTGAAGATTCCTGTACGGAAGGAAGATGACAGCACAAGCGGCGGAATCAGCAGCTGCAGCAGTAAAAAGAAACGACCTGCAAGTCTCGACGAAGACGCAGAAACTGGCTAACCAGCAGTATTCAACTTTTCGGATAAAATCAAAACACAAAGACATCAACGATAATCGTATACTAGACGCGAACGACGATGAATACTAGATGGGACATATCAGGACGCCGATTACTACTACTGCAACTCATTATTCTCACTGCTATGCTATGAGTACACAGTACATAGTAGAAGTAGTAGTAGTAGTAGTAATCAAACATGTTGTGGCAGAAACGGACAGGCAACAACATTATTTAACCCCCCCTCCCCCAATCCCGTATACACTTGACCCTTTTATTACAAATCACACATACGCATACATACATTATCACTATCATCATCACTGTTACTACTACAACGCATGCAACGCAATGTTTGTAAAGAAAAACTTGTTATTCCTCTGTTTTCACCTATTTTAAGATTACAAATAGAATGTTCGTCTTTTAGTTTAATATCTTTGTGGAATTTCGAAACCAGCAGCCCACACCCCAACCCTCCGTGGTGACCCTTTCTTTTCCCTGAGGTTTCCCGCCCTCCGACCTATCTGACCGCAAAAGCGAGAGGGTGAGATGTGCATGTGGGTGTGTTTGATATTGCAAAGCTGTCAAAAATGAAACAAAAAAGCAGGTGGGGCTTGCACACGCATGTGCATAACTTTTCCCCGGGGTTGGAAACAGGAGAAGGAAGAAAAGCTGCTAACACAATAGAAGAAAGGGTGGGAATGCACGCACATCTTCTCGGCTCACTCATTGTGCTGTGTAGTACACACAGAGTTAACATACCTGCTATATACGTATATCACATAAAAGAAAAACTGTCGACCGAAAGAATTTAGTTAGCCGGCCAGATTCTTGGGCCGATGGTCACACCATTGCACACTTTGCCGATTTTGCGCTTGTCAAGTTTTTTCGCTTTCGATTTCGTGTCACACGGATAAAGGCATAACGTTTTACCGCCCAATGCAGCACCATGGCAAAAGCAGCAGCATTATTATCATTTGCTCTAATATGATTTTGCCATTTGAACCCCCTACCCGCTCATAGGACCCTTAATACTCAGAAGAAGAAAATTTTGACCCTTGAAAGTTTTAATTAATAATGTTACAATGGGGAGTATGTAGTATACATCTTTCTTTACACGTGTGAGCCTTTAACGGCGACGATAACAACAAAAAGCAATTGGATACTGTTGGCGCTACTTGAAAAATAGCACTTGGGCTCCTGCAGCAACTGAAACAAAAAAGAAACGGGAACCGGCCTGTCTGTTCATTCATTGTAAATGCTCGAGGAACACAGATCATGCGTCCTGTTTTCGTGGTGGAGTGATACAACGGCCCAAGAAGAGTGTTCTCGGTAGTGCGCAAGGGCATGAAAGCGTTTATAGACGTAGCACCCTATTGAAGGTTATGCAAAGCTGAAAGTCGTACCATTACCTCCACTGTATATCATACGCTGTCAAAATCACTGAAAGAAAGGAAAGAAATGCTTCTTGAACCTTTTGTATCTTTGATCGTCGCATGGATCAATCAAGCGTATCACTGTGAGCATGTTTAACGACGCAGAGCCAGAAGATGGCACATTCCCTCAGATCTGCGGGGTCAAGAGTTCGGCTCCATGACAGGATAGAGGGCCTTGATTCTTGTTATATATAGCTTAGTGGCGGCCCTTCCTCCGTTAGTGCGTATTCAACCTTGGTCTTCTCCATTACCCATGCTGTGTAGTGACATTCAGTTACATGATCATGCTACCGACTGCTTTCCCACTCTCACTTGACACTTTTGTTGTCTCAGTGCCTTTTATCCTTCAGCAACTAATTTTACGATCCATAACAACATCGCGCGACCAAGCACCATAAATGGAAGAAAAAGACAGAATTGGTAATACCTAAAATCTAATAAAGTTTAAACAACCATGGCAGACAGCAGCGTGTCTCTTGTGGCTTTTCTTATGTTTGGGAGCACACCATTGCTGGGAACGGAAGAACAGCCAGACAACAATACAAACTTGGATCAATGTTTCACGTACAGCGATCGTCTTCAGATATACTTTTTGTGCTCCAGTATGAGTTTGCGCCAAGTCTGTATATATTACAAAATGTAACTATACGATAAATTGATCGGCTTCCTATTTATGCTGTTGACCACTCTCGTGCTCGATTCTGCTAGTAGTATAATAGATGCACTTAGCAGCAGTACACAGTACATTCATCATCAAGAGCTCACATATGCAATCTGATGAACAGCAACAACAAAGTGTTCCTCTTGATCATTATTTCACATTCATCAATATTATCATGAGAGGAATCTTCTTTTCTTTATTGCAACAGGCGAAGTAATGCTTACTCGAGTGTAAACCATTTCCATGATCTTGTCACGGGGATTGAGCCGCTGCTTGGTACGCATCATAAATGCCCGGACTTATCATATTGTAAGGTTAATGTGGTGGTAATACACGTGAAATATAATAAAAATGCAATGACGGTGTCTCTCGTTCTAAAGCTGATTTTTGAGTATTACTGCGAAACGCATCAGCTCTAACATCGTGACAAGGTATGTAATGGCTTGCGTTTTCAAACTTTGGTTTGCAAAGCTCCATATTCCTTACTCCACCCGCCTAATTTACATGCGTGTTAACTTTAATTAAAAAGCACGTGCTAATTCGCCCCGCCTTTTCAACGAGCTGAATACAAATTTAATGTAATGCCAAAGCAGGCCAGAGGCCGTGGGAAAATTACTCAACCAACACCGTCCATTCAGTAAACGCCCAATGGACGACCATCGGTTATACATATCCTCGTTTGTTTATCGTATTCATGCATATCTGTTATTGTACAAAATCATGTTATCTCAAAGAGCTTTAAAATGATTTGTTTGACTAGGCTGTATACATGTTGCATTGATATTGGAAGAAAAGATAAACTCGAGAACTGAACGCCAAATCAAGCCTTTTTACTCATATCGATAAAAAACAAGCGAAAGCTATATTTAGCTGCATAATTTTTATTCTTATCGTCGCATCTGTAATGGACCAATCTCACACATAAGTAGAAAATGTAACATTTTTCCAAAAATAAAAATAATGCAAGATCTATATTTTGCTTCTTTCATTATAAACAAACATTAAAAATAATAGTATAAAATGGGTATGAGAGCCTGTAAAATTAGCATGTTTACAGTGAGGTGAATTGTACGCTTTTGCACGCATTTTTACGAAATCCAATAAACGCGAGAGAAAAATAAAATAAAATTAGACTAGTCTGATCTTTCATCTTAAAAAACAGACATATATTATCACAACGTTGGCATTTTTCTTCTATTTATGTAATAACATTGAGACATTTTCAACAACTGCCACATCCCTATACTGCTTATGCCTATTGAACATCTTACGGTGAATCGAAAATAGACGGCTATCCATCCTGTCACCAGGAATTACATTTCACATAGTCCCAATTTCTATAACCTTCATCTCTTTACATTCTATGTTGTTAACTTCGTATGTCGTCCTCTCATTGAGTGGTAAGCGCAACAAGTGGTTCGATAAGCTTAGTTTATAACTACAGTAGTATAGGGAAATACTCGTTATAGATTTTATACAACGCTTGAACGGCACACACGGATCGGATCGATACAAAACACTTTGGTTCCGACGCTTAATCACACGACAGAATCAACTTCTGGACACAGACTAAACAGCAAGATATTACACGAACACAAGCTATGATATGATGACCGAGATAGACGCCAGCGTAAGAGTCAGAAAATTAAAACGCAACGAATTACATATACAAAGCAGGAACCATAAAAAAACCATAACAAACGTCCATCAGGTGAATGGCATAACAATGCTATATACAGTACCTTACTCGAACAAACCAAGATACCAAAGTTGCTTCTATATGTTCACAAAATCAAAAACAACTTTGTAACAAGCCATACAAATGCAGCATCCGTCAGATATGTGATACAGGGGTTTATACGATGCTCAATATCCCAACATACATTTCTAACTTTTAAACACGACAACTAATTGGTATATGATCGCTAGATCGGAGGAACTTGTCTCAGTGACGTTAGAAGCTCGCTATGATATATTCAAACATCTCAGAAAAAATTACAACAACGGCTTCTTGCGTCAGAGGCGACGATGATATCAAGTCACTTCCAGAACAAGCTATAATTATGTACACAACTAGAGGATCAAATTGATGGTATACCTGGCACCTTACGCGATACAACTACATACCACATTTCAAATACTTTATGAGTGTTTTCCAAATCAGGGCTTCGACCGTGTGTGCTGTCTATTGTTATACCTGTTCATCGTATATCAGGGCACAGCCCTTTGGATTACAACCGCAGGCATGCATTAGCAAGAAGTACTTCCACTATACCGACGACTCATACTACGTGTGATTGGCACGTACCTACAGCACTCAACATGTGCATCTACGGATACTAGTCACCTTGCTTTCAAAACATTATAATTGCTTCGTGACGAGTTCAGTTTCTGAAAAATTACATTTCGCTTCCAATAAAACGCGGCACATCCACCCATCGCACGTTCCCTTATTCTGCTTTCCGCACGTTGCCGACATGTCGGGATAGGCACAGTGAGCTCAATGAAACGATTTATGACGCAGATCCGGAGAGTTCCCTGAAGCTAATAACTTGGCTATTGTCATTTACAAGCCAAATGTTGTATGTCCATTGATGCGATCAGTGCTGCAGAAATTGTATTTTTACAACTTGGTGGAATGGTCTGTTCTATGCGTATAAGTACACTTTGTGAAATGACCTTGTATGCAGTATTACAAATCGCCATTAACACACGAATCAAGTTATAGCAAACTGAATATCTCGTTGCTTTATACATACATACAGGAAGTTCATACTGTACTATAGGCTGAAGAGAGATAACAAATCAGCTTTGTCTTCCTTTTTTCTCCTTCGTCCTTGTTCTGTTCGTTTTTCCTTTTTTCTTCCTCCTCCTTCTGCTTGTCTTTTCGACTAATCGGTTTTATGAATAGCCTCATAAAGTATATGGGCTTGCCGCCGTAATCCACGCCTCTTCCGTCTTTTGCTTGACGTCTGTTTAGCGCACAATGTAGGTCATCCTCAGTGGCTAAGTTGACCTTGCTTTTTTCATCGTCTTGATAATAAACAATGTACTCATTTTTCTTCAGTTTGTAAATCTGCTCAAGCTTTATTATCACATATGAGAGAGCCATATATACTGAGTAGTATCAAGATACGCAATGAGATAGAAAGCTGCTACTAACCTTTGCAAACAGATCTTTTATCGGTATATGCCGGGGAACAAAGAAGCGGTAAATCTCTTCGGACTTTAGGTGTAGAACCTTAACGGATACATCTTCCCATCGCGGGTATCCCATTTTGTGGTTGTTATCGATCTACGCTTGATGAAAGATGAAAAGGTAAAAGTAAGGTTGAAAAAGGCGTGTGAACGAAACTTTTTATTATTAAACCACGTTGTTCTTTCGTATTAAATACTTTAAAAATGTTCACCACAGGAAAGAAAAAACCTGAATTAACCATGATATACCTTAATATAACTGGTTTCTCTGACCGTATGGATGATTGGGTAGATATCACGTCATTGTACGTGTGGATGTTTCCGTTTGCGAGCATCATGGGATATTTAATCAGCTATTCTCATTTATCCAATGGTGCTCTTACATGATATATGCAAGAAACTGGTTTGTATAGAAGACCATATTATTACCTATTCATTTTTTGATAAATCATGCATGCATTGACAACGTGTTAATAACGTCCTCAGGTTTAATCAAACAAAAAAGACAGTGTCCGATATTTGGATGGACACTACAGTTTTAAATGTCTACGGGTGATATGTATGATAACCGCGAGATAATTTGTTTTTTTCAGCTATACATATTGTGGACAGCATACATATAACGTAGGGAATTTACTGAGTTGCTGGCTTCCTAGAAATAAATACAGTACTAATGGTGGTTCATGCTGTTGTCAAATACCATCCGAGAACAGCTTCACATAAAAACCATGTTTTACAATTCATATAACATGTAGTCGATTAGATGTGCGATACAGTAAGCATGATTGGTATTTCGAAGAAAGTCAACGTATTGTACTAGATATTAGTCCAAAAAAGCTTGCACAGTCTTTCTTAAATGTTTTCTAAACTTTCACAGCATCTGTTAAAAAAGCTTTTGCCTTTGTATCATATATGGACATGGTATTACTATTTTATATCATGCGTGGGTTATTTTCATTGTCTCTCAATTAGTCATTAATATGAACATTGATTAAGCCCTGCATCCATGCTCCTTGGACTGCTGCCCACTTATTACATTATGATCATACAGTAACTGTGTCAGACACAGCAGCTGTACATCTCTTTGTTAGCAATGTTAGAATATAAATGCTCAAAGTAAAGTAAACAACGGTCCCGGATAAACTACATATTGCACATCAAGTTATTCTTGTTTCTTAACGAAATATGTAAATTAACTTATGTATTCCTAGTCAAACATCCACTACTGTTACATATTACTTGCTGCTCTCGCATAATTTATGGCAGAAAGATAACGTTTGTTGTTAGACTTTTCCCATGTTCAAAGAAGCTATGCTGTTAACGGTGCGTGACTGCAAGCAGCTCTTGTACCGTAACTCTTCTCGTTCATCCATCATATTGCGCATCAAGTCATTAATTGTATTCCACCAAAGCTTGTCATTGTATTAAATTATGTATGATACTTCTTTTATTTTGACACATTTTCTGCGATTTTTTTCTTTCATTCTGTCCATTTTTGATAAATGAAATAGAACAAGCAACTTAAACTTTTGTCGACACATCGCCGTCCTTAATTGTTATTTCGATCATTATTGGTGGAGCTCTCGTCTTCCTTTAAAGCATCGGTATGTTCAGCACACGGCTTGTTCGTTGATGCGCTTGGTAAGCTAAATGAAACTTTATGATGTCATACTACAATGCAGAGTTGACGAATACATGAGCAGTACCCTAACGCCTAGCTATAACTTTCCCACTACAATGTTGAACAAAGACGGTGGATGACTCTTAGTAGCTGTAAACTTATAAAAGCTACCTATTGACTTTCAATTGTCACATGCAAAATATTTTCTATGTGATTAGCGTATGTACTGTATTCAAGAGAATGACAGGGTTGAATCGTCACAAGTTGTAAGCCAATAGAAACAAAAGGCGGTAGCGGTAGCGCGGGAAAGAAGTGGTCGATTTTCTTCTTCTCCTTTTTCTTTATCGAGCAGAGGATGAAGCGACCTCGTAGTATTGATACAACAGAAGAAGAAACGTATGATATGTACTAAGTTCTTTTTTTATATATCTATATTACCTCCAGCAGTAGTAGCTTTTTCACATAAACTTGTCAACCTCGAGATGATAACATATACACTATAGCACCGGTCGACTTCAAGAAACGAGGCGTGACACTGATAGCATGTCAGAACTCGCAGCATTGTCGTCACCACCACCATCGTCGTCGTCGGTTGCTCAAGATCAAGTAGAAGACACTGTGCAACAACAAAACGACGAAGTACAACAGCAACAGCAACAACATTATAATCAACAGCAAGCCCAACAGCAGCAGCAACCGGTTCGTTTTGCGACCACCGCATTAATTCGACTTCACGCATGGTATGTATGAAGTATGGAAATGGTACTCTAAAAACACCTGTGAGCAATCTATGGCGTGCAAACTAAAGTCGATTTGTGTGTTTTCTTTTTTCTGAAACAAAAGCTACGAGAAAGCCAGTTATCACCACGTTCTACACAGACACTACGCTAAACAATGTTAGTATCATACTAAGGACAACGTATTTCTTCTCTTTTCGTAATAAGTACTAAATGAAATTTGAAATATTGAACGGTAAATTGTACTCTACGTTATGTACTGTAGTCGATACAAGAATGGTCAGATTGTTGCACACAATCAATGAACTTGTTAATAGCTATGCAGCGATGCGTACCCAACAACCTAACATGACGCAAACAAGCGATGCCCATCGATCTACTGCGCGGACAACAATGCAAGTATAGTACTTACAAAGTCTCTATGATTACGCGCAAAAAAAGAAACCTGTGAAAGCGCCTGGAATGCAAACGATACTTGTAAAGAAACAAACAGTACGTGTAATATCTTCACGGCTGACGAATACTCTTTATGCCGTAGTGACCAATTCGCTTCTCAAATTCCAATCGAAGCTACCTCGCTGATGAAGGATACAATTAAAGTTAAGCTTAATGAAGTGGAAATCTACAAGGAAATTTATGAGCTCATTGATGCCTTGGAAAAGGACGGATTGGCACCATCAACGCATCACAGGGTGTGAAAAAGAAGAATCCTTACTGCTACACATACACGCACAAACAGTATTTGCTTATAGTATCGATAGTACTTCTGTGTCCATGTAGTACATGCTATCGAACAATAAAACAGATAGCCATGATGGTCATCAGCAGCAACGATATCATCACTTTCAAAATGTACAATCATTGATTTGAGCTGCTAATCAACGTGATGCATGAGGGACAGCATCAACTGCAATGCAAAATAATTATGCGGCGTGCATGACGTGTTTGTGCTCATCTGCCAAAACAAAGTGATCAAAACAGAAATGCAGATGTGCCAGACACGACCGTAGGTGATTGGGAGTCTTACTTTCCCTTCTCTCTTTTCCCCTTCCTCGAGTCCTACATGATATTTAATCAATCCTGAGTGATAAATTGTAAATCTGAACGACTACTATCAGATAATTTATAAAAAAAAATATGGACCGTCAAAACAGTTCGAACGATATCAGTGATATGTAAGCGTCACGTTGAACCCTTTGTTCGCTACATGTTTTTTATGGACTCGTTTTTAATAATGAAGACTATTAACAACTCCTCCTCCATAAAACACTGATTGTGTATGTTTTATCAAGTGACAAGCAATCGAGCCTTCTTACTCTGCAAGCAGCCATCAGTTCACAAGAGTCGCACGAGCAAAGACGTTTGTATAGCGCACGTCAGTAAGTTGCTTTTTTCGCTTATCTTATTGAAAAGGCTGCACGCATAACATGTGGAGCAACACTGAAGTTGAAGTTACTATAAAATCCAATCAAACTTTCAGAAGTATAATCATGCAGAAGAACGCCAGGAGAACCGATAACATAAAAAATACTAGCGGAAGGTGGAAGTACTGTGCTAATACGATAAAGACAACTAATAACATGAGTACATATTGTAGTTGATCTAGGTCTTTCGCTCCTTATTGAAATTGTGCACTCATTGGCGGATTACTATCGGTGCATCAACCAAACCATCATGTAAGTAGCTTTCTTCCTCTTTTTTTTTTCAATGTTTTCAGGTTATCTTACCAAGGATGTTATCATAGATCTTACGATCTAATACAAGCTTCATCATTTTCTTCCTATAATTCCTACAACGAGCCGCCGAGCAGAAGCTCTGTGAGATTGACTTGTAGCGAAGGGAAGAGGCACAAGACCAAGGTGCGAAGGCGACAAAGGCCCGCCCCTATAATAAACTGGGACGTCGGAGGTGAAGAAAAGACAGAAATCGAAGTTGTCAAGATGGGGTACGATATGGATTATACTTTAATAGGAGATGGAACAGGGAGAGTAGTACGTGTGATGCGAAAAGAAAATGGTCATCGAATAACAAACACGAATGTATCTTACACATTTTGTATACAAAAATGAACAACATATTATGTTCGTAGTGTATTATGTATTCTTGGGTGAAATTATCAAGGCCAGGACTGACGTGCTCCGTGCCATGTCACTTTGCAGAGCCTCAAAGAGCAAGAGGAGAAGTGCGGAAGGTTGGCTGCTGATCATGATCTGTGAACAATCTATAGTTAAACTCGCCATGCCCTTATTGCTTTTACCTATATGCGTTTGACTAGTAGTCGTCATTACACACACTACTCTTATATCGCAATAACATGTATATATGCTTTCCATATACACAAAATACTACAGTCGGTCATACATGACGGTATCATAATGAAAAATTAAAAGCATCAGCGAATAAAAGCAGTTGTAGATACTGTTGCAAAAGATAGTTGTAAATGCAAGACGTTATTATTAAGAATCTTCTTTATTGTTCATAACAGACGATGAGAATTCCATTCTTTCCGTCTGCCTTCTATCCAACTCTAATAATCTTTCAATATCCTGTTTGCGTTGTGCACGGATTTTCGAAAACGACTCGGCCAAACCAAGCTGTTCGCATGCATCCAGCGCAAGCGTGTAACTGGTATTATCAGGCAACACCTGGGCCGTCTTCATGTCGTGCCAGATATTCATGATTTGTGAAGTCTGCTTAGCCTTGTCGAGTGCGCTCATGATTTCATTGTACACCGAAACCGGCAGCTTTACCCGCGTAGTTTTGGAGTCATCGTACACTTGCATGGCTTGTCGCAAATGGCCCGACGAGACCAATGTGTTGATGACAATGGTATGGGTAGCAAAATCCGGACGACAGTGGTTACGACGCATGGAGCGGTAGAGTTGGAGCATCTTTTGTACGGGCTGTGGTGTAGCTACGCCCGTTCTGCCATCGGTCTTCCACAAAATCTTGTCACCATCTTCCTCTTGAACCACAGCGGGACGAACCAGTTTCGACAGCAGAGTAAAATGTACATTAAAGCTTCGAGTATCCGGCCTGACCTTGAGTTCCGTCATCTTGTCCCACAAGTGTTCCGCCTGTTCCATATCTTCCGGTGCCAGCTGCTGTTTCCTTGACAATAAGCCCAGAATCGAGTTGAATGTATAGACATTGGGTTGCACTCCAAACGATTCCATCTCCTTTAACAACGACATGGCCTTTTCCATGTCCTGGGTCTTGGCACACGCCGAAATCAACGATGTGTAAAGTACCACGTCTGGTTTAATACCTTGACTCTTGATCGTCTCATAAAAGTCAAAAGCAGCTTCCGCTGGTTGTGTTCGGTCTTTGACAAGCGTGTCCAAGATGATACCGTAGCTGTACACATCGGGTTCGACGCCGGCTTGAATCATTCTGTGGAAGATATCCAGGGCTTCTTTAAATCTGTTTTCCTTGACATAAGAGGCAATGAACGTGTTATAGTCGCGTGCGTTGCACTGCATTCCCAAGGCATGCATTTCGTCCAGCGTTTCTTCTGGGCTCCGTCCCATGGCCGTCAAGTGACTCCCATTGATCTCCACGTCTTTCGCAGCTTTCAAGTCGGCATACACCTTTTCCATTTGTTCCTTCATGCCATATTTGTGCAACATGCTGAGCATGACGTGGTAAGTACCCGGCGTAGGCGGTGGGTGGCCACGTTTGAGCATCGTACGGTATACGGCGAGTGCACCCTCTGGCTGATTGACAGCACCATAGACTTGGATCATGGCATTGTACACCTCATCCCCTTCTTGATTGCTGTCTGCGGTTACTCCTTGTCCTCCTTCTTCGGCGGTAGTGGTGGTGGTGGTAGTGGTAATCAGATGCCGCTTTTTCAAATAGGCAGCATAAAAGACGCGAGCACCTTCGAGATCATCCCGATTCGCAAAAATCCAGATTAATGCGCGGTACAATCCAGTCGTCTCGGGCCACATTTCACGTTCTTGAAGCGACTGGTAAAACTCGTGGATGTCGCCCAAAGATCCCAATCGTGTGATGCCGTTAATGACAGTGCTGACCGTGACTGGATCGGGTGGATAGTGTGATCGCATCATGCCGTCGATGACGAGTCTGGCCGATTTCAGGTCGCCGTGTGTGATGAACATATGGATCAACATATTGCAGCCACGTACAAACGTGTCACTGGCGAGTTGTCGTCGATGGATTTCTCTCAGGACGGTTTGCATTCGACGGATGGATTCTTGCGCACCGCCAAACCCTTCCTTTTTTATACGGCTGCATAACATGATAAAGTCACTGTCGTTCAGGGGGAGTTGCTTTTCGACGCGATCGGTAAATTCGGCCCATATAGCGTTCAAGTTTTGTGTAAAGTTCATTATGGTATGGTGCTTTTGTTCTTGTTGGTGTTCTTTTTGCTGAGACAGTTGTCGTACATGGTTATTACCTTGTAGTTGTTGTTGCTGCTGCTGAGCCGGTTGTCCGGCATGGTTATGGCCTTCTTGTTGTTCTTGTTGTTCTTCGGTTTTTGTTGTACTTTTTGCCGCTGCTACTGTGCTATGTAACCGTCGTGGGTGTTGTGCCGACTTGACAAGCTGCTGCTGCTGTTGTTGATGAGCGGCGGTATTGTTGGTGGTAGTGGTGGTGGTGGTTCTGGTAAATTCTCGGCGTAAATGCAGTCGATTGAATCGAGTATTGCCAGCTGTCGCACGCCATGCCGAGCAACAACACTGTCGTATTGACATTTTGTAGATTGTTAATTTTTATGAGTGTGTGTGTGTGTAAACTGGAAATAAAAAAAAATGGTGTTCGGTTCGCTCGAGTGACTGTCATCGGAACATCGGGCCGACGTTCCGGGTGTCCTTTACTGTCAGACACAAAGCTTATTTTAGGCAAACAGCTCATACGCGTCTGTTGTGATGGATACTGGCATTTAAGAACCCACGCATCTTTTGCGCTATCATACTGTTATTAAATACAACTAGCTAGCATGTAATTCAAGGCTAAGTTTCAATAGGAAGGGAAAAAGGATTAGCACAGAGCGGGTAGTAAGTAGTACATACATACAGTCATTTCAAGAAATAAAGTCGCTGATTTTGAGTTTGATGTCGTCCTTTACTGATGTCGATTGATCCAACAACGATGGCGTTGGTGAAGCTTGTTTATTATTAGTTGTCGTTTAGTCATTTGACAAACTCTTGGCATCTCATCTTTATAAAGGAAACCTTGGCAATTTTCTTATTTTTCCTTTCTCTTTCTCAAATTTCATACTGATATTGAAAAATGAGCATGAATTTTTTTTACAAAGATGGACAAGGGCATGTTGTTAATGATAATGGAGTTGACTCATTGGATCTCGTTATTGATGAGGACCTATTTGCTATTGAAACGATAAGTTCTCGTACTCAATTTTCAAGGAATAAACCTCCTGAAAGACCTTGTAATCTCGTAATACACCCAGTTACGGGTAAGACACACACTGAAGATATTGATATGGAGTTATGCAGCAAGCGACGCTATACAGTTTACTCTAATGAATACAAGACTCGATTTTTTCATTTATTTTTTTAGCAAATGCTTGAATGCTTCTGCTACTGCGAGAATTAGGTATTCACATCCGAGCAGCTCACAGATGGGTCAAACGTTATTATGAGGATCCTGGAAGCATCTTCGAAGAGGTCGACATCGTATTCTGGGGGAGGAGCATAGCAGCTTTTTTTAAATTATATTGATGAGTATCCTTCTGCTGTCGTACCAGAAGTAGCAGAGAGTTTAACGCAAAACTTTCAGAGCCTTAGTGTTTCTCGTAGCACTATTATAACTTCATGACAACTGAGTGCAATCTATCTTTTAAGCAGGCACAATTCCAACCTGAAATAGCGAGGAAAGAATTTAACAAAGGTACGATTGGGTACAAAAGTGGCAGCAAACTGGTTTGGATTTCATAGTGTTCCACATCAATTTGAAACGGGGTATGGCTTGGTCAAAGAAGGAAACTCCTGCAATAGTTACAGTAACCACGACAAAAGCGAACAAAACATCGATTCTGGTGGCCATATCTGCCACCGCCTCAATTAATGTTAGTTTGAGAGTTTCAAAGCATATTAAAAAGAGAAAGTCTGGACGCGAAACTGGCGGTTATAGCATGGGAACAGTGACGGGACATTATCTTTCTGAGCTTCTTAAAAGCTACTCTTGATGAAATGGACAAGTATCCAGAGATGAAGGGGCATTATTATCTTGTCATAGATAATGCCCCCATCCACAGTTTAGCTGATATGTATCATATAGAATAATATATTCACTCTCGAGGATATCGATGTGTGTATCTTCCTCCGTATTCTCCAGAGCTGAACCCTATTAAGCAATTCTGGTCAGTTGTCAAGAGTAAGCGAAATAAATTCCTGGAAAAAAAACACTAGTGACTAGTAGGATTGCTGAAGCTTGCGATAGTTTATATTCAACTGACTTCAAAGGCTTTGTTTCTCATTCTGCCGAGTGTTTTTGAAGGTGTCTTGACAAAGAAAGGCTACAGTGGATCCCTGTTTAATTTCACTCTCAATAAGATAAACCCTCAGTTATTTCAACTTTTTTCTATACCCCCTTTAAGCATAGAACACTGCTTGAATCACCCTCGTTTTGTGTCAACCCTCAGTAGTCTCAACACTTTATAGACCCCCTTTGAGGTTGAAATTAAACGGGGAACCACTGTATAAAGTAGCAAACCAGCTGAAGAAAAAAAGAAAAAGTAAAAGCGGGTGGGTCCACGCAGTCCAAAATGGCTGTGAGTCGGTGGATCCAGCACAAAAAAAGATACTGATTTGATTTTCCATTTCTTTTTATTTAATTTTGATTGCCAAACAATGTCTGCAGTTTGGCCTCGACATGTGTCTTGATTTTCTGGTTGGCGGATGACAAGACACTGGCTGCAGATTTGACAATCGGTGACAGGAAAGGGGCAATATGGATGGGGTCCAGATCATGTCGCGACTACTGCAATTGCGCCAATAACGCGCGTGACATGGCATCTTCCCTTGAGCCAATGATTTTCTCAATATCCTTGTTTTCAAGTGGGCGTTCCGTCATCACTGCTATTGCGATCGTTTGGAGGACCAGGCTTGCTGGTTTCGCCATTGACATGTCCGAAACCCCGTATCCCTGAATATTTGGGACGTCAGCGATGGTAAAGATTGTTGCTGGTTGTAGAAGATCATTATCAAGGCCGTCTAGTGTTGCTCGCCACGTGGCATAGGTACGGGGGTGCTTGAAACCAGATGTATATTGGCGCAAGGATGACACTGATAATGAACACTTGTACATGAGTTGACGTTCAGTGATTTGGTTCTTCGAATATCGCCAGAAATTTATCTTGCTTTGTTTTGTCATAACTAGGGGTCGCAATTGGACGGGTCGGGTCAAAACTCGGGTTGACGGGTCACTACTGATTTTGATTTGGTGACAAAGGAGGTGTCAATCAACCTGAGCTTGAGCACTGGAAGTGCAAAACTACATGTATACACAGGCGAATAATAGGAATCTACAGTTCTTACAATTGCCAAGTGTGACATTAACAACTGATAAATGTTTGCGACACTGGTGTTGTTTCCATTCCAACTTGTTGGTCAATACAGCAGGGCAAAAGGAACAACGAAATTCGTTGTCTTCAGTAGCTTCAGCTTCATCCTCAGACAGGTCGGATACAGATCTCTTTGATTTATTTTTACAACTTGTTTCAGGGGCGACCACAGTTTCTTCATCACTTGTTGCCATGATTACCACAAAAGTTATGAAATATGGTGCATCCTGTTTATAATTGCCAATGTTTCAATTGATGTTTTAAAGTCCGTCTTTATATTGTTATGCCTATGCGCCTATGCGACTTCATTTTTTTGGACCTCTTTATCCGTTTCTTCTCCAGACATATCGCGGCTGTATGTCTCCTCAATGTACACTATCTGCTTTACTGGTCACTTAGGTCACAAAATGCACAGCCAAATTTTCTGACAGAGTCATGGACTGGTCACAGAAAAATACCTGTGTATTATTATTCTATTTTATAGAGGACCAAGGTCCAATTTTATTTAACTGCACGTTAAATACAAGAGCGGTGCTGTTAAGAAATGCAAACCTGTGTATTATTGACCTTTACTAGCAAAGACATTAAATACGGCACGCAATTCTATTGGCTGAGAACGATCCTGGCTTCGAATCCGGCATAAACTTCAGTGTTTCAAATTTATACCACCTCAGCCAAAAACTAGCAAAAGCAGCCAACTTTGATGGCTGATAACTTTTTTTTTACAAACAAAATAAGTAAACCCAAGTTCAATAACTATTCTAAAGATGCTAGAGAAGATATTCAAACAACAAATAAGCAAAGCATTAACTTACTGATTGTGATAAACGTGGGTTGTGGATAAGTAACAAGAGTGAAAGATAAAAATAAAAGACAATATGAAATACAGTGAGAGTCAAATATTAGATGATTTTCATTGAATGAATTCACAACCCTTTATATACTGTTGAAGATGGTGTCTAGACTTCCGTCTGGATGAATGATGAATAGATCGCGGACATGCCGGATTTCGGATGTTTCAAAGATGAAGAAGGATGGGAAGGTTGAGTTTGTCGGCTATGATAATGGACGTTGTCTTCCGATTGTAAAGAGTCATCTTTGCTATGATCAGTGTGTTCCTTGTTTGGCGAAGTCTCACCTTTGTCAGTGCTGGAATTGGTATCCGCTCTTTGACAGGTACACTTCGCTCAACTCAGATAAGCTAGATTCAAAGGAAGTGCTGACTAACTCGAGAATAGGACAATGTGTATACAATGGTTGGTCCTGAGTTATTCTCGATTGGTAATCCATGTTTGAGAGATTATCGATATGGTGCTAATTATGTAATAATTGATTCAACCGTGTGTGTGGTGTTCTCTCTACTGCGTTCTAATGGTTACGAAGACGGCGGAGTGGGTTGAGTTGTCCGGATCAATCTCAAAGTAGTGTGGTTTACCACACTGATCTTTGATGAGGGTTCACTTTTTTGCGATTATAAACGGGATGCACCATAAAAAGAAACTGTGGGAGTGAAATGAGACTTTCATTTGACATTATTTTTTGTGTGCTGGATGCACCGACTGGCAGCTATTTTGGCGTGCATGGATCCACCCGCTATAGGACACACCCGTTTTTACTTTTTCTTTTTTTCTTCAGCTGGTTTGCTACTTTATAGCCTTTCTTTGTCAAGACACCTGCAAAAACACTCGGCAGAATGAGAAACAAAGCCTTTGAAGTCAGTTGAATATAAACTATCGCAAGCTTCAGCAATCCTACTAGTTACTAGTGTTTTTTTTTCAGGGATTTATTTCGCTTAACTTTAATCTTGACAACTGACCAGAATTGCTCAATAAGGTTCAGCTCTGGAGAATACGGAGGAAGATACACACATCGATATCCTCGAGAGTGAATATATTATTCTATATGATACATATCAGCTAAACTGTGGATGGGGGCATTATCTATGACAAGATAATAATGCCCCTTCATCCCTGGATACTTGTCCATTTCATCAAGAGTAGCTTTTAAGAAGCTCAGAATAATGTCCCGTCACTGTTCCCATGCTATAACCGCCAGTTTCGCGTCCAGACTTTCTCTTTTTAATACGCTTTGGAACTCTCAAACTAACATTAATTGAGGCGGTGGCAGATATGGCACCTAAAATCGATGTTGTGTTCGCTTTTGTCGTGGTTACTGTAACTATTGCAGGAGTTTCCTTCTTTGACCAAGCCATACCCCGTTTCAAATTGATGTGGAACACTATGAAATCCAAATCAGTTTGCTGCCACTTTTGTACCCAATCGTACCTTTGTTGAATTCTTTCCTCGCTATTTCAGGTTGGAATTGTGCCTGCTTAAAAGATAGATTGCACTCAGTTGTCATGAAGTTATAATAGTGCTACGAGAAACATCAAGGCCCTGAAAGTTTTGCATTAAACTCTCTGCTACTTCTGGTACGACAGCAGAAGGATACTCATCAATATAATTTAAAAGAAACTGCTTATGCTCCTCCCCAAAGATACGATGCCGACCTTTTCGAAGATGCTCTCCGCCAGATCCTCATAATAACGTTTGACCCATCTCTGAGCTGCTCGGATGTGAATACTTAATTCTCGCAGTAGCAGAAGCATTCAAGCATTTGCTGAAAAATAAATGAAAAATCTAGTCTTGTCTTCATTAGAGTAAACTGTATAGCGTCGCTTGCTGCATAACTCCATATCAATATCTTCAGTGTTTGTCTTATCCGTAACTGGGTGTATTACGAGATTACAAGGTCTTTCAGGAGGTTTATTCCTTGAAAATTGAGTACGAGAACTTATCGTTTCAATAGCAAATAGGTCCTCATCAATAACGAGATCCAATGGGTCAACTCCATTCTCATTAACAACATGCCCTTGTCCATCTTTGTAAAAAAAACTCATGCTCATTTTTCAATATCAGTATGAAATTTGAGAAAGAGAAAGGAAAAATAAGAAAATTGCCAAGGTTTCCTTTATAAAGATGAGATGCCAAGAGTTTGGCAAATGACTAAGCGACAACTAATAATAAACAAGCTTCACCAACGCCATCGTTGTTGGCTCAATCGACATCATTGATGGACACGGGAATTTCTTGCACGACATCAAACTCTAAATCAGCGACTTCATTTCTTGAAATGACTGTACATGTACTGCTTTGATCTTGTTATGTAATCTCTGGCGTGGGAGAACCAACGCACATATCTTTCCCGATTCACAAAGATAGATGAAGATAAACTTTTATTAAATTTGCTTTTAGAAATGTAATATATGCATCCCTCTCAATTCCCGCACCAAGTGGTGTACCTGAACCAGTTATCCTGCGGTTGATCGCCCTTTATGACCCAACAATGCAAACAACAATCTGATACTAGGGAGGGTTAGAAGGAAAGCAAACAATGAAGCATGATGTGATGATGATGATGATGATGACAAACAAAAAAAAAAGAAAAAAAAACATAATTACAGTTTTTTTATATTTGGAAAAAACCGTTTGTGAATGTGTTTGTTTGTTGGCGGGTGGATGTTATAGTAAGTGCGGGTTGAAGCGTGGGGAGGTAGGGGGAAAAACAAAAGAGTATATGATATATATCTGTGTATGTAAGTAAAAAGAAAGAGAGAGAGAGAGAGGGAAAAAGGTGCTTGTTTTCTTCTGTATGTAAGCGTTATTTGGGGGATGTTTTTGGGCGTTCGTATGGTATAAAGAAGATGTAACGAGAAAAGAAAAGAAGGCGTGCTTTTAGAGACCGTGAGTCGAACAACAACGCCTCCAGCATAAAAATCCAATTTTAAAACAAGTGGCGACGATTCGAGCTATCGGACAGACCAAAACGCGGCCGCAACGGCAACGATTGGGACCCGCGCTTCTTGTTACTGACCGTGTCGTCACCGCGCGTGCCGGCAGGCGAGTTCTCATTGTCGATTCCGTCGAGGCTCTTGCGCTTTTTGTCCACCAGTTTCGGACGAAACGGCATTGTCAATTGTGCCTTTGCCTTGGATGAACTATCCGCAAGCTTCCCGTGTCGCTGTTGTTGTTGTTGTTGTTGTTGGTGCAGACAATATTCAGCAGTGATTTGGCTGTCTTTTTTAGCAGCCAAAGGTGCAGCAGCGGTTTTGATGATTTGCTCTGCAGCGATGACTTTTGGTGCCTGCTGGGGTGGTTCTGGATTGTCTCGATGGATTGCTTGGCTCGTGGCTTCTTGTGTTGTCCGATTTAGCCAGGGCTAATAATAATTAGGTCAACGTATACATGTGTGTTAGCAGATTTCAAAAGATGTTCCTCGAATTATATACGAATTGAAATACGTACGGGAATGTTTTCCTTGTTGTCCTGATGCAGTCGGATGGTCTTTACCGTCTTTTTGTCCGATGATGGCGTGTTTGTGGATGCTGTTGCTGTCTTGTTGATGGTTTTGGTCTTGAGTGCAGGATCCTTGTGCCAAGACACGTTCCGACGCAACTTGTCGTCATAGACCTTTTGTGACCAGCGATAAACCATGCGCTTGTAGATCGTTTCAACATCTTTTCTTTTGTCAACTGCTTCTTGAAGTGCCTAATTGAATATCCAGGTTAGCGTATTTCTCATGAGGGGATGTCTGTTGCTAAAGAGGTGTGGACGATTATAAACGGGAAAAGCAACAAGGAAGGAAGGAGTAGGAAAAGTGGTGGGGTACCCTCACACACACATGTACGTAGGCGTGTGGTGCGTGTACGCTTTGTGCGAGGGTGGTAAAAAGAAAGAAAAAAGAAACGGATTGGAGTAAGCATACTAAACGCATATTTTTCTTGTGCTTGACAAAAAGGGAGTGAGCACGTTCCACTTGGACATTTGCGCAGTCGCACATCAGACATAGCTCGCCAACCGATTTCAGACTCCAATCGCGTAATTCAATTTCTTTGTTTGCACCGCCGCAGGTGAGATCTGAAAGCCGTACTCGCGTTGCACTGCCATCGCTTTGCAAGCCAAACAGCGTCACTTGACATCCGAACGCAATACCGTCTCCTGCTGATGATGATGCTTCATTTGTGTCGACAAACAGTGCCGCCTCGACACGCTTCGTTTCGATCAAGTAAGCTAGCTGTGCTCCGGACTCAAAGGGTGCTTGGATGTACTCGATCTTTTCTTTGTCCAGGTGCTATGATATGATCACACTGATATCAATAAAACAAGAAAGACGAGAGCGACGCGGGTGACAACTGTGCGTGTGTGTGTGTGTGTGTATGTGTGTGTGGGCGGGCGGGCGGGCGCGTGAGTGGGTGCCACAAGATGTAGAAGCAGAGATACGGGGGAAAGGGAAGGGGAGGACAGGTAGTTTATATATATATAGATTTACCTTCAAGAACGCATCCTTTTGTTCTTGCATGGTTTTTTCATTGTCATTGCCACTGTCCATGTTCTCGTGATCGTCGCTTTTACCGCTGTGTTTCATGTATGTAAAGAAAAAGAGTGGGTGTATATGCGTGTGTGAAAGCAGCATCATTATCTATTAGCAAGATGTTGGGCTGCGTATACTTTCATGTATATGTTCATATATGTATGTAGTATGCGTGTGTACAAACACTAACCCCTTGGTTTTCTTTTTATCGCATGGCAATACGTTGCCTTCCACGACAACAAGAGGCGTCACATCGTATGACCGCAGAATGTCAAGTTGCTGTAGCAATGCGCCCTTTGCTGATCTGTTCAAAGTAGTTCAAGTTAAAACCGTAATTAGAATTTCATTCGTCAGTGCTGCGTAAAAACTAGAGCAAAAAAGACACGCACTCATTGTCATTGAGAGTTTCGTCATTGTCATGGTTGTCATCGTCGTCGTCGTCGTCGTTCTTGTCGGTTTTATCGTTGTTGTTGTTATTATTGTTATCGTCGTTTTTATCGCGGTCGTCGTCGTCGTTATTAGTAGAGTCAGTGGACAGTGGCGTAATAGTGCTGATATTCGTGTTCTTGTCGCCGCCATTGTCGACGACACCGTGAACGGAATCACTAGAAACAAGGGAATGCCACACCACGCTGCCGCGACGACCATCTACCGCAACCGTCTTCCCGGCATATTCCTTAATGTGCACAGGCTGATGCACTGACTTGACAAGCTGGAGCAAGTCGGCAGAACCCATATTGCACAGCAACAACTAGTACAAGATTATATACAAGTGGGATCGTAGATGGCCAAAAGAAATAAAGTAAAGAGGGGAGCAGAGAGGAGAGAGAGAGAGAGAGAGAAAAAAAAAAGAGAGAGAGAGAGAGAGAGAGAGGAAAAGAGGGGTGGTAGGTTTCCAGCCAGACAAGAAAGATTGGTTACCGCAACAAAAATTTGTGTTGTGTGGGCTGTGTATATGTGTGTCCTTTTCCTTCCTTCCTTCTTTTGCTTTTCTTAGAGCCCAACATGAAGAACTGTATTACAAAGCAGTATCGATCTGTTATAATCGAGTTTAACATGATGGAGGTTACAACGGTGTGGTTCAATTCGCTGTGGAAGACACCAGAACGTGTCCTTGAGTTGGTGTCGTCGGGTATGATATGGTCGGTGCACTGGGCGGGCGGTACGTACTAATAATTGGTTCTTGCCATTTCCTTTTTCTGCATCTACATAGCCATCCGGACACGAAAAGTGTATTGAAGCCATGTACTACAGTCCACGAACGGATGCGTAAAACAAGATCCGCAACATGAGACTAGTGGGACGATATACATCGTTAGGGAGGTGGAGCAAGCAAGGCAAAGCACGCAAAGGATTCGTCGGTCCATCATGTCAGCCGGATACATGTTATTTATGTATCAAACGCGATCTGCTGGCGTTATTGTTGTTGGTTGTCGTTCTTCATACATGTCACACTGCATTTGTTTTTTTTTTCCCTCCTTCCCCCCGGCCATTGCGAAACAAGGTTTTAGCACTACACACAATTTAGTATGTGCTTGGTAGTAGTAGTAGTAACGGTAGTAGTAGTACTGGTAGTGAAAATAATCTCGTAGAGCCTGTTGTGCGTCGTGATTTTCAAATCACAATACTAAACTACTCAATTGTCTCACATCATCACCACCAACGCAACAACCAATTTTTTTTTGGCCACAGCCCACGTTTCCTTTTCAAGCTCTTTTCGTATTCCTTTCCCGTGCGATAAGGGTTGCGGATGCTACTGTTGACCCGTTAAGCGCTCTTTAGGGTTGTGTTTTTTTTAGTGTATGTCGAACGATCTGGTGGTTGTGACAGGAATGGAGTAACAGTAATAGTAGTGGTAGTTGTAGTAGCAGTAGTAGTTCAACAAAAAAAGATCTTGTCTGATTTGTATAATATATAAAAAGGTGCGATCGGTTGATACATGTACGTTGTAGATAGAAAGGAGAAGAGGCAAAAGAGGAAAGAACTATATAACGTGTGTGTGTATGTGTGTGTGCATGTTGAGGAGATAGGCTGTGGGGGATTCTCTATAATCTATATAGATTGACGATATAGCGTTGGCGGTCGTGGGTGGTGATGGGTGCGATTGCTGGTGTTTGCTGCTAGTGATGACGGATTATATTGTATTGACAGAAACGAGGGAAAAATCGCTCGCTTACTTGTTGTGCCATATTAAAGTACGAAGGGAATCCCAGGAATCCGAGTCGCGGTAGATATATTGCATGGATGCACGAAGCGAGGGTTGGAGGGTGTCTTCGTCACGGTGGAACAGGTACATGACCAGGCCCCAGCTTACTGCTGCAAAGACAGGGTATGTGTGTTGAGGTGCATCGATCACTTGTCGTTTGACAGGCACCTTGACGAGTGCAATCGCTACACGGGCAAAGATGTACAAGACAATCTTGGGCCAATCACGTTTCCGTTTAGTCCACTTGTCTATAAATTCCCTCCCCGCATATAGCACACTATGCCGTCGTCATATCCGTCATTCTGACCCACATAGCCCTACTCTTATCACATGCCAAGAGAAAGATAGCTCTGTGTTGTACCTGTTGGTTGATGGCATTATTCTCGCCGAATACAAAATAGCCACCCAAGAGACCAGCAACAAATGTGTGTATATCCGCCTGCTTGTTTCCATTCAACTTTTTCTGCACAAACATGGCCACCTTGTAGATTGTCGCAAACGTACCCAGGTTCTGTGCGTGTTGCTTGGTTGCTCTAAAGACGTACCGGAACTTATCCATTGTACTAACAATACCCCCAGGGTTCTTTTCGTGAGTAAACCATCTATTCTTGTGGTGCGTATAACAGCTGCGACGGGTACTTACGTTCCAGACTTGAACAAAAAGGCCATGACAAGCGCATGTGGGAACCGGATTCGAGTACCATAGACAATACCATTACGGAAACCTTTCAAGATGGTAAGGACATCGTGGTATTTGGGATTCAGGGCAATGGCTTCTAGTACGTCCATTCTGTAAACTTTATTATCATTATTATTAAAGCGAGGTTATAGAGACACCATAGGAAAACTGTTCATCGTAGTAAGAACAAACCTCTAGAACCAAAAAAATCAAGAGGAAAAAAAAAAAGAAAAGAAAAGTGTGGAGCAAGAGGGGAAAGGGAGACAAGTGTCTCTCTTTACAACCTATTTTTCACATGAATCAGAAAGGTGACTTGAAAATTTCGCAGGATAATGTTTTGGCATATGATTACCGTATTATGTACCCATCGGGCCATCGATTGGCTGGGCACTTGAAGCGGCTTTATGACGATTACAACAGAACTAAAGTACTGCATATGGCAAGTCTCTCTTTCTAGCGCTTCTGTCAACAGGTGTCTTTTATTACTAATCATCACTGTGGCAGTTGCTCTTTTGCATCATGCTGGCATCACACAATGCTATGTCTGTACCAAGAAACGCTTGTTGCTGCTGCTGTATGTGTCAACCCACTGCTGCCCCGGCTATCCGAAACCAAAATTGCTTGTATATTCGCACCGCCAGGGACAGATGAATATACTTTCTGTCTTGGAATAGGTGTGAAATTCCGCTGATCCCAAGCAGCCCGCTCCCCGCCACTCCCACGAACAGTCGTCATCTAAAGTACTCTCCGAACACACTCTTGTATAAATAACCTTCCTTGAGTACTGATCACGGCGCCGATTTAAATAATGTTCGTCTATTACCACCGCCTATTTGCTCGGCATGATCGGCCGCGTATATTGCCATTAGCTATTAGGTAACTGTTTTACATCTGGCGTCACTTATTTCTCTCTAAAGAACACGGCACAAAGCAGTGCGTACGAGTGCACATACGCGGGGTAAACTCGGATCACATATTACGTATGAGCAATGACCCGATGACTGAAAACAACGCACGTGGTACACTAAATTTTGGAAAACAGAATTCAAGGCACAAGCAGGTTTATCGTAGATGATGCTGCCTGTGGAAGAGGATGGGTTAGATTATTAGCCAACAATGCCATATATGCTTATTGGCCTAGTACTATGTGCTAATTTAACACAACCATGGATTAATAGGGTTATTCATCTTAGCTTCTCCATCGGCAGTTCCCTCATTATCGCTTTGTTACCTTACCTGACCATTTACAGGAGATTTATATACTCTTCTGTATTACTGGCATATTATTACCAGCGGCTACTATGCATAGCTACAGCAAATAGTCATTGTATCCTTACATACAGCGAGTAACCGAGATCTGAAGAGAAGTCCTACCTTTTCGATAAGCTTACGACTGCTTTACATAACATCGAATAAAAGACAAATCTGCCATGCGTCGCTCCACGCCAAAAATGGCCTCCAATCAGAAATATTTGACATTGTTAGTAACACACAAGAGCACTAAACTAATAATGAGCACAAAGGATTAACCTATCTGGCGGTGGATATTGCTCCGTCAGATGATGCATCTTCATCGATGGGTACATATTTGCTGCCCTGTCTACGTACGCGGCAGGACTAGCAGCAGGTAAAAAGTAGTTTCTTTTCTATCATCGTACAGTACTGAGTGTTTAGAAGTGGCAGACATGTACTGTATTCATCTTTCCAAACGATTTGTACGGTTCCAATTCTTATGAAAAGAGTGCGTCGTTGTTTTTTTTTCTCTGAGAGTTAAATACCGAGAGTATAGAAACATCCAGGCATAGTGTTGTTAAACATGTTTCTAAATTGTCACAGTAGATTATACAACCCGTACCACTGATAATCCACTGTGTACAGCTGATATGATATATTCCAAGACAAAATGCTATTGTTATATACTACGTGACGAGGAAGGACAAGAAAACCAACTCGCAAGTAAACATCTTGTACATGTAATAGACCAACTTTGTAGGTTGGCCACTCTGACTGCAGTCATCGATCTCTCCAATGAAGATATCGAAATCGCTAACAAAAATCTATCAATGATCAGTGATCGCTACCAGTTTTTGGAAAACCTTTTTAATTTAACCAATGATATGGACTTTATCCTGTATCACTCCCGGACGACCCCCCTTGCTGACTATCATATCTACACTCAGCGAAAGAACCAGCTTTTTGCCGAGGCTTCTGAATACATACGGTTGATTCTACAAGGCGGAAGAAACACACCACCAGTAACAACATCCTCTTCGTCTGCGGCTTTGTCGTCGTCATCAGCTCAACTCACAACAACAACAACAACAGCAACAGCAGCGTCATCAGCAGCATCGACCGCCGAGAAAGGGGATATCATACTGTACGAAGGAAAAAAAGAAGTAAGCGGTCGATCCTGAGGATTAAAAGAAAGACATGGGATAGAGAGGCTGTATTAACTCATAATGATGCTCAATATTTAAGTTATTCGTGTACAAGATTTTCAGTATGTACAAGTAGTCATAGCAATGAAGCAGTATATTTTTTTGCATACTAATAAAAGTGAGCTTGTCTTCAATTCTTATAAGTGTAATAACGGATATGGAAATGACATTCATGCAACTTGTGCTGCAACAGTGATTCTAATGTTAAGCAAATAATTCCAGACTGTAAACTTGTTTTACATATAATTTGACAGGTTCTTCATAGTTTATTGCGGGGAGAATAGAAAAGCATGTGTACTTATCATAATGTGGTAGGATGTGCTTTTTGCAGTTCTTATATCACAGCAGTATCATATCGTTCTCAGCATGTTTGAGATGGATCAAAAAACATTATGTATCAGTCAAAGGATAAGTCATTAAAAACCGAATTACTGTAAATATCTTATATCATAGTACTCTCTATTTCACCAAGTTCGCATAAAATGGTGTATATCAATGGATCTTATTGACAATAAACCTGATCTGCTCCTCTACATGACATGTTAATATTACAATGGTAGCTTCAATTTTTAGAGATAAGCACTCCATCAAGAGCAAGAACCTGTAATCAAAATAGCGAGTACTGCGCAATAGCCAAGAGAGACGCTGTATATTTCCTTACTAAGTGGCTCGATCATAAGTTGCAGTTTCGACCAGCTAGCTGGTGATTAGCATTGGTAGCGTCGAAAGAAGGTCCCTTTATCCAGCTTATCTCGCTGGATACTTTGATTCTGTTACCTAAAGAATCCCAAGTTCTGGTGTAGGATGTAAGATGTCAGTGACACGGCAAAATAGAAATATACCGCGCATCAGCAAAATTACCCCACACCCGGTGTTCTCACGCGGAGCACTGCCGCCCGGCAACGGAAGTCCGAAACGAATGACAAATGATGTTTCTTATAATGGACAAACTTATGCTTTTACCTTTGGTTCCTTTTTTTTTCTTCTGATACTACTATTACTACTCTAATTTAAATGCCCAAACAGCTAATTGTTCAATTCACACCTATTCGCACATGTCTGGTCAATTTACCTGGACAGTGGGTTACTGCGCTGCTGGACCAGCGCAAGGTAACAATATAGAAACGAGTGTTTCTCTCCCCCTCAACTCCCTTTTTCCTTTCAAGAACTTAACTTTGTCAGAAAGTGCAAGTAATCACAACTGACTCAATATTCTCCCGTCTCTTTTTTGATATAATAGTTGCCACAAAATGTCATTTTAGAAATCAGCTGGTCGACGATTAAAGACGGCAGTAATAAGAAAAAGACGTATTGTGGATGGTCAGGCGAGGCTTCCAAACCATTACCACCTAATGCCGTGTTCACCCACGGTCAGAACAGTAAGCTCGAAGTGTTAGAAATGGATCCACAGGTTGGACAAGCTATTGGTTTGGTTGAAGGTCAAAAGGTAAAAAAAAAGTTGGGGCGGTTGACACGTTTTTATTGAGCGTATATGTGTTGTGCGTGTTTGAGTGTTCTTACACCATTTCGGGTTTTGCTTCATTATTAGATCGATGTGGAATTCTGTCGTAATGTACCGGACTGTGCGTCTGTACACGTCGAGCCACATACCGAAGACGATTGGGAAATCTTGGTAAGAAGAAAAAAGAAAGAGTTGACAGCACATAGAAATTGGTCACCAACAATAAAAAAATAATGCACTGTATGCAGGAACTTCATGCTGGCTACGTGGAGGAGAACTTGTTGGGACAAATTAGAGCGGTCTATAATAACCAATTGATGAGCGTATGGATCCATGGACGAACGCTGGTCCGTCTTCGCGTTGGTAAGTTCTCGGTGTGTGTGTATTTGAGTTTATATACTGCGTGTGTGTGTTAAAACTTTATGTAAGGGAACCAGATCTGACTCGAACCCAACTTTCTAACCTCCAAAATATACAAAACGGATAGCCGAACTGGATCCCAAGGTGCCAGTAGTCAAGCTAAATACGAATTCTGAAGTGATTGTCGCACCAAAAGTCAGAAAACAACCCAAACCAGCAGCCGAGGTCGCTGCATCCTTGACGAAACAGCAAAAGGCAGCACCTCATGTCTATTTGCGCAACTTGCCATTGGGTGTTGCTGTTACTGACCTCTTGGCCCCCGTTATGGTGCACCCGGATTCAATTGGCGATGTTAAAGGGTCAGAACTGGTGTGTGTTTCCAAGGTCACCCCCGGCTTCGTCCGTCAAAAGTCAGGCTCGTCCGGAGATGACAGCAAGGATGCGTCAATGGGTGCCGCTGGTGGAGAGGGACAAGAGCATGGTCATGGGGATCATTCGATTGCTCCAGCAAAGGAAATGTATGCACCCGTGGTATTGAACTCGGCTGTGCCTCGACATCATGTATATGTAGATGAAACGATTCGACATACGCTGGAAATTAAGGACTTTGATACTGTAAAGTACGTAAAAGAAGGATGTGTTTATATGGAAGGCAATACGGGTTTGATTGATTGCTCACCATCGGAACGTGTTCATAATAGAGTTGCCACCGTGACCATGAAGAACAGTCCATTGGGGTCAATTATCCTACGCCAACGAGTATCGCCTGCTGCTGCCAACCACTCATCATTACGACTTGGTTTGGATGCCCATGCTCAAAAGCAGGCACAAGAAAAGATAGATCGAAATGATGCATTGATCCAATCTTTCCGAGGTAAAAAAAAAGAAAAACAATGATTTGGATTCGTTGTCAAAAACGTATTCACGTGAAATTCTTTTTCCCCACAGATTGGCTTGACAAGAGTCCGAATGACAAGATCATTGTAACACAAGGCACTGTTTACACAGCAAATCTAGGAGAGGATAAAGAAAATCAGCAGCATTGTTCATCTCTTGTCCAATTTGGACAAAAGAAAGGCCTCTTTTCAAGTCTGAATGGCGGTATGAATGCAACGGGGTCTCCGCAAAGCAGCGATACAATCAGTGAGTATGTTATCATTGCCAAGTCTCAGATCAAGGGATTACAAGTCGAAATTGGAGAGGATATTGTGACATCGGGTCTGGAAGAAGCGTCCAAAGTTAAAAGGTATACTTTTTACCATTTTCACAAAATCTTGTATAGAAAAGGGAAGATTTGGAGCTGAAAAGAAATGTCATCTAGTAGCAGTGTTGAGCAACCTATCGTGTTGGGTGGTGTCAACAAGCTCTATGAAAAGATCCATCAATACACCGTGGCCAACGTCGCCGACAAGGACTTGAAACAGGCGCTGTCTGTACCTGGTTGCGGTGGCATTCTGGTTACCGGTGCACATGGTGCAGGCAAAACGAGTTTGGTGAAAAAGCTGATCCATTCATTACACTGTGATCCCAAGGCGCTCATTTGTAAGTCTATCTCCTCTTCTCAAGTCAATCAATATATTGGCAGTGAAGATGGTTTGCGAGGGCGACATCTATTAAGTAGATTAGCATCTAATAACGGCATTCTGGTCCATTGTATAAAAGATACCCGTGAGGTCAACTGCGCAGAAGTAGCAGAAGAACGCGTGCCAACGTTCAAAGACTTGTTACAACAATGGTTTGACGAAGCAGCATGGCACGCCCCGTCCTTGCTTTTTTTCGATGACATCGACCGCCTTATTCCAGCTGAAGTTGAGGTAAACGGACGCTACTTTCCAACTGAAAAGGATCACTTTCTAATACGGTAATTCATATGGGTTAGCACGCGGACTCTACTCGATCTCGCCACCTTGCTGAGCTGTTTCTGCGAACGGCTTCCAAGATGACCAAGCGACACCAGATCATGATTATTGCCACATCACATCAACAGCAGTCGCTGCATCCAACGCTTATTGGAAACCACGTATTTACCGAATTGAGACATCTTAATCCACCCTCGCGAGACGAGCGTAAAGAGGTAATTATACAAAAGTCTCTTCTTTGTTCCCTCGAAAGAACCTCTGATATAATTTCTCTTCTGCACTAGATCATGGAAACCATCATGGCAAACGGACCTGAGATCTTGCAACGAAGTCTACCACTGATCGACTTTGTTGCAGTAGCATCTGAAACAGAAGGCTATCTGGCAGCAGACCTAAAGGCACTGATTGAACGTACTGTTCATGAAGGCGCTATCCGTAGTATCAAGGAGAAAAGAGACGATGAAAAGACAGGAGCAGAAGCAACAGCAGAAATCGCGTCGTCGTCTACAACCGCTTTGCAATTAACACAACAGGATTTCAAAAAGGCTCGCGAGGATTTTGTTCCTTCATCTTTGCGTGGTGTTAAGTTGCAAAGCTCGGGTGTACAATGGGCCGATATTGGTGGTCTAAATGAAACGCGCAAGGCATTGTTAGAAACACTCGAGTGGCCCACCAAGTATTCTGCTGTATTCTCACAGTGTCCTTTGCGACTCAGATCTGGGTGAGTTGGTTTTCAATAAGCGTGTCGCTGCTGGGAATGATCTGTTGGCATGATTACTAAATACCGCATTTTCTGGATACATAGTCTGCTTCTCTATGGCTATCCTGGTTGTGGTAAAACACTTTTGGCATCTGCTGTTGCAAAGGAATGTGGCCTCAACTTCATCAGTGTGAAGGGTCCTGAGATTCTCAACAAGTATATTGGTGCAAGTGAAAAGTCAGTGCGTGATCTGTTTGAACGGGCACAAGCTGCTAAGCCTTGTGTCTTGTTCTTTGACGAATTTGATTCTATTGCGCCACGGAGGTATAACCTTGATTTCTTACTGTCCCTGCCTATCCTTGAAAGTGATTCAAATATCCCTTTTCCAAATATATACTAATCGTGTATCTACAGAGGTCATGACAGCACCGGTGTTACTGACCGTGTTGTTAACCAGATGCTTACGCAAATGGATGGTGCTGAAGGTTTGGATGGCGTTTATGTATTGGCAGCTACAAGGTAAAAAGAAAAATATTAGAGTGATCCCCTCGACAAGAGATACTCACTGTAACGTATTTTCCATTAGTCGACCTGATTTGATCGATCCAGCCTTGCTTCGTCCTGGTCGTCTGGACAAGTCCTTATTGTGCGGCATGCCGTCTTTTGATGAGCGATTAGAGGTAATGTGAGAGAGAGAGAATATAAGGAAAGACAACAAGACGCAATGTTTCCATTTTTGGGTTAACTGGATCCCAATTTTCAATTAGATTCTGGAAGCTTTGTCCCGCAAAATGACATTAGCGTCCGACGTCGATCTTAAGATCTATTCTGAGAAAACCGAGGGCTATTCCGGCGCTGATCTTCAGGGCTTTTTGTACAATGCTCATTTGGAAGCCATCCATGGTGCTGTGAATATTGAAAGTTTCAAGGAACAACAAAAGAGACAACAAGAAGGCAAGAAAGAAGGTGACGAAATGAGCGACTTTGTGATGGTCAGATCATCCGTACCACCAGCAGCAACGACGACAGAATCCAGTAGTGGTAGCAATGGCGCATCAGCAGCAGCAGCAGCAGCAGCAGCAGCACCTAAACCGCCATTGACATTGGCAGAAAAGGGACAGATATCACAACGTGTAAGTTATTTATATGGGTTAGACCGGCAGAAAGAAAGACAAAAAAAAAACAGGGGAAGGTGTAACAAAGCTTATTAAAAAAAATCTTTTTTTAGCTGGCACTGATCAAGAAGGGTGTCGTGTCAACATCCCACGGCGGACAAAAGCAAAAGAAGCAGCAGCAGCGCAGCAAGAAGGAAGACGCAGCAGCAGCAGCTGCAGCAGCACATGCGGCAGCAGCCATCACGAAAACGCATCTGGATAAATCGTTGAAAGAAACCCGACCCTCCAATACGGCTGAAGAGTACATGCGACTGAGTATGATCTATAACGAATTCGTCACTGGACGGACAGGCGAGTTACCGTCGGGCGAAGGGGCCAAGGGGATTGGCAAACGGACAACCTTGGGCTAGAACAGCAGTTGAGATGCCATTAAGGATAACACCAGTAGTAATGATATGTAATAAACAGCACCCCCATACTCACTACTATATATTCATACTACTGAAAGGGACTCCAACAATGATGAGCGAAAAAACCCCCACCAATGGGCGTAGTCTAAAATTAGCGCTCTCAATTTTTTTTCGTGCTATTTTCCTTCTACTTCTCCTTTCTTTCCAGCCCGACGAACCCTTTTCCTTGTTAAAAATACCACAACGGCTGTTTATTTATAAAAGTTTGTAGCCAAAAAAGAACAAGCGAAAAAGAGACACACACACGCACACCACTCACTGGAAAGCCGCCAAACTGCATAATAAACTGTAAGCTCTATTTCTTGTACTTCTTTTCCTCTTCTTCTTCCACTTCTTTTACTTTCATTTACCCTCTTTTTCCCTTTTTTGTTTCGGCGTCATGCCAAGACAATGCACTAAAAGTCAATGGGAATGGAGCCAAGAAAACGCAAACAACAATAAATAGTAACCTTCCTCCTTTGCAGATGGGTCGTAAAAAAATCAAAATCCAACCCATCAAGGATGATCGTAATCGTCAGGTAACAAAGAAGATTACAGGGCCACCTTGTGTGAAACTAGGGAAACTCAATAATCTCCCAATTTTGTTGCCAGGTCACATTTCTGAAACGAAAGCAAGGTCTCATGAAAAAGGCTTATGAATTAAGTGTGTTGTGTGATTGTGAGATTGCCTTGATCATTTTTAATTCGAGCGGCAAGTTGGTGCAGTACGCAAGTACCGAGATTGACAAGATTCTCCTCAAGTATACTGATGTAAGCTCGCTTGTGCACGCAACTTGCTATTGTTACTGCGGTTAACAACCCCCTCCTTTTTTTATTTATTTACCCGGGTGATATACTAACGAATTGATGAAACGAATTACGAAAGTATAACGAGCCGCATGAAAGCAAGTCCAATCTCGACGTAGGTTAATTTTTATTGCTGATTCGGTTGAGAAAGAAGGAAGCTCACACGTTATGGATAGTTTGTCAATGCGACGGACCAGGACGAGGACGCAATCAAGATGGAGGATGATATGGGCGATGGGGATATGCATGATATGGCATCTGAAAAATCGGGAACGGACTTGGCAACAGCAACTACTGTCCCAACACAGTCCTTCTCACATCCAACAGAGCACCATCCACAGCAGCAGGCCCATCAACCTCCTCCTCCACAGCCAACTCCACCACCGCACCCACCGCAGCAACAGCAGCAACAGCAACAGCAACCGCCACACCAGCCGCAGCCACACCATCCTTCGATGCAGCCACAACAGGCGCCTCAAGTTGGGTCACATATGATTGGCCATGCCCAACCACCTCCACCTCCGCCTGTCATGTACTATCAACAGCAGCACCAGCAGCATCACCACATACCACCGCCGCAACACCGCCCGCCTTATGGTGCTCCCATGCAGCAACATCCACCACCGCCACCACCGCCACAGCACCGAGTTTCGCACTATGAAGTGTATGGCATGCAACCTCCGCCTCCACACATGTACATGAACTACGGAATGCACGCGCCACCGCCTCCACCACCGCCCTCGCATCATCCACATGTTCAATACGGTGCTACTAACACTACTACGACCACAACTGCTACGGCTCCTCCGCCTCCTCCAGCGCCTGCGGGTACACCTCCCATGATGCACCATCCTCCTGTTCCTCCTCCCCATCACTATCAACAACAGCATCATCCTTCATATGCTGCTAGTGGGCCCACGGGAACAGCAGCTGTTACGACGACCGCTGCTACACCGCCGCTGCCTCTACCAACCACACCACAGCAACCGCATATGAATAGTCCGCGTCAACAACCCACGGCCGAGAGCAGTCCACATACGGCCAACATGCCTAGTCCAACACCTTCTGCCGCAAGCCATCACAGCAGTAACCATGGCAGCGGTGGTGGAAGTAGTGGTAGTGGTGGTGGCAGCAAGAAGCGTGCACCACCCAAATTAAGCGTCCAGATTCCAGCCGGTGACTCGCCCAAGCAACCTCAAGAAGACAACAAGACCGCTAACGATGATAGCAAATTCGCACGACCCAACACGCCGAACAAAAACAACACTGGTGACACTAAAAACAACAGCAACACTATGAGTAAAAGCAATGCACCTGCCAGAAGCACAGCAGAACCGAGCACAGCGAGTATAGGCCCACCCTCGGCGCTGCCGTCCCAATTCGTTCAAAACTTGTATTCACCCACGACGTTTTATCCCGAGTTTTATCAGCAAAATGAACTGCCCAGTCCGTTGAACTTCTCCGCCACGCCTACGGCGGGTAACACGTTCCAATGGCCTACGCCGTCTTCGGCCGCTGGATCATCCTCTTCATCATCGTCCTTGTCAACCGCGCAAGCACCGGCACAAGGCCCACCAGCGACGCGCGATTACAAGCCTTCTCCTTTGGCCAAGCGTGATACCAAGTAAGTTACTACATAGTCATAGATGTGTTGTATCAGTGCTAACTGTGCTATCTGCTATTAGTGATTCGAAACGGCCCGCAGAAGATGATGATAATGAAGATGACGACAACAAGGGTGGGAGCGGAGGAGAAAAGGAAGCAAGTAATAGTAGTGGAAAGAAACAACAAGCAAAGAAAGCCAAAGTCGCATAGTTTTTATATTTATTATTATTCCATAGCATTCCCGTATATATCTTGTTGCACCTTCTTTCTTCTTTCTCTCTCTCTCTCTCTCTCTCTCTCTCTCTCTCTGTTTTCGTAATCTTCGGATCGAGGGAGAGTAGGAAAGGAGAGACATTTTATTCAAACACACACGTTTTATATGTTTTCTTACAAAGCAATATAGCTGTTGTTTCGATTTGTGTATATAATTTTTCTATCGTTCAAATTTGCCTCCGCCAGAGATATACCTGCGTTTTCTTCTTTCCGTTCCTTCCGAAATGTTACTGTTGCTACGACAATCATTAAAGCATCAACACCAGCTTCATTCAATCGTCGCTGTTCCTTTATGGCGACGAAGCTATAGCAGCTTGAAAAACAACAGTAGCAATAGTAGTTGTTCAGCGTCAACAACACAACCTCTATACCCGGACCGACCTATTGGGTTCTTGAACCTTGTCGGTGAAAAAGTCCCGTACGATGCCGGTTTAAAGATTCAGACACATTTAGTCAATCGTCGCCATGCGATTAATAAGCAACAGCAGCAAGACGGTGGTGAAAGGACCAGTAGTCTGATGGCTGATGACGGCGATCCGGCCGATATTATTGTGTTTTTACAACACCCGCCTACGTACACGGCTGGCCGACGTATTCGCGGGAAAACCGAATTAGAAGAAGAGCAACGGCTACGGCGTCTAGGTGCTGATTATTTTGAGGTAAACGCTTATAGGGTAAAATATCCAAGTATCGCATAGTAAGTAACAACCAACGCGAAATACATTATTAGACGATGCGTGGTGGTGAGATTACATACCACGGTCCAGGTCAACTTATTGCCTATCCCATCCTTGACGTTCGCGATTACCAGGTAAAAATAATAGCTTGTATGCTGATTATGCAACAGAACTTTTTTAAATAATGATCGAATTACAGATTAATGTACGATGCTATGTGTCACGACTGGAAAAAACCATCATTGACTGCTGTGCAGACTTTGGAGTACAAGCCAACACAACGGACAACACGGGTGTGTGGGTAGGCCAAGATGCCAAGATTGCAGCCTTGGGTGTGCATCTACAACGTTACGTAAGCAGCCACGGAGTCGCGCTGAACTGCAATGTGGATCTGGGGTGGTATGACCATATTGTGCCCTGTGGATTGACGGATAAACGTGTTACTTCACTTACCGAGCAAGTGGGTGCAACTATTACCCCGCAAAAGACATTGCCAGTGTTGGTGCACAGTTTCCAAAAACTGTTCCAGGTCCCGGTACAGCCGATCATGTCGGACGGGCCACTCATGCGTCAGATCAACTCTATTTTAATGTCATGATCACTCCAATAATATCTGCCTTTTTCACTAAAAGCATCTTTTTAAAAATCTGGGGCGGGGGCGGAATTGAAAACAGTTATGCATCTGTATTCCATCTCAGTATAGTCTGCTGTATGCTTCTGGACCCATTGATATCTTGCATGTGTCGGGAAGAAAGAGAAAAGTAGATATTGCAAAGAAAGACACAAGGAGAGAAGCGCAATCAGAAAATTCCTTTTTTTTATTGTTGGAGACTAGTCTGGTGGTCATAGCTGCTGTGGAGTCGTTGTCGTTCTTGCTGCAGTCGCTCAATCAATTCACTCTTACGACCTGTTGTAGAATGGCCATAGTACCGCAGCATGTGTTTGAGCTCAGCCACTGTCACATCGTTGAAATTCATGCGTTGCAGTTGTTTGTCCATGGACGCTCGCTGTTGCTCCGGACTTTCAGCTGGTATTCGGCTACGGTGCAGTCGTTGGATCTGGACAGGCGTGCTGGGTTTCATCATCATGGGTGGCGGTGGCCTTGAATCGGCAGCGACTCGTATGGGGGCAAAGACGACCTGGTTGGACGGATGATGATAATGATGATGATGGTTTGGTGTTGGATGGTGTGTTTTGTAATGTTCGCTGTGGAAAGTGGGTGGTACGGAGCATGACCGTCGTCGTCCTTTGGGTACAAAGTCTGGCTCATGTTGTAGTCTCCAAACCTGTTGTTGCTCTAGCACTAAGCCTTGATCGTCTTCTTGACTTGGGAAAGAGGGTGCATCTAAAAAGTGTTCCACGCCCGATGTTGATGGGGGATGAGGAGCACCAGCAGTGGTGGTGGTAGCGGTTGGGTGAGTGGGTATGACGAGATGGTCGAGGTCCATAAAGAGATCGCCATGGGGTGGTGACGATTCTTCAACAGAAGATACAGGGGAATGTGTTAATGACAGTGGTGGCTGCAAAAAGAAAAAATATTTTAGCTTTTTTTTTTCTAATTCCCAATCGTGCCGTAACAAAGCAACAGAATAGCTTGCTTACGTTGGTAAAAGGTGTATTGACAGACGAACTTCTTCGACGGGCTACATTGTTGGATGGTGGCGAAGCCGGTGGCGGCACCTGGAGCATGCCGTTAGGGTCCTCAAGGTCAAACTGTATGAATTCGTCAAAGTTCCAGACGCTGTCGTCCATCGTATCCTCATTGTTGTGTGTGCTGGTGGTGGTGCTGTTGCTGCTGTTCAGATCGTCTAGCAGATAAGGTTGGAACGGGGATATATCCAGTGGGTACTGATGCTGTTCAGGTTGCTGGTACATTTGTTGCTATGCAAATTCTCAGAGAAATAGAGAGAGAAAGAAAGTGAAAAGATCAGATGTGAAAACACAAAAGAGAGAAACAAAGAGGTGAGAGGCATGAATCACTCTTACCTCAACCAACCTTTTATGAAACCTAGCCCATGCCATTTCGGGCAATCAAACCGATGGAGATCGCTCATCTTCAGCTTTTAGGAAATCACCTGACCTGCTCTCTTTTTTATTTTTCTGCTGCGGATATACTGTTTCCCCTTTTGGCCAATAATTCTTTCGTTGTCCTCCTTTATGCGAACCGCATTCTACTGTTAACCCATGACTGACAATTCCCCACTTTTCAGTAGCGTCTGCTCGCTTATGGATACGATCGCAGAATCGCGTGGCACTGAGCTCAAGAAACGTCGATTCGAAAGGTTTCTGTATGAATGGCGCTCCAAATACGGTTACGACGTTTACGACGCTATGCGATTACTGCTTCCTCACGTAAATAAAGATTAATCTCTTTTACGATTTGCCATCCAATGGGAGAAAAATGGATACTCAAGCTCGGAATCTTTCACGTTTGAAATAAAAATAGCTTGACAAACGACGCTATAATCTCAAGGAAATGAAATTGGCCAAACTGTACATTGAAGCACTCGGCTTGGGTCGTAATTCGGCGGACGCGCAAGACTTGCTCAAGTTCAAGCAACCTGGTAGCTCTTCCAATAAATACGTCGTAAGTATGCTTAATAACGACAAGCAAAGAAAAGTTGTCATGTGTGCCTGTGGGGGTTGTATCTCGTGTAACATAACGCCATTGTTCATTTATGTTTAGAAAACTATTGGCGATTTCGCCGGAGTCGCGTTTGGCAAGATCCAGGATCGATCGACTGTTCAAAAGCCAACCCAAACTGTGGCTGATGTCAACGCGTTGCTCGATACATTAGCAACATCCGACAGGTGAACCGAAACAAAAGATTATATAAAGGAGAAGGGGAGAGATACGGCTGTTGTCACTTGCAAAAGGAAAAGATCTGTTAACCCGTGTTTTACGTATAACAAACGTTTTGCAGTGACGAGAAACCCAACGCTTCCAATGTCAGGCTGTTTAAAAAAGTCGTCAATGTATATACTGCTTCTGAACAGAAATGGTTGATCCGGATTATACTCAAAAGTATGGTGAATGAACAGATTTTGAGGAAAAGGAAGGAAAGGATATATGTATGTCGATCCTAACAGCACAACAATCGGGATGATGTTTTTCCTATTAGACCTAAACATTGGCATGACGGATCATTCGGTTTTGCAAGTGTATCATCCACAAGCACGGGATATGTTTGCTGTTTGCAGCAACTTTGAAAAAGTGTGCAAGGATTTACAGGATCCCTTTATCAGACTCAACAAATCAGTTAAGGTTCTTTCTTGTAGGACCAAGGGATATACAGGCTTGTTAGGGTTGGATAGATGAAATGTTTCTATGGGGTAATACTGATGCATTTCTATCAACATAGACCATTGGATTGTTCCAGCCATTCAAACCCCAATTGGGTCAAAAGCAAGTACCCAAAGACGTACGTACTGTGGCACATGAAGGAAAGTTTTATATCGAGGAAAAGCTGGATGGCGAACGAGTGCAAATGCACTATGATGCAAACTCGAAACGATTTGCATGGTATTCCCGGTAAAATATGTTGATAGTTTCTTTTAGCGGCCTGGTATTTATTCATGTGATATGTAGATCCCTATTAATTAAGACATATCAAATAAATATAGAAAAGCAACGGATTACTCGGAAATGTATGGTAAAACATACATTCATGGACAATTCACAGGATATCTTGAAGGCTTGTTTAAAGCGGACAGGTAAGGCAGTAGGAATCCAAGATTAGAAAGAGATATTTTCGATGATGTGTTAAGCTAAATTAGGTATTGATCTCTACATAGTCTCGTTCTTGACGGAGAGATGATGACATATGATCCGAAACTGGACGTGTTTTTGCCCTTTGGTACCTTGAAAACAGCAGCGAAGGGTACGTGTGCACATTTAAAATATCGATGCGGCCTAACAATAGAAACTCATAACATTATCCTATGCGATATATTTACATAGACAAAAGTTTGGATCCGCACAAGGCACATCCATGCTGTGAGTATATTGAAGGATTACAAATTGCTATACAGTTTGTGAGAAAAAAAAAAGAAGCTTTTCCTTCGATCATGCATACTAATCAAAAGACGTATCATATCTCATTAGATGTTGTCTTTGATATCGTTTATTGCAATGGCAATCCTCTGCTCGACTATCCTCTCAGCGACCGTATTCAAATATTGAACAACGTTCTCACAGAAAAGCATGGATATCTCCACCTACTACCTCGCGAAACCAAAACCACCTCCCAAGATATCATCGACGCCCTGGATCACGCTATGAGCTTACGGTATGAGATTCTCGTACCATCCTTGTTCAAGAATAGTGTGTCATCACCATTGACTATCTGTTCGTTTATATGTTCTTACCATCGTTATTTCGCTGTCATGTGTTAGGCAAGAAGGTATTGTTATCAAGAATCCTGGCTCTGTATATGAACCTGGTACCAGGAATATCACTTGGATCAAGCTGAAGCCCGAATATATCGATAGTTTGGGAGAAACGTGCGATTTGCTTGTTATTGGTAAATATGATTGGAGTTATTATATTTCTCAACGAAAGAAGAAAGGACAAAATCCAACTTGGAAATACTGCTGTATATCATTTAGGTGCAAAATATGGCAGTGGCAAACATCGTGGTGGTCGACTTAGTCAGTTCCTTTGTGCCATTCGTGACGATCGTGAGGACAGCACGGGCAACAAAGACCCAAAGTAATATATGTTTATAAGATTGTTTACTGGAGGTGTACAACTGACGGAACAAAGAAGGAAACGAATACTTAAAGTTGAATGTTCAATTTGTAAAGGTTCATGACTTTCTGTACACTCGGCACAGGATACACTGTAGATGAACTCGATAAATTCAGGTTAGTTCACTTGGACATACGCTTTGCTCACGAATACACTATTAGCAGTTTCTCATCCTGAATGTGTATGTAATCAACAGGGAAAAGTTTGCAGAGCTCGAACCATACGATGCTAAACGACAACCACCGTGGTTGATCCATCCTCGAAAGTCAAACGAAAATCCTGAACAGGTTGTGGATTACAGACGGTACAGTATCCAATGATTCTTGCTACACTTTTTCTCTTTGCGTACGTACGTATTTATACAGAAAAAAAACATTATGATGATAGATCTGTCGTCGTAGAAGTCAAGGCATCTGAAATCATTTGGGGCAGTAAGTGTCGATGTATTTGTTTCGCTCAATGTCGGCTCTTGTAATAGTGCAATATCCAAGTTGCATATATCTAAATTTGTTCCAGACATGTACGGTGCCACAAATACTCTGAGATTCCCCAGATTTGTATCGTTCCGAGAAGACAAGACATGGGAAGACGTAATGACTTGGAGTGGTAAGTAGACGTTGAAACCGTGAAGGCTAATCTGAGATAACAAGTAATTATTAAACGACTGTATACGCATTCGTAGATATGAATAAAGCAAAACGTGATGGAAGGATTGGTGGTGGTGAGAAACGCGGAGCCACACAAAAGGACTTTGAGTACGTTTTTCTTTTTCTCTTTCCTGATGTACTTGTTGTACGGGCTATTGGTATTCAGCGCTATTATTATTGCATACTCATCTGATCTACAAACTTTAATATAGTGGCCAATCGAAAAGACGTAAAACATCCATCACGGCTCGTAAGGTAAAATAGAAACCATTATTTTATATCCTAATTCATGTGTAGATCCAATGAAATTGATCACATAGTAAGTCTTAGCCCTAAATTTTCGCCTTATGTAAAAAATAGCCAAAACAACTCGTATTCAGCCAACAGGGCATTGATACCCGTAGCATCAAGACAAAATCCGCATTGTTCTCAGACTTATCATTTTGTAAGTGTACAAACTACTGGGGCTATTGTTAGGAGAGGTTATTCTTTTGTTAATAGGTTTTCTGTGTGTTTATTTAGACGTTATCAATGGTGACAAAGGCTCCTCCAAAGCCGAATTGGAGACCATGATCAAGGAAAACGGTGGCAGGTTCTTGCAGACCGCCCATGGTGTGAAGCATGTTATCGCTGGATCGAAAAGTAGGGATGCCATTGATATGTTATTAATTTCTTATTTATCTGCATTTACTGAATACACGCACATGAATTTTAGACCCTCGAGTCGATAGCATCATTAGCAAGGATGATCGAGACGTTGTATTGCCTCGATGGATTGCTGACTGTGTTGAAGAACAGGACCTTCTTCCTTTGGCACCCAATTATATGCTTTATACGAACCAGAACACTGCTGCCAAGTTCCGTGAAGAGATGGACAAATGGGGTGATATATACATTCAAGATGCCACAGAGCAAAGTTTGCGCGAGGTAAACTCTACTAGAAACTGGGGGTTAAATGCAAATTTGGTTATCGTGACCTCTACTATTAACTGGTTTTACATTTTTACCATCACTTGTTTTTATTTGGCACCGACATAGGTCATGGCGCGTATACACATTGGCTTCGACGCAAATAAGCAGCGTACACTTGCGAATGAAATTCACGAACGCTATTTCCCAAACCAAGTGATGCCTGGGATGATGTTCTTACGTGTTCGTGCCTACTTGGCCGACATGCCACCACCTGAAGAACCCGATGGGAGCAGTATGGATATGGATTGGGTCAAAAGACAAAAGGCGCATGAACGGTTGACCTTGGCATCTAAGCAAATTCGATTCCGAGGGGGCGAGGTTGTTGATCGTATCGACGAAGGCATCACACATGTAGTATTTGCTCCAGATGATTTGGAACGCGTACAAGAATTTACAGAGGCATTCAAAGGGTAAAAAAAACGAATTTTTGTATATACATGTTTGTTGGTTTTTTTCAATAATATCTGACAGCCTTCGTCATATATTCATTAGGATGCTGTTACCGCGGTTTGTCACGACAGAATGGATCGATGCGTGTGTGCGAAACAAGACATTGATCGACGAACGACGTAAGCTAATATTTATATATATGCTGACAGTGACGATCGTCATAATAAGTACAGAACAGTTTTCTAATCTTTATACATTTTCATCTTTCGTTTTAATCAAGGATTTGAGCCGAAGCTTCCTCAATCTGCACGATACAGCTTATCAGCACGTCGTCAACAACAACAACAACAACAACAACAACAACAACAACAACAACAGGAGGAGCAGGAAAAAAACGGAAATTAAAACACGTACATGATACTACAACGCGAAAACATCTTTTAACATCTATACACATATACTTTACATAGCAAATTGTACATACGTTATAGCACACTTGCAAACTAATAGAAGAAATGTTTAGCGCTGGTCTTGCGCCTGTAAAACACGTGCTTGGGATATAACTATAAGGGATCGACAGAACCCTCCTTCTATCCGTATCATAACTTGTAAGCCTCTCACTGTCAGGACAACAATGGTATGGTGCAACAAGTTTATAACCGACATAAACGATGCAGTTTTTTTGAGGTTCCATAAATATCTTTGTATGCATGACTAGCTAAGACAAACCTGTAATAATGATTTTTAGGTACTTTCTGTACAATTGTTATACGTTTACGTTGTCATTTGTCTCAGCAAAAAAAAGTTATGGGCACTCAAAGTCTGCCACTTTTTAGCTGGGGCAGGCGAAATTGAAATGGTTGGCAGCATAGTCGGTACAAAGTGTATCCGCGACATACAGCATGAAACGCGCTAAATCCATCTTCACCTCTTTCTTGATTGCATATTTGACAGGTTGAAGAAGAACTTACCCATAGCTTTGGGTAACGCATCTCCACCCAGTAATACTCCCATGAAGATTAGAATATACTTTAATGGATGTGTGCGCTACATTGAGGCTTATAGTAAGGGTATGGATGTGTGGGCAGCAGACGAAGAGGTGTGCAACTTCACCACAAGAGTTTCTACATTTCATCATCAGCGCCTTAGCATAGATGAATAAGTCCTAAAATAAATGTTTACTATAAAAGGAATCAAGATTTTAAATTCTCAATTTTGTTGGTTATAAACTTTCTACACCATAACCCTTGGCAACGGCAAACCCGTTCTTTAAGACACTGCTGCTTCTTGGATCATACAACATATGCATTCAAACGGTTGTTTTATAAACCAGCAGAATTTGTTTTTTTCATCGAATTGCTGATCGCACTATGTCTATTCTGTGATATGTACTCTGAAAACAAATTGCCCTTCTTGGAATCTTCTTGTTGTCAACGACGTACCATGTAAATTTGGTGCAGTCGCTGGAAGCAGAAACGTGCAACGCTTGCTAGCTATGTGAAAGCTCTTACCTCCAAAAAGCAAGAGAGCAGAAGTGTTTAATATGACACGGAAAAAATCCAAGTTGATGCCTGTCTCCCTCGCATCCAACGGATCAATGGATTCTTTATGATACAGTCCCCCTTTGGATGGTTTGGATGCCATACGTCAATAGTGCACCGCATCTTATCATGGAGGCTGATGCTGGCGTTTTCATACTTGCTCGTTTTTGCAACATTACATTTCTATTAAATGACCGGGTTACATGCGCAAATGATGGTTGAACTGTAGCATATTTATAACCAACGTTAAAATTTATGATAGCAGGAACCAACACGGACTAGAAACATCAACTTCCGTTTCATTACGATGAGCCAGAACTATTTATCAGTTTTTCGAACCACGTGTTGCGCTTACCACTCAATGAGAGGAGAAACTGTATATAAAGTTAAAAGCATAGAATACAAAGGAAAGAAGGTTATAGAATTTGGGACAACGTCAGCTGTAAATATTTGTGAAAGGATGGATGTCCGTCTAATTAGGCGTTTTGGTTGGTACATATGGTATACACTCTTCACGTGGCAGCGACGTTCTTCATCGTTCCTGCTTACTTCCTTAGCATACAGTACATGCGTGCACAATTGTGTTCTCCTCTTCTATTGCTTGTCTGCATCCAGTTTCTACGCTTAGTGTATATTCAAAATGAATGTATGGGCTGTTTCTTGTCTTCGCTTGCGATGGCGATTATAACTATTATTAGAAGCTGAGATGACTGATGGGGCGAGGTATGTTCCTCCAACAGCAACTCATGCTATCTATTATTTTTATTTACAAGTGATCGTGATACCGGTGATAAATATCTTAAATATGTGTAGAGTCACCCATTGTTTTGCCACTGGTTTATTGCCCATTTTTTCTACTGCTGCGTCACTGCTGGTTGTCGCTGTCTTCCATACTGTACTATAGCATAGCCTTCTTTTCCAAAACATTAACATACAGTAGTGCCAAGTTCCAACAAAAACGTTCCCGGATGTAGAGGAGTTTATCAAGTAGAAGGTTATAACCTCACTTTCTTGATTTTCTTGCTCATAAAAACATACCCGGTCGTATAAGATAAAGACAAGCCACGGTATCGATTGTTGCAAAAGACGATCTAGGCAGTAATTGAATCATTCATGATATTCTCACGTTCAAACAAATCAAATAATATCAAGCGAGCAGTAAAGGAGCAACGCTACTCGATCTGGGTTTTTGACCAAGATAAGTAAGCTGCCCTTTACCCCGCACATTTAATATTCCCAAGCTTTTTCCATACTAAATAATCGACGTTGCAGAAGCAGCCCCTAATGTCATGTCACAACACGTTTACAGAGTGGGAAGCAGACTATTAAGTGCGCCGTCGTCGATACCAGCGACACGAGCAACAGCAGCAGCACTTTCCTCTCTGTTATCCGCTCGACAACACTCTGCCTCCCACTGTTCACTCTATCGACCTCAACGTCAGCTTACACGTCGGATTTCTTCTCGGAATCAAAGAATCGATAGACGGCAATGTCCAGCCACGAATGCTCGGTATTCAACTGCAACAACACAACAACAGCCATATAGAAAGGTTTATTTACATTACGATCCACACTCCTGAGTTACAACTATGGCAACTTGAAAGGTTGTTGCTAAGTTTAAATTACCATGCTTGTAGACATTTGACAAACTTCTTATCGCAAATCGCGGCGAGATCGCCTGTCGGATTATCAAGACGGCTCACAAAATGGGCGTACGTACAGTAGCGGTGTATTCCGAACTCGACGCGAACGCGCGACACGTTCAGCTGGCTGACGAAGCTGTGTGCCTTGGTGATGCTCAATCCTATTTATCGATACCCCGGATTTTAGACGCTGTACGACGAACGGGTGCCCAAGCCGTTCACCCGGGGTATGGATTCCTTAGCGAAAATCCAGCCTTTGTCAAGGCGTTGGAAGATGCAAATATCACGTTCGTGGGTCCTTCGGCAGACGCGATTGCGGCCATGGGTGACAAAATCCAAAGTAAATTAATTGCTCATGCGAGTGGTGTGCATTGTATCCCCGGTTATGACGGTGAAGTTGAGTCCGTGCAAGTGGCACTTGATGTTGCGCATGAAATTGGATACCCCGTAATGATAAAAGCCAGTGCTGGAGGTGGTGGCAAGGGTATGCGGATTGCTTGGGACGACGATCAGTTGAAAGAAGGCTTCAAGTTAGCAAAACAAGAATCAAAGTCTGCATTTGACGACGACCGGATGTTGATCGAAAAGTATATTGATCAACCCCACCATATTGAAATCCAGGTGCTTGGTGACAAACATGGCAACGTGGTATATCTGCCGGAGCGCGAGTGCTCGATCCAGCGAAGGAACCAGAAAGTAATCGAAGAGTCGCCCAGTGTTCATGTTGATGCAGAAACTCGACGGAAAATGGGCGAGGAAGCTGTTGCTTTGGCACGTCATGTAAAATACAATTCGGCTGGTAAGAGAAGAGAGGCAGATATATACCGTGATGCGTTTTGTCCGTTTTCTTTTCAAGCCAAATGTGAAGATTGACAAACCTTCTTTTTTCAAAAATGTTAGGTACCGTGGAATTCTTGGTTGATGCCAATCGCAACTTTTACTTCCTGGAGATGAATACACGACTCCAGGTCGAGCATCCAATCACGGAATATGTCACCGGATTAGATCTAGTAGAGCAAATGCTGTACTCAGCAGCTGGCTATCCGCTGTCGATCCAACAGAAAGATATCCAGTGTCACGGCTGGGCCATTGAGTCACGTGTATATGCTGAAGATCCAACAAAATACCTACCGTCGATCGGAAGATTGTTAGTTTACCAAGAGCCTCCACAAATTTCTGATCACGTCCGTTGTGATTCAGGAATCAATGAAGGCACTGACATTGCAGTGGACTATGATCCTCTCTTGTGCAAACTCACGACACACGGAAACACACGCGATGAAGCGATCGATAGCATGGTTCATGCCCTGGATGAATACGTGATCAAGGGCGTAACGCACAATATTCCATTGCTACGAAGCGTAGTCGACCATCCACGATTTCGAGCTGGCAAAGCAATCACTACAAACTTTTTGGCAGAAGAATATCCAGATGGCTACCGCACAGCAAGCTTATCTGACATTGAGTTAGAGCACTTGGCAGCAGTCAATGCAGGCATGTGGGCGAAAAAAGAGGCTTCTATGGGTGACATGGCTGATAGATGGCAGGTGTGGGTCCAAGTGACAGATGAACAAAGCGGCCATATGCGAGAAACCAAACTGGATATAGCAAGAAATGGTGTTGATGACTTTAAGGTTTGTTTGTTGAAAGAAAGTGATGGCTTTTACGCAAAGTACTTATACTTATCTTATAAAACAGGTATCTTCACCAAATCTCAAAAATTTTGCGTTTTCGACTCGTTGGCCTTTAAAGGGGCTACTTGCAAAAGCATCCATGAAAGAGACTGGGCAAGAACTAGTGGTCCAGTACCTGGACGAGTTGGATTTCGGTTGCAGAATACAATACCGGGGTGACAAGGTGAAAATGCTAAACATATAAAGTCATAGTTGTAGGAGTTTACAAAGAATGTCACTTTACTAACGGTGTATAATAATGTACATAGTTTAAGGTGGTAGTAATGAGTGATCGACAACACGAATTAGCAAAATACATGAAACAGAAGCAGATAGAACAAGTTAGCGATCGTGTTATCAGTCCGATGCCCGGACGCATTATCAGCGTTGCAGTGCAAAAGGGCGATAAAGTAAGTTTCTTCTTTCCCTTGTCTACTACAAGTGGAGTAATCGATCCAGTTGAATAAACTATAAACAAATGGCTATTGTAGGTCATCCAGGGCGCGGAGGTTGCTGTAGTCGAAGCCATGAAAATGCAAAATGTGTTGCGGACAACACGGGACGGAACTGTCAAGAACGTCCATGTACAACAAGGGAATCCTGTGAAAGCAGGCCAGGTTTTAATAGAGTTTTTTGAAGATGATGAATGATGACAAAGGAGGTGTGTAAAAAAAAATAGTGGGAGTAGTAGCGGAACGATTTCTTCCTCTTCTATGGCTTCTTTATATACATGTGTACAATAACAAAAATTGTAAATAATGAATAAAAAAATTATTTGGCTTTGGTAAAACGGTAAGTGAAGCGCTTGCGAGTGAACGAGAATTCGCCCAACTTGTGTCCAATCATTTCTTCGGTAATGTGTACAGGCATGTAGTCTTTTCCGTTATGGACAAGGAACTTTAAGCCAACGAATGAAGGAAGAATGGTGCAACTCCGGGCTAACGTAGAATTGAAGGGTTAATCAAACCGCTTATACGAACCAAAAATCAAAAATATCTTTTCATTGATTTACCTTGAGTGGCAATGGGAGTACCATTTTGAATTGCCTGTCGAAGACCAGGGAATGCGACAAAGAACGGACCTTTCCAAGCCGAGCGAGGCATATTGACAACGAGTGAGTTACAGCTGCCAACCTGTCTTGCTTCCTCTATACACTCTGGTATTTGCTAGTCACGTTGCCTTTTATGGTAATTCTTTTTATTATTTTTGGCCCTGTCAATTTTACTGATTCTCTCCTAATATGTAGAGCATTTGTTTGAGCGATATTGAAAAAGCTCTGTAGTATTGTAGGAAAAGAGCAGTTCAACTGTTTATACAAAACCACAAACTGGCATCGATTCTTTTTGTATGGAAACATACGATGTGTATTGGGACTAGAGTGACAAGTTGAACAGAGTAGTTCGAGTATAGATGTGGTAGGTCATAATAGGTGTATATTTTTACTAAAGAAAGGATAAGGAGCAGGAGTGATTGGGGTTGATAAAGACTAAGGAATGATGGGCTATCGATGGACTCGTAGATAATCTTCTTTTCCAATGACATGAAATATTTTGTAGGTATTTTGACAGATCTTGTACTCATGCCCAGATTCAAGAATGCAATCCATATTCCGTCGCGTGTGACCGACTCTCCTTGCATTGCGTAGCAAAAACGGCATATTCATCTTTGTTCTATCCACACTCGGACCATCCTTCTCCCAATCCGTAAATTCTGCGACATAAGCCTTATAATCTTCATATTCTTTGTCGTCTTCCTCTGTTACAAGTAATGATATCGAAAGCGTAGTACCGCCAGCAGCACCGAGCTAAAAAGAAAGAGACGAGGGTTAAACATAATTCTTTGACTTTCTATAACTATTTATTAATGTGTATCTAATATATTACCGTGGATACGATCATGTATTGACTTTCATTGCCCTTCCGTAAGGACTCAGCTTTCAATCTGTAAAGCTGTAATGATGACAGATTTTCTTCAGGAACTCGGGTGTCTTCTTGCACGTACAAGTCAAAGTAACTGCGACAATCCGGTTCGGTAACAACCATATACAGTTGATGGGAAAGAGACGAGAGGACCTTGTCTAAGGTGAATAACATGTAGGCTTTGAGACCAAACATGTACCGTGCACAAGCTTCATAGGTGCCTTGATCTATTTCGCCTTTCAATAGCCGTTCAATCAGGGTCAACATCATAGCATAACAACCATTTCGAAAGTCTAGTTCGACTCCTATATATATATAAACCAATTGGGTAGCAAAAATAGTTTTTAGTTATCCGCTAACAAAAATATCATAAAATGGTTTTGTTTGTTCTTCTCGTTACCGTGATATCGCACTTTGTTGATAGTAATGTCAATTTGTGCGCAGTTTTTATGCTTTGTCTTTTTGGGGTGCACACTGTATTGCTGAGATATGGTTTTAGCCATCTCGAGTCGGTAATAGATGATCTAGAGGAAAATATAAACGCAGTAAGTCTTCCATAATTTAAAAAGTTGAGTAACTACCAACAATTAAAAAAGGTAAATATGCGTTATGTATTACCTGGAATATCCGGAAAAAGCAATACAGGTTGTCATTGACAAAAACACCATCACCAGTACAAGGCAGGAGGTTTGGATCTTGTTTCAGAATTAAAATAGAGAATATCAGTTAGTCAAGTTTAAAAAGGATCAATACGCATCTATATTGGTCAACATTAATACTACCTTCACTAAGCAACGGTTCAAATCCCTCGACTTTCATAATCGGGAGGAAGAACGTCGAGAAAAATTGCTCCTTTGTTTCGGTCACTGCAGGGCTGTATATTACACGGTTTTTGTTAAAGACTTCGATAAGCCGAATGACATCATTGATAATATCCAGATCTTTAAAGTCGTAACACAATTGCGCTTGGCTGTTTCTGTTGTGCTTAGTGTCGTTATCATGCTGTTCAAAGCTCAAGGCTTCGATTTCGGATACCAATGACTTGATTGATAGACCCTTCTTATCAACTTGTTTGAACGTGTTGGAACGATTGTCCAGCGCTTTATAAAAGTTTTCGATCTCGCTCGTTTTTCGATTTTTATCTGCCTGAATCTAAAATATGAATTTACATATGTCAGTTACTAGCTATAAGCACCCTTTGCAATCCGTCCAATTAATGATAGTCCAAAAGCACAAAATAAGATATCACACCTTTTTCTGTTTCCATTCTTCGACTTTTGACGTCAATTTCTTCAACACAGTCGGAACTGTTTGCGCTGGACTGTTATGAAGCATATGAATGATTTCATTCACTTGTTTCTTGTCGTATATCTTGGTCAAAGCAGGCTTGTAAACCATTTCTGTTCCACCGCCCAAATACTTGGGCGGACGATAGCTAGAAAGCTGCGAGGCAGAAAGCGAATTCAAGGTATCTTGTATCAGTTGCAACAGACCGATCGTGCTTACACCAGAATCGATACATCGGTCCTCAAAATAGCGCTCATCCTCTGCACGATGTAATGCTTCTTCGTATATATTCTTCTTGGAAGTGATGAACCCGTTTTCCTCGCTTGCCCATATCGGATGTGAAGCGTATTCGTCGTTAAGTGCGTCGCTGCAAAGAGAGTCTCTGCCTGAGCATTTTGATTTTTGTGACTATAACATCCCGTATAAGAATAGATAGTAATGCTTTTCGAATAAGGAGAAGAGAAAGGTAAAAATTCTACGTTGGCGAGAAGAGACATGAAAATACTACTTACGGATCTAGGAATTCTTCGATAACTTGGACCAGGCCCATATTCAGAGTATACGTTGTTTCCACTAAGGCTACTCGAACATTGTATATCATCGTCGAAGAGTACACCTGTACTCTTTCCAGATCCACGGCGGGTGGCGAGGTCATACAATGTAATCCTTCGTGTTGAAGAGGCTGATACTGATGCTGATTTTGATCGATCGCTCTTTTGCGTATTGACGCTGGATTGGCGCATACGTGGTTCCTAGCCAACAACCCGCTACGTTTAATATCATTGTGCTTCTGAGTAGTAACCGTTTGATCTATAGTATGTTTTTACTTACCCGATGTATCGGTTCAACAGATCCACGCACTGAGCTTAATGGGTGTTCATCAGATACGCTTGTTTTGTCATTCGTGCTCCCATGTCCTGCATCATGCATTGATTTAAGTTCCTATATATGCAAAAGTAATACTGTTTTAGTTTAAATTGTATTTAAAAATACAAAACACAATAAAAGGTACTATAAAGAGCCATGGTTTACCGAGATTTCCGAAAGTTCCATATAGCCTACGAGTGCCTTGAATTCTTTTAGCAACTCGACATCGCTTTTAAGATATTCAGAGGATACACGAACAGTCGTTCCAAGATCCAAAGCGCCTTGGTTAAATAAACCAACGAGCTTTACAAAGTCGCTATAGGTAGTGTCGTTTCCCAGTAACTTTTTGATACGAGCAAACAGCGGACTGTGTTCCCATCCTACTGGTATCTTTTTATCACCTCGATATACTTTGTGTTTTTTTGAATGCTAAACGATCAAGCGAAAAGAAACAATCAAGCAATAGCCCATGTCGTCATATTAGCTACACTGTTTAACTTAAAAATTCCAAAATAGTGAATTAAGTAACTTTTAAAAATATGTAACATGTACCTGACTTGCGACAGACTCTCTGTCGTTAGATAGCCGTCGTCCTAATATATTGAGCGCATGTATGTGTCAATAAATTGAAGTAATTCGAAAGGGCGTTTCAAGAGAAGATGGGCTGTAGAGAAATGTGCAAAGGCCTTGTACCTAGTGCGACGGACTGAGCCGGAAGCGGCATGAACTTATTGAATTCCGCCAGTAACTGTGAATCGTTGGCAAAAAGGCTGCGTACTTCATCATGTATCTAAAATCGTTTGTAATATTTTCATCCAAAGTATCACAATACCAGTAAGCACGCTGTGTATTTCTTACCACTATCCATGCAGTATGCATGTGTAAATCTTCTTACCATTCCAAGACTGATTTTTTTACAGCTATACGATTCCAATAACTGTGTGAATTTTTGGTACACTTCGGATTTCTCAGCATAACGAGTCTATATATGAATAAGTTCCGTCATTCCGATATAGTTTCTCTTGAGAATGATAAATCATGTCAAGCGATAATGATACACTACCTTAACCAAGCTTATAAAGTGAAAAGCTGATATAATAGGTGCGGGTCCGGGGGTTCCTGATGGGCTTGATGATTGCCCTCGCTGTGGGGTGGTATTAAACATAAAGAACGGAACTTGTGTTAAACCAGAAAAATAAATAGTGGAACCCACACATTACAAGAGATACAGTGATGATATTTATGATAATCATATACCTGTTGAGCATCTTCACCCGATACATCAATGATGTGCTGATCCGCAGGCAACAAGCGATTGAATGCCTCGATAAGCTGATGTTTTCCATGTAAAACCTTTTGGACACGGCTCACAGTTTCGGAAAGTGGTATACTAGTTCAAGCGAGAATAGTGAGAAGTGAGTTCGATGCATGAACATTACCAATAGTATAGTCTTTAGGCATATTATGTTTTCTCTCCTCAGCTTCCTAACGCTAGCAACAGCACAATATAATAACGACCATCGCTTGTTGTCTTACTTTTGTGTGCGAGCGGCCCGCATGATATCCACAAATGAATCATACACATCTTGACAATTCCAAAATTCATTTTTTATCGAATTTAGAAACTTTGCTGTTGCCACAGAATCTGCTGCTGGAGTATTCTCCTTGTCATTGCTATGATTATAATTATTTGTGGTGATATCAGCAGCAATAGCAGTAGTACCATTGGCAGTGGTGGTGGTGGTGGCGACGCTATCATCTGTCATTGTTGTAACGGTTGCTGGTGTCGTATTAGTCGTACTAGTCGTTGAAGATGTCGTCACAGTTGCTGCTGTGTTACTAGTAGCCGTAGGGACGTGCTTTTCTTGTTCTTTCGCTACGGGTACAATCATAGCGCTACTGTTTGATTCACTTATACGACTACTTTTATTACTGCTACTGCAACTGCTACTGTCACTGTCACTGTCACTGTCACTGTTGTTACTGTTGTTACTGCTGTTATTGTTGTTATTGTTGTTGTTGGTATGCTCAGGCACAGTAACAACAGGAGCAGAAGTGTGGCGCTGGTGTTGCTGTTGAACGGTTGGCTCAGAATTCGCAGGTTTAGAATCGTTAACCAGCGCGGAAAGATTGGATCGCAAGGAAGGACTACACTCTTCTTCGATTGTAGATTTATTGCTGTGTGGGGTTGAAGGAGGTGGTGGTGTAGGTGAAGGCGTTTCCGTCTTGACATGCTGGTCTCTTGACCAACGTCTTCCTGGTGGATCATGTTCCGTTAAACTGATCGCCGTGTCTGCATTCGGCGTGGGTCGTGAAACACGTTCGTTTTTGTTGCCTGTCACTGAATCGTCTATATTTTGCAGCTTTTGGTTTTGGCTGTGGTTGCTCTGGATTGTATGTGGTGGTCGCGCGGTGGTAATTGTGCTAGGCGTGTAATTTTGATACATTAGGTCGAATGGGTGTGGTTGTGGAGGTCCCGATTGTTGCTGTTGAGTCGGCCGTGCAGTTACTGGGTGAATAGGATGCCTGTTGCGCTGCGGTCGACCGCGGTGAGAGGACATTTTTCTCATGTGTGTGATTTAAAATAAAAAAAAGATAGAAGATAAAGAAAGACACGAGGTTCAAGCAGCAAAGCAGAGAGTTTACAGCGCAAGTGACGTGAATTGTATACAGAAAAGGATTGCCAGAACTATTCAATGGTTACACAAAGCCAACAATGGCCAGCGCCCATAATGTTTTAAGTAGTTAATCCGCATTTTATAACTCTTTTCTTTTTTTACAAATCTTCTTCTAGATCATCTTCAACAACTTCTTCATATCCGTCATTGTAAACATAATCGTCGTACTCCTCTTCATCACCGAACTCTACGCTGACGATGCCGTTGTATATCACATAAGCCAACAGAAACGTCACGCCACCAACGATGGACCATATCCTTTTGCGTTCAAAATCAAGTTGTGCTTGGGATTTCTTCTTCTTTTCTTCTTCCTGATTACCCATGTAGGACATGGCATCATCTTTGATGGTGGTCAAAAATGAACGGGGATTGTTCCAAAGTGTCCGCCACATGGAAGGAACGTCTTCAGAGGCACCTGATTGTGGCTGCTCTGATACAAAATACATGTCTTTGATTCGGTCACAGTAACGAGCAAGTCTTGGGTACTCGGTCGTGAGAATGTGTTGTAATCGTCGATGTGCCAAATCGGGATATAAGTGGAGTGCTAGCTGGCCAAATACTATGCAATCCAAAGTCGTTGATCTGTAGACGCAATATTGTTGTTAGTACCAACGATCGAACCGTTATCAAAGTCAAATAAAAAAGAGGTGTATGGGCTATTATTGTAGGCCTAAATACACTTTGCGTCAGCCGCTCTCCCAAGCAATATTTACCTATCACCGAACATAAACTCCTTATCACCCAAGAATGTGTCCAGAACACCGTATGCTTCTCGAACTAGTCTATACATCTAGCCAAATAGACCAATCAACAGACAAAAAGAATAAAATAAAATAATTAGCCAAGATTTGCTCCTATATTCGACCAAAAAAGTTGGATCCCCACTTACATAGTGCCAGCCGGAGCGTTGCAGCTCCTTCATTTCCTCCACTTCATTCTGGGGCAAGCCCTTGTCATCATCCTTTATTTCTACATTATACTTTGCCAAACGTGCTTTGGCACTCTTTTTCAATTGGATTGGCACCAGATATCGCGATGGAAAAGGAAGGATCCTGGCGTAGGTTGGTCGAATGTTCTTGATGAAGTTGGTCATATCCGCATACCACGTAAACATCTGCATATATCCAAGATTGAATGGTGAGGACAACAATCCTTTTTAATGGCGATACATCAAACAATTTGATATTTTGCTTACCAGACAGTCGTATAGCTTCTCTTGTGCCATGGCGCTATATCTATATCAACCGGTAATTATCCACGTGCATATTATATATAAATCGCTTTTAGTACTTTCATATACACAGCTAGCCAACATTTTCTGGTACGCTCTTCGCTCTCACCCCTCTCTAAAATGTCTACATACGCAATGTACTCTGCCTTTTGTTCTGGTGACAAATCTCGGTTACCATCGAGACCGCGTTTAGCCAAGTGAGAAATAATTCTGTTGACACCAGCGATCCAAGTAGATCCGTCTTTCAATAACGGAAGTTCACCTAAGTGTCCAGATCAAAAGTTAGAAAACTGGATTTCGGTTTGCCTGATTGTCGAAAAGAAGAACGATAGAAGGAGAAAGGCGCGTTATGCAGAAAGAGTATCGTTATTCTTACCCGTTGGACTGTACTGAGGATCGTTGGCATGGACCACTGTAAAGTCGACTTCGAGTAAACGAAGATAGGCCTGTACAATAATACATTTCGGGTCGATTGAAGGAGCATTGAGCGCTGGGCTCCAAACATAGAGCTGCATGGTTGACATGGTATGTGTGTGTATGGGTTTGTGTGTTGTGTATCGCACAAAAACAAATTCTAGCGTGGTGCTGCAGTGCAGACTTAAAAACCCAGCTGATTTTTGATTTGGAGAAGTCGTCAATTCGGATTGTCTGTGCCACTGCTCTACGACGTAGATTGACATATGATATTTGATAGCGGTGCAGACACGTTTCGATTTAAAACAACAGCATCAAAACATTGTTACTGCAGCAATGTTCAGATACAACGTATATTACGGTTTTTTTTTGAGTAAATGCATAGTAGCGCCAAATTATGGCATGCGTACCTGTCCTAAAAGTCTTCCTAGAAGGACAAGATCCCTGTTGTCGTGCCTCCTCTGTGCCAAGAAATACAGCTGTTGACTCTAAGAAGAGAAACAGACTTGTTGCCGGTGGCAAAATGCAAACAAGACGATTTGCGAATCCTGATGCGAAAGAGACATGTATAACAATCGAAGTGTCATGAAGAATTATCTTGTGCAACACACATGGAATCGGTTGCATAACAGCAAAAAGCATAATTCTCTGAGAAACAGAGGACAACCAATGTCGATGGATGAAAGTGTGGATGTGTTTTTGCTTCCATTGAAAGTTTATCATGTGTGCCCTATAGTATGACCTATCTAAGTGTGTTTGCGAGTAAAAAAAAAAAGGGGGAAAGAAACCTCACCCCCTTCTCCAACAATGAAAGACAAGAGAGAAGAAAAAATGGTTGTGTGTATGAATGCAAAAGGAAAAGAGAAAAGGCGGGAACGAGAGATGATCGAGAAAAAGAAGTAATGAAGGTTATATCGAGGAGAATCGAGGAGGAATGGAAGGGTGAGGTAAGAGGATCTGACGTATGACTAGATCTGGGCATTGTTGTCGCTTTTTTTTTGTTGGGTCAGACGGTCGGTTTATTTTCCTTCGTTCGTCTTGACACTGCTAGCGGCAATGCTGGCCGAATCCGATGGTGATGGAACAGCGACGGCTGGGCCCTCGTTTCTCTTCACGTCCAGATCCTTCTTGATTTGCTCTTCCAGCTGTCGGATGTCTTCAATTGACATGCCGTACCATTGATCCATCCAGCAGAATAGTTGTCTGATTCATTTCCAGGTTGAAGAGATGAGGTTGTTAGTTTCTATGGGAAGACCTCCACTACCTCTAGCAAGAAAAACAAGGCATATAGTTACCTATGGAACTTGATAAAAAGGTTATGAATCGTCTTGGCAAGGAAGGACTCAACCTTGCCTTGGAGACCGAACCACTTGAATTCGATATATACAAGCTTGTAGCAAGTCATCACAGGCTCGCAGGTCTGGGTCCAGTTCTTCTCGGTCAGCGGACCGCGATTCGCCTTCATCGAATGCACAAGCTTGGGATCTTCGTGGGGCTTATACTCCTTGGGGTCGATCTTGTCGTTAGCAACGTCAATCATGACGACATCACGCTTCTTGAGGTCAGCATCCGAGATTTTAAGTGCGTTTTCAAGCTCACCGCGAGAGTTGTTGACGTGAAGCGTTTCATAGACGATGGAGAAGTTGTCCTTCATGTAACCGTTCTGAGAAGCAGGATAAGGTTGAAGATGAATACACGTTGACGAGTTTAAATCTTACCGAACTCCTTCTTGCCGTCTTCATCGACCTATCTATCTCTTTCTTACCTTCAAGACTAGTACATTGGACGGTGGGTAGAGGGGTAATGATCAGTTAGTTTTCAATCGGATTTGATCCTCCGCAAAACGGGTTTGCTCTTACTATCATCATCATCATCTTCATCATCACATCACAACAGACCGCACACACTCCCACGTTATTTTCCCCTAATTTTACCTGTCTTGCAGTATGGGTAAGCGTTCCACGCCTACAATGTCACAGAATTAGTAAACAGTTTCAAAGTATAACCCAGAAATTATGGTCATAATAACAACAAGTACAATACCTCTTCGTAAAGGTCGAGAGCGCCTGCGGGTGCGAGGGCGCGTACAAAAGCAGGTACGCGCGAAGCCAAACGGAAAATCTTGTATGTATACTGCCCCTTTTCGCCATTCTCCTTTTCATATGGCTCGTTCTTCAATACCTCTACACCCTCACCACCGCCAGTCTGCTCCTTGGATGCCATGGCAGTGGCATACAATTGACCTAAAAAGAAAAAAAGAAAGAAGCTCAGTATACTCGCTGAGCCGACGAAAGGTGAAAGGTTTTATCGTCCCTAACCCTTCCCCAAGATTGAGACGTAAACTCATCTGACAGTTCATCGGAAGGCACGATTCGGGAGTTGTAACACTTACCAACTTGGTACTCGGATTCTGTGCAGTTGTTGATGACTCTATATTCCTTGATGAGCATGATGTTTAAGATGGAAGGAGGATAAAGTATAGGAAAGATGCTAAGATGAAAAATAAAAGAGAGAAGGAAAGGGAACTTGGAAAGGGCCTCTTTCTTTCTTTTTGCGGCTTCGGCGCCGACGACGTGGAGTTCCAAATAGTCAGTATGGCTCTGCAAAAACTGCTTTACCGATACCATCGTGACGTGGCAGCAGATATGGAAGATCCCTTGCTTATAACGAGACTCGTATTTGTTTGCTACTGCCCTACTGAACATCTCTTATTTCTTGATGCTGCTCTACTATTCCTGTGGTAATCTCTTATCGTTCAAACTACTAGCAGCTCATGGATAGCAAAACTTATTTAGGTACGAGATTTCGGAGAATTCTCGATTCACCACTTATATGATTTGTCCAGTTATAGCAACGAGGCGCCAAGGAGAATGAGAAAGGAAGAGATACTTTGCCGCGAAGGCTTGGCTAAGTTCTCGGCAGAGTACCATGGAATGACTCTTCTACTGCTTACAAAGATCCAACAGCTAGGGTCATCCTTTTACGACCGAGTTCATTACATGTGTAAATATGTTTTACATACTGCTACATTTGTGATAATGCAGGAGATTTGTTGCAGGACGATCAAAAAAAAAGGGGAAAGTGAAGCGACAGGATGGCCGCTTCCCCTGCCTCTTCTTCAACTGTACTACACTGCTCACAATACATCGGACAAGAGGAGTGGCCACCAGCTTCTCGGCTTTTTTGTGGTAATAATAATATATTAAGTTGTTATGTAATATCACTGTAAGATCACACAATACACACATTGACCCAAGTTTTGGTGTAACGTTGTGGAACTCTGCTAAGTGGAACACAAAGAGTGACTTTTTCGGAATCGTCAAGTATAAAAAGTACAAACTTATTTTGACAGCAAAGGTGTTTTGAAGCAGTATGTATAAAAATACCGATGCTGTTGCTCAGTATTATCTGTTGTTCGGACCTAGATGATCAACCATATGTAGATAGAAGCATATGCTTCCTGCTATTACTGTACTACATACTACAAGCGCAACCACTATTTATAGTAGTATGACTTGATGGAAGAGAACCCTGTTAGTCCAATTTACATAGTGCGAATCATATACTTAAAATAATTACGCTGTTATTGCAACTTATTGTATACATGTACAACTCAATTTATGCCCTTCTGAACATTCAGAAATGAGATGACATGATAGTTAGGACTTCAATAAAATTATAGCATTCGCTACAGTATTGTTGCTGACAGTGGAAATAATGTAAGTTATAATATCATTATTACAGTACAGAGCCAATGTCTGATAGCGCCGTACATAATAAAACTAATTTCTCTAATATCTGATTGCCAATGTGTATAACAGCACTAATGAAGGATAGTTTCTGCTGTTGTATAGCATCATTTTGACATGCAGCTAATCAAGCTATCGCGTGGGTACCAGCTTTAATCCTTAGGGTCACGTATGGTATCGTAAAAAGCAGCAACGACATGGCGAACATCGTACTTGCTAGCATGGTTACAAATCATAATCAGATCAATCCTATCACTAAATCTTCTGAGGCTGCTTTTCTATACGATTACCGTATACGCTGTCTTGAAACGACCATTTTTCATCTCCGTCATCGTGCAGCATATGTACGCCTTTAGCTATTAGGAAATAAATACAACAGGGAACATACAATTTACATCCTTTACGTAACGTGAATAAGTAAATTGTAAATTTTAAACGGTATTGTACAGTAGGGATGAACCAAGTTTGTACTGAAAGAAATATAATCGCAACGAAAAAGTATATGAAAGAAATGTAAAAGGAATATGAGATACTGTAGAAGTTATCGCTGTTGCTATCATCATCACCTGTAGGAAAAATAACATCCAAAAAATCTACTGTCATCTTATATGTAATGCTCTTGCTTAGTAAGCATCAAAATTTTGCCGAGTAAGATACACAGCCACTTCGGGTACAAGGAATGGTTGAGCGAAATGGAGTAGTAGCATTGGACGTGTGTGCTGTACAGAAAATGGGCATATCACTGCAAGCTCAGTAACCAAGAAATTCAAGATAACATACCCGACGTTTAGAATTCTGTTTAGGCAAAAGGGAAATAATAAGAGTCAAAGGGGCTAATAATTTACGTCTAGCAGAGCAGAATATTCAAGCAAAAGGGATGGCGAGTGAACAAGGTAATTAATAAAGCAACAAATTGCGCGCAAAAGGATGAAAGACGTTGGTGCTTATCGTTTATAGCGCTCTTCCTCTAATCGCTCAAATGAATTTACAACGCTGCTCAATAAATGATTCGATTAACTTTATTAGCAGCAACGTATACTCAACATGGGGTGGTCTACTCTAGCAGCGTCAACATACACTCGGAATAAGCTGGTTTGTAATGGTAAGGTGAGCCAGCGGAATATCTGTGCTGGGAGAATTCGTCAAGCGCATATTTTCCTTCATATTGCTTTCTTCCGGTTACTCTTGAAGCAGCTATAGGTATTGATGTTACAAGAACGACAATACGATTAAATACGGCAGACTCCCCAGAGGAAGGTCAACTCAATGTGTATTGAATGAGTATTGGTCTCAAATGGATAGGGGAAACTGGAAAGAAAGGTTTCTTTTCAATCAGTGGATTGCAAACGACCGATCCATTCACTGCACACGGCTCAGCTTGGAGAACGGTTTTTCGGGGTAAAGTATTCAAGTGTGTTGTATTTATGCCCGCACACACATAATACATTATGCGCCTCAAATACAGTGAAGTCAAAAGATAATAAAGAGACTGAATATCATACTCTGTGGATTACAAGCACGAATATGCTATATACACATGCTGCTCGCCTTATTGGTTGAAGGAATGGATACTGGTTGTTGGGAGGATCGTATTTTTTAAATCTATACATACCAATGCTGGATCAGGGACAACTCAAGCCGGTGAAAAATAGTTAATGGTACATACCCGCTAGTACTCTTATGTTTTATATGACTTTTTCTTTCTACGTAGCACGTACTACTGTACCAGCATCACAAACATGTTGCCAGCAACTGAAAAATTATCCCATCACCACATGATTTTGCACAAAACAGCCATATTGTATTATTTTTATGTACGAGCACAAATTACCAAAATCTCACCTACACACATCAATTACTGCAATCAAAATTTTATTGCAAGAAGGGATGATTTGCATAAACCGGGTGAGGATATAAACTTATCGCACCGCGAGCTTCTGCCACCCAATGTATACAGTAGTACAGCTATAGGTACTCCACATGCCACTGAAAATTCATTTACTAGACACAAAGCACTGTTCGTATTCTGTATAGTGTGCTATTCTACACAGCTATTATTGAGATATTCCACCGCGGATAAGGCGCAAAGCATGATTTTCATAACATATGCTGCCAAAGTTGAAGCCTTTCTTTTTAATATTATGATGTGCAACTGATGAAAAGCAATTTGCAAGTTGCAAATGTGCGGACGTTATAAGTCTTAGTACATGTGGTGATAAGATTATTATAACACGGCACATATCTGCATTTGCATATTTACATAATGCTCTAGAAAATACAGGTATACGCTGCAGAAACACAGAGTGCAGTCTTACACATAATATAAATACGTGGCCTCTTAAGGTGCTGCACGGTGGTCGCAACCATGTACATACAACGATCTTCGTTTACACATATACTATGTATTGTTGTAATGACCTGTAAAGTGGCTGTACTTGAATGTAGATAGTCATATATACGTCTGATGTAGCACAATGCTTGAGACATGTTTCAATACAGTTATCGAAAGCCCATACATTTAAATAGAAACAACTCTTTTCCCTCTTCCTCACGGTCTTGACACAGTATAGCAAGAAAAGGAATACAACGGCTTGATCTGTATGTAGGATGGATTTGAGGCTCACGGTTCTTTAAAAAAACGGCTATATTAACGGTTATCCACGGCATAAATAGTTATGCTGTCATCCCTATCATTTTGTAACGAATCTTTGTTGTCTCACACGTGTCACTGTATCCTTGTCGCTGTATACGGTATTCCCTATCATTCCCTCTCATATTGTACACTGCTTAATAGCAGAATCAACCTCTTACAGTATTTGTATTCTTAATTTTTGTCAGATTGTGACGACCTGTTTTTGAAGATCATATAGCAGCAGAATTAAGAGAAGGCATTACATAGTTTTATTTTTAAAAAAAAAGCATTGGCTTTTAGTAGTAGTTATTGTAAAGTATGCGCTTAGTATTTTAGTTGGAATGGAAGATGACGTGTTGATATGTATGTCAAGGTGCGGATGTTTATGTATCAATAACTGGTGGCTCATATTATATCCACTTTTAAGCATTATTAGGCACTATACTGTAGCCATTCTCCCATGCATGGATGTACATTTTCTATGATATTCAAGATTTGGTACATCAGCTCTTGTTGACGTTGGCCAAGGTAAACACTGATTTCTTCCTTTTTTGTCTACCGAACAGCCCTTTCGTCTATTTCCCTTGTTCGATTTCATTGGTGTTTCTTCTTAACCTTACTGCTGTCGTTCTTCTTTCACTTTATCGCATTTAGTCCATTTTTGATGCGGTACCTTCACGACTGCACGACCTTCACCAAGGCATCAATACCAAGAATAGACAATTTAAGCCAGGAAGATCTGCTTCAAAGAAAGGACGTGCAAGAAGGCGGAAGGAAGATGTCTATACTACCCATATGTTGTATATTACAGGCTGCTTTCTAGAGTCTGATATCTGTCCTAAAACTGATTCTATTGCTGACTTTGGTGTGCCGGAACATCACATACTATTATTATCTGTAAGACGGCAATGAAATCGTTTCCAGTTTTTCGCAGTATTTCTGGCTGATGCAGTTGGTGATAGGCTTTGGTAACATCCTAGCTCCAGTTGTTCAATAACATTACCCATCAGCGGCACGAAACCCGTAACCTTACTCTCTAATATATTTTTCAAGTTTCCTATTCTTTTAGGCTAGTGCCACAATATCCTGATTTCTGGAAACCAGTTGCGCGGTGAGTGTACGTTTGTGTGATGCAGTAACTAAGCTGGGTTGAAGATGAATCCATTTCCCCTGCCTATTTTTGAGCAAAATGCCTAGCATTGGTCAATATGTCTTGTGGTTCAATTCTGACTGTTTCACAAGTGGCCCTGTCGTGTACGCGCATCTCTACCACTAATACTACGCTATTAGCTGTAGTTGACGACGCTGAACAACTGGAATAGGTCATTGCTAAGATAAAAGAAGAAAGAAAGAGTGGATGTATGTAATTAGCCAGTTATTAATCTTTGGAAGACACCAAGCGGTGTGGTCCTGCATATACCATGTTTCTTCTAGATAAATTCCCAGCGCGGACTTGGGCTGGCTGCGGGTAAAAGTTTGTTGCATCGTAAAAAAGAAGACTGAACGCTTTGACCTTGACTTTAGTTGCTTATTACTGTGAAGGGGGGTTCAAGTCGAGTCTAAAAGTTTAAAACTTGCGTTTCTTTTTACCTTTTTTATACTGCTGCAAGCTACATTTCTATACATACACGCAAATACTCTTTTCTTTTTTCCTTTTACCTTTCGATTTCGAACTTGCTGCTTATTTTTGAACGAACAACAACAATGTCTATGCCGATCCGTTGGTCAGGTTCTAATGACCCATCGAATCAACAGCAATCACAACAGCAGCAACAACAACAGCAACGGTCTGATCAACCCACATCTCAAGCTACGCTATACTCACAACAACAAGCATCGGCAGCAAATTATGGCATGGAGCAACATGGCAAGCCGTCATTACGACCATTACAGCCTCAACCGTACATACATCCCGAATCATATTCTTCGGGTTCGTCATCAGCAACTGCTCCCAGTTATCCGTATCCAGCGTATTACCGTGGGCAATCCGCACCACAACAACAACACCCTTCTCCTCCTCAACAGCAGCACCCATATCACCACCAGCACCAACCACTACCACCACAACAACAACAACAGCCACCTCATGGCACAGGATCCGATTGGCGTGAAGATCGAGCCGATGCAAAACGAATACGCATAAGTCGTGCTTGGTACATTTTACGCTTTCTTCAAGTTATATAGAAAGACGCGTAAAATTCTTAATATTAACCGATATCATTTATGTATTGTTAGTGATGGATGTCGACGAAAAAAGATCAAATGCGATACAACGGGACAAGGCAGTACGTGCAAAAATTGTCAGATAGCTAAAGTCGAATGCACTTTTAATGATAGGTAAAATCTTTCTTTTTCCTGTTTTGGATCATTTTGTCTTCTTTACGTGATTTTATATATATCGATTGGAGCGGGTGGATAATGTTTGTTGACAAATCGGGGCTCGGGCTAACTATTTTGACGGATTTTTTTTATTGTAACTTATAGCGCCAAGAAACGAGGACCACCAAAAGGGTAACTTGACCTATATATCTTTTTTGCTTGGATGACAATGTATTACTGGAGACTGACCAGTGGGAACACGATGATTTTAGTTATATTGAAGTATTGGAAAATCGGCTAAAACGTATGGAACGAATCCTTGGCGGTCTGGCTGATGAAGACGAGGAAGAGTCACCGGCCGACGACATCAAGCGGGAGAATGAAATGACACATCAGGCAGAAAAAGGAAATAGCCCATCGTTTACACCCGGGACAGGCGCCGAACAACAACAAAACAATAGCAAAGATGGCAACAATGGCAAATTAGTACCGGGTTCGGCTACAGCTACTACAACTGCTACAGCCACTACTTCAACAACCGCAACTCCAACAACAACAACAACAGCAACAGCAGTATCAACGACTACAACGGAGAAACCTGCTGATGCTACTACAGGTAGTAAAAGCAACAGCAAAGGCAATTGCAATTGGAAACATGATACGTCAGGCTTGTCATCGCTCGACAGTACCGGCATCACCCGATACGTCGGTGACATGAGTCCGTTACCATTTCTAGCACAAAAAATAAATTTCGAAGATGCTCGGGTGGCTTCGACCATTGGATTCAAAGTACGCAAGTTTGGCCACAGTCTTTTGTTGTACAAAGAAGATGATCAGGAGAGGGCTCAGGGTGCAAGCGAGCGGATGCTCCGGGCTGCTGGCAAATTAAAGCCCGGTCAGAGCATTAATGGCATGAACGACTGGATCTATGCCGTGGCAGGAATTGATAGGGTGACTAGCGATCGTCTGATGCGAATGTAAGTACTGATATTTGGTGTATGTATGCCCAAGGGTTGGCTGACATACTCACCCACGCGATATCAACGTTTCTAGCTATTTTGCGTATATCCATCCTGGCTTACCTGTAATCAACAAGATCCTGTTCCTGAAGCAATATCGCAGACAATTAGGTGATTATCCCGCACCAACATTGCTATGTGCCATTTATGGTGCAGCTGTCCGCTATGTCCACAATTGCAGATTATTTGGAGACAAGGTGCTGGACGACGAACCGGACAATTGGGATCTGCAGGAAGGGTGGTCGGAAAATCTATTTGAGCATTTACTGGTGTATGTAAAAGGACGCTATGCACCCTGTGTAGCAACGATACAAGCTTTGGTCATCGGTCAATTTCATCGTGCGAGTTTGGATGAGAAAGTGGCGAGTGGATGGTTGCTTAATTCTGCGGCAACACGAATGGTAATGTATTGCCGCATAAAAAGTGTGTGAGAGAGAGAGAGAGACATGTGATTATTATTAACGGTGTCCATTTCCCTTGTTGGAATACAGGCACAAGATTTAGGGCTACATCGGTCGAGTGAAGGATGGGATATTCCTGATAGTGAAAAAGAAACGCGACGACGATTATGGTGGGCCGTGTACATTATGGACAAATGGTCAGCTGCAGGAACTGGTCGACCACAAACCATCTTTGACGAAGACTGTGACGAGATCTATCCAAGTGAAAGCTCCAGTTGGGAAGAAGTAATGGACACGCCGCCGAAACAGGACGAAGAAGAGGAAGGGGATTCGGACAATGGTCCGCGATTTCCATCATTGGATCCATCCGTTGCTCAAAGAGTCAAAATCGACCGGATTCCTATCTATCAGCCATTTGTACAACTTGCCAAGCTGTCCGAATTGTTGGGACGCATTCTCCAAGGCTTATATACCCCACGCGCCAAACGACACAGTGCACAGCATGGCAGTGATGTTATTGTTTCGTACCTCGATAATGCCTTATCTGAATGGCGCTCCAATCTACCGCCGTCACTGCAAATTTCTTCCACCAACGTGAGCCGACTCGACAGCCGAGGCCATTCTCCGCTCTTGTCCATGTCTGGTCTGATCTATCTTACTTACTGTACGTTACTGGTGCTGCTCCATCGGCCATTTATTGAACGAGAAAAAGAAGGACACGATACGCGCTTATCGATGTCGTCACTGACTATATGCACCAATGCCGCAACTCGATGTGTCGATATTGCCGAAAAGATGCACTATCGCGATTTTATGCTGGTGTCTTGGAGCTTTTCGATCTACCCTGTATTCACGGCATCGCTGATCCATATCTTCAATGCAGCAAGTACCGACAATATCGTAGCCGATGTAGCCAAATCAAATATCATCAAAGCGATGGGCGTGATCAAACGGCTCTCGAAACTGTCCCCAGCAGCAGGCAAGCTGTTTGATGTGCTGAAACAACTGATGGAAACTCGCAACATTTCCGTTGGTGAGCATGTATTATCGGATCTGACAGATGACGATCAACACCAGTCTTCAGCAAACAAAGGGAAACGGAAGCGAAGACAACGTCGTGCATCTTATACTTCACCATCAGTAGCGCCACCGATACCTTTATCATCTTCGACACAACAGCAGCCGAAATCACCAGTGGTTTCGTCAGCAATGTCGGTGTCGCCAACGTGTACATCTGCAAAACCTGGTGGTTTCAAGATCGGCATGTCGCCAAGAACGTCTGATGTGGGTCGAGGCAGCGGTGCTGGATCCCTATCACCTTTACCTGCCCCTATCGCTACAAGTGCTAACACTGCACTGTATAACAATAATCCTCCACCCGATCGGCCTAGCAGTGGTGGCTCGACACCGTCTTCCATCGTGAACGGGGACTGGATTAACGGTTTATGCTCTACTTGGGATCAAGATACCTTGCAATGTAAGTGTCCTATTTATGTTTTTTACGACTCAATGTCCGTGGATGACTGATTCGATTGATTTATCGAAACACAAATTTAGCTCTATCTGCAAACCAAAAAGATTCCAACGATATGCACTCACTGCGGCAGTTTGGATTATCGATGGAATCCATGTTCCCGGCTGTCGATCAACTCGCTTCTGTACCGGCAGCAGCGGCAACAGCAGCAGCCCCCAATCTTCAACCACAACATCAGCAGCAGCAGCAGCAGCAGCAGCAACACCAACAACAACACCATCAAAACAATCTGGCAGGAAGCATGATGTTACCTTTCCATTCAACAGACAGTTTCTTGTTTGGCATACCAGATTTTGGATTTACGACTGCTGCTCAGCAACAAGATTTAACCCCATCTCAACAACAACAACAACAACAACAACACGCTATGACACCATTTTCAACCTCATTGTATACTACCCCTACGTCTGCACAAGCATCTTCATCTTCGCCATCATCAGCAGCAGCTACCAACAACATGGCTGTGCCACAACTTCAGCAACAACAAAGACAGCAACATAACCAGTTTCGGAATCGACCTGATAATCCGTTCTGGTCGATGCCTAGTAGTCTGGAACTGGATGATTGGACTGCGTACCTATTACCACAACAGCAACAAGACGACTCTTTACAGCAACAACAATCCATAGCCCCCTCTGCATCATCCCATCATAATACCTCCACTAACTCCCAGCCTTGGAACCCGCCTTCTAATGGTTGGATGTAATGTAAAAAAATCTGTGTTCTTTATTGCAACTTTATGAATTTGGAAAGCAAAGTAAAAAAAAAAATAAAGAGGAAGAGAAAGTAAGGTTCCTTTTCTAAAAGTAATAGTAGTTGTTTGTTTGTGGTTGTCGTAAACTCTCTAAAATATCTACATGAATAGAAAGAATAAGAAGAGGTTGGATTAACAGTAATGTTCAGATATGATAGACACAAACCATATAACTTGACCTGTACTCACCCATTTTGCAGTTACTTCCTGCGCCCATCTGAATTTCTCAAGAAGCGTCTTGTTAAAGACCTTTTGCACGGGCACATCATATTTCTTACTCCATGCAACGCTAATGCGAGGATCAATGTAGTTCATCTTGGACGTGCTCAAGGCAATTTCCTTGTTTTCTTCCTTATCTGTCGCCTGAATCTTCATTGCAGCAATACGTTGATCCATCTTTTCGATACCAGTGATGCAACGTTCCGCCGTCATCTTGCCCTTTGGCTCTGCCACTCCCTTTTTACGTTCCTTGGCCAGCCGCGCTTCCAGTTCATTCACTGCCTTTAGGCTTTCCTTCAGATGCGACGCCGGCAGCTCCTTTTCGCCCTCGGCCTTTAACTTTTCATTCTGCTTCTCAAATTTGGTCTTGGCCTTTTCACGTTCTTTGGCCATCAGCTCGGTCTCATGCTTGGCGATCCACTCGTCGTCCATGTCCGATTCGGGCTCATTGTACTCGGACTTCTTTTTGTACGAAGGCTCTAGCGCAAACAGCATATGGCGCAGTTTCATGCGTTGGTATTTCAGGGCGCGCGTTCGGTCGCCTAGGCGCTCCATCATCTGTCCATGTGATTTCGAGGCGCTTCGCTGATGGTTACATAGCACGGCCACATCGCGGTTGGCTCGGTTGAACGATAACATCTTGTCCGGCAGAGTGTCCTCCTTGCGCGTCAGCTTGTCCAGCTGCTGTTGGAATGTGTGCGATGCATTGTAGGTACGGAATACTTTGGCAGATAAGCCAGGCATGCACGAATTCAAATGTTTGTTCAGTCCTGTGGTCTAGAAAGCAAATCAAGGTGTCAATAGCAGTAGTCCTGTCATCATCCTGCCGGTTTTCCTATATTAATAAGAAAAAGGGGACTTACTGATAACCGGTCGAAAATCATGCTGCCAGGACCGACTTGCTTTTTGAAAAGCTTGATGTTTTTGAACACTTGGGTTTCGACTTGGACCGAGTTTTGGTATCGAATGGAATCTTTACCCAAGAAATCGAAATGCAGGGTATTTGGTGCCTCTAGCTGAATATGCTCGTATCTCAGCGAACAGCAGCCCACAGTATCTGCTTCATCGTCGCCCTTTTCATTGCCAGCTCTAAGTGCAAGTCGGTCAATCAAGTACATGGCCGTGGCACGCTGTCGCTTGGCCATCTCCTTATCATGGAGCTCTTTTGTATAGTCTTTACGGATTTGTTTTACGTATTTCTAGACAGCCACGTAAGATAAGTATACACTGAGTTCCGTATGCATCTTTCCTTTTCCTCCTCCCTCCGCTCTTGCAGAACCTGCCGCATTGTTTACCTTGAGTTCTCGGGCCTTGTCGAACTTTTGCATGTCGCTCTGACCCTTCCAGGCCGATGATTGGGCCAAAAACACATACTTGATCGTTCCATTAACGTTTTCCTTCCATGTGGCAAGCCAAGTGGCGGTTTGATCGTGCACCACGTCGGCCCACTTGTGACCAGCTGGTGGCTTTGGTATCTTTGCATCTTCAGATAGATTGAGCGTAACTTGTTCTGGAGCCACGCGTTGCTGTATGGATGGTTGCTTATGTCAGTAGGCTAATTCCTTTTTTTTTGCAAGCTGGAATACATAGAAGGGGAAGAAGGAATAACAAGATTACCTTTAAAGTGCCGGTTTTTGGATGATCACCGCGACCACGGAACAATCCAGGCGGTTCGATTCTGAAATTTCCAACCTTCTCTTTCCGACCATCGACGTACGCGTAAAGAAACTGTTCCTCGATTTTGTTCTTTTCCTCTTTGATTTTCTAGTTGAGAAGGGCAAAATCATGAAGCACATGTGGGTGAAGAGCGAGCGAAGGGGATCAAGAGCCTACGATTATCATAATTACTTACCAGCTTTTCTTCTTTGGTCATCTGCTTCTTTTTCTCTCTGTCTTTTTCAAACTTTTCCCAAATCGGTCGGAAGTCGCATCTGTCAAAGGAAGTGATCTTGGGGTTCTATCGCCATCATCAGCATTCTATCTCTTGTCTCCCCGTTCATTGAATTGAAAAAGAAACTTACTCGCGGTTCCTTCTTGAGCACGTCTTGCCAATCACGGAAGAAGTTCTTCTGGAAAGTAGGGTTTTTAGCATGGTCCGACTCCAACAATGCCGCAAAGAAACTGGCGACCTCCTCTGCTTCTGGAGACAGCGTGATTGGCTTTCCGTCATACTTCATCTTGACACCATGCGGCTCATAGACAGGTGGGAACAAGACGCCGTTGTGCTGCAGTGTCGTCCATTTGATAGACCCGTCTGCCTCTTCGTCCTTGTCCCCACCTGCCGACGACGAGGCCTCCCACCATTTGTAGATGTCTTCATCTTCCTTTTTCTTCTCTTCCTTCTTCACCTTGGCTTTCTTCGCGGAGGAAGAAGAAGAAGAAGAAGCAGTGGTAGGCTCTGCTTTGACTTTGACTTTGCCACGTTTCGCAAGGGGTTTTGCATCCTCTTCGTCGTCTGAGATTGGTGCTCGTGAACGTTTGAGTGTCGCTGCAACAGGTGCAGGTGCAGGAGAGCCATTCTCTTTCTTGACCTGGGAAACAAGCACATTAGTATCCACTAACGACCAGTGTTTTTATAGTCTCATTTTCTTTGTTTTCACCTTTTTAAGAAAAAGCTTTTTGCGCTTTCTGGACTATTGGGCACATGCAAATAATGAAATCAATATCATATACGTATTATGCACGCAGTATGAGTGTATGTGTGTGCGGGGCGGGGGGAAGGGGTGATAAGTAACGGCTTTTTTTTCTAAAAAACCTTACCAGAGGTATGTTATCGTCGTCTTCGTCACTTTCAGCCTTGACGACGGCAGTAGCACTCCGCTTCGCGTTGTTGCTTGATCGCATTGACAATGGAACATCGTCGTCGTCGCTGTCGACCTCTTCCGTTTTTACCATAGTGGAAGTCCGTGCATTGGCTGGATCAGGCGTGTCTTCACTCATGGGAAGCGGTGCTGGCGAGCCATAATGCACTGGAGCTACATTAATTGAGTAGGAAGAGAAGGAGTGTGTGGAGAAGGGGGTGGAACATTTACTTGGTTATTTCTGTTTCTCATCGATGAAGGTCTCATTGAAAGTAATAAAATGTACTTTGTTTTCCACATACAGGCACTCGTTTTAATTTGCACGGCACGCTTTGCTAGAGGGAGATCATCCTCTGAGTCAGACATGGTGAATTAAGGAAAGGGCTAAAAAATGTTAACTCGTGTTTTGTTGGGAGGGAGGGAAAAGCTGGGTTGGTTGGAGAAAATAGAACGGCGAAGAGGGAGATGAGCCCTTTTCTTCTTTGCTCCGCTATTTATTTCTTCCGCTGCCACGTCGTTGAAGTAAGCCCAGCAGCATTGATAGATTGATTGATTGCTCACCCAAAAATCGTTTGCTCCCATCATTTCAACGTCTTTCCGTATTTTTAAGACAACATATTAGGCCACATTGAGCCAATATCACACTAGAGAGTGACAAGTGCTGCGCTTTTGTCCATCCCTAGTCACCGAATATAAGATAAAGAATTTGGCTCGCATGCAACACGGAAGCCTTCATACAAGAGAGAATGCTTATGTACATGTGTGCTGTGCATGTGTGCTCTCTGTGTGCTGTGAGTTGTACGTATAAGCTTCCAGGTGGTGGAGGTAAAATTGCAAGAGAACAATCACAAGGTTGACGTATCATAACGATTAAATATCATACTATATATTATGTTTGATCATCATATTATGGCAAATAGGTTTTCCAGCACATCAAGACGCTCCTGCATTCGTTCAGTTTGGCCAGTCATCCCATATGACGGTAATGTTTACCATCGATCCTACCACAAGTGAGAACGGCTGCTTGGAAGTAGTTCCGGGGTCACACAAGAATGAATATGAGCGAGGAATTTTACCGCAAGAAAAACATGATGGGTCAATCTCAACAGATTGGTGCAACAAGCAAGGGTGGAAGTCTGTCTACTGCAGACCTGTAAGTAACAAGTATCCTGTTGATATCATAAAAAAATCATCTCTGGCATAAGTATGACACATACACTCTTTTTTTTCCCGTATGTTATTTTGCAGGGGTCGGTCCTGATTTTTGGCGCTTATTTGGCTCATCGTTCTGGGGACAACAATACCAGCAACTCGAGAATCGCTGTGTATCTCACTTATAATGCTGCTCGAGAGGGTGATATGCGTGACCACTACTATGCAGAAAAGCGAAAGTTGTTCCCGCCATCTTATGAGCGTGAGGAGGGCAAGGATTACAGTAAGTGGCACACTTTTACGTCTCTATGTTAACTTAAATCTATTTTAGTTTAAAATTAGCACGTTTGCTTACACTTACTGTTGCTGTCTGTTGTTTACTTTTTAGGTGAAGGTGCTGTCATTTACAACCTCGCTACTCCCATTAAATCATGAAAAGCTGCGCATCATAGTTTCTTTTCAATTACAGTAGTATCAGCTCATTTTGCTTATGACATTTTAATGATATAAGTACTTCAACCTTTCTTCTCCTATATATACTACTACTACATAACTATACTTTGTTCCATGATGTTAAAATTATTTGCCGTGCATACAATCAATCCTCCGCAAAGGTCAACCTTGGTAAAGCAAACCGTCAATAAGAGTTCTTTTTCATTTGTCTATACCAACATGATCGTATGTCAATGCAGATAAAATATCCAGTGATTGGTAATAGCAGATGCAGTTAATTATATGTACAAGCTTTTTATGAGTTGTATCAGATATGTAGTATTGTATATAACAGATATTGATAAAAACATGATGCAGTAAACAATGTCTCTATTGTATATATATTTTCAGCTTATTGCTTTCACCACGTGAGTGTAAGTTTAAGAAATGCGTGTCTTTTACAAAGCTGCGGCTACCGAAGCGTATATTCCCACTTACTGCAAACAATCGTGTCTGTTTCCCGTAAAGCTTTCTTGATAATTTTCCCTGACAGCCGGTTGCTGTTTGGCCATAAGATACTCGTAGTGCACATCATTTTTTTTTTGCTCCGGAAGTAACTGAAAAGTTGCAAAATCAATGGATACTTACAATGAAAAGGTATATGCTAGGCATATATAGGTACTTCTTCGTGCAAATTGTCCCACAATCTCTCCCATCTCAGTTAAACTTGAAGAGTACCAATACAGATGTGAAAAGAGCCTATCTCTCCATGCTCTATGTTACAAAATATTTGTGATCCTTTGGAGCATGCGTTCGTGTTGGCGATCATATAGAATCAGTACATACCTGCAGCACCAAAAACAGACGATATTAATTACCGAGTATTTCAACATGTAGAACTTCATCTACTCCAACAGCAACAGCAACAATAGCTGCATGTTTAACCACGAGTGGAATGAAACTTGAGGGTGGGTTGAAAATGAATAGTCAAACTTATGAACAACGGTTGGCATTTGTGGAAGAAGTAACTCGTGTGTAGCCGTGTGTTTTGTCGAAGAATACAAAGTTTGATAAATAAAGTTAAAGAAGAACAACGCGAGATAAAATATATTTATATCAATTGTCGAAGAGTACAAAGTTTGATAAATCATTACATGAAAGTCAAAGAAGAGCGCGAGATTAGATATATGATATCAATTGTCGAAGAGTACAAAGTTTGATAAATCATTACATGAAAGTCAAAGAAGAGCGCGAGATTAGATATATGACATCAATCGTTGAAAAGTACAAAGTTTGATAAATGAAGTCAAAGAAGAAGAGCGCGAGATTACATATACGATATCAATTGTCGAAGAGTACAAAGTTTAACAGATTTTTACATGAAAGTCAAAGAAGAACGCGAGATAAAAAAAAAGTGCCCTCAACAAGCAGTTTGCATGGCCTGAAGGCTACACAAAAAGATGAAGAGTGCAAGAAAAAGAAGAGTCTGTGTGTGAAGGGAAGGGGGAAAAACGCGAGGTAAAAAGAGTGCCCTCAACAAGCAGTTTGCATGGCCTGAAGGCTAAACAAAAAGATGGAGAGTGCAAGAAAAAGAAGAGTCTGTGTGTGAAGAGAAGGAGGAAAAACTCAGTAAAAAAAGTGCCCTCAACAAGCAGTTTGCATGGCCTGAAGGCTAAACAAAAAGATGGAGAGTGCAAGAAAAAGAAGAGTCTGTGTGTGAAGAGAAGGAGGAAAAACTCAGTAAAAAAAGTGCCCTTAACAAGCAGTTTGCATGACCTGAAGGCCACACAAAAAGCATGAAGAGTGCAAGAAAAAGGGTCTATGTGTCCCAAATCATTTGGCTTTTTAAGTCAATCAACCACGAACCCAAGCCATCCTTGGTACCAACGAGCGGGGAGCCATGGCTACACATAGTTTCGAGAGTCAAGTGCAAGCAATCGGTTGAATACTGCTTGTGCGTGGGGAGAAACTTAGAGGGAAGAGGGAAGGGAGAGGGAAGAGGGAAGGGAGAGGGAAGAGGGAAGAGGGAAGGGAGAGGGAAGGAGAAGGAAAAAGAGTTGACTCTCAAAATACCCAAATAAACGGCGTTTGCTGAAAAGTCGGATGCTGTTGTCAATTGCTGAAGCTCGGATGCGTGGAGTCGATTGCCGAGTGTCGATCAGGGTTAGACCAGGACCAACGGAGGCAAAACCAGGACCAACGGGAACAAGACCAAGACCAACGGAGGCAAGACCAGGACCAACGGAAGAGCCAGAGCCAAAGGAAGAGCCAAGGGAAAGACCAGGAGCAACCAAGGGAGTGAAAGAAAAAGAAAAAAGGAAAAAGAAAGTGGCTTGAAAAAAATGGGCGTATTTACATCTTTTGAACTCAAACCCCTGTCTTAAAAAAACACGTCACTGGCCTTTGATTCGTCGCTTAAAATAATGTGAGAAAGCAAAAGGGTGAGGGAAGAAAAAACATGTGCAGGAAAAGACATAGTCAAGCGGTCAAGCGGTCAAGAAGAGGGCGTGTGTGATCTGCGTGTAATGGTTTGCTCTACGAAGTATGTTTCACCGTATCATGCAGGGCGTGTCCCGACGGTGTCGCCGCTTGTTTTCAAATAAGAAGGTACGTGCACACACAGGGTTTCAGCAACACCGCCCCTGAGTAAAAGTGTCAGAAATGGTTGAATTGTGAAGTGGCATTGTAACAAGAAGCTCACATAAGAAAAAGGCATACTGTATATATATGTGTGTGTGTGCGTTGCGTTGCACTAGATGAAATGAACTTACTCTTGATCGCTTTCCATTCAACTTCAAGCCGTGGACCAGCTCCTCCAACTTTTCCAAACTAAGCTTATCGAGCCTCGACTTGTCGCCTTCAGCTAGAGTATCAACGCACAGTTCCCTAAAATTTCATATGTGACATTCGTAATGCTCTATTAGCAGTACGTCTCATACTTCCCGTAACGTAAAGAAATTGAAATAACTTGTTCCCGACGTTGAAGCTTCAAAATCGTGTCTCCGGCCGTTTGGCTTATAAGATAACGGTGCACTTCAACGGGTTTGTTTGCCCTTGTTGATGGGCACGGTCTTTCGCTTGGTCTTCGACAGCCGGATTTCCACCAAATGTTCATTGGTTATGAGGATATATACAACAGGAGAAGAGAGAGAGAGAGAGAGAGAGAAAGAGCACAAAGATCATTTTATGGTTAATGAAGCAATCTCTCAAATACACATCCAATGTATAGCAACCACTTACAATCACGTGGTTGGCCGATGTGAGCTAAAGCATGATTTTTAGAGAAAAGGTTGTTAGTATAGTACAATCTATAATGTGCTGATAACAGTATTCTAATACGTTACGTTTAGGCCGAGTGCACTGGCTTTCATAAAAATTAGGAAAACTTTGAATTCGGGTAGGTATCAAACTAGCTAATACCTTGATATATTAGTGCCACGGGCATTTGCCCGTCGAGGCGCACAAAGTCAAAGCCATGATGCATCAAAGGCTCCTCGATAAGGTCCAAGAACGATATAAGCTGTGAGAAAATGATTATTTGGTCTTTGTTTTGCGACGATCGACGGATTTTTTCAACCATCTTGTTAATTTCGGCACGCATAGGAAGAAATTCAACACGCGTTGTTTCTTCTAATGTTTGCTCGCCGAAAAACTCCTCCTAGAGAACAGTTGCATGGACCTTGAGGAATAACTCAAGAGATACTACATACTTTGTCAAACATAAAAACTTCGCCACATTCAGGACGCTTATGTTCTTCAGTCGCGTTCTACTTGCTACCAAAAAGATTCAAATACATAGTCTGTTTACACAAAGTGGTATAAGCGTGAATCTATGAGTATAATATATATTCTTTGTTTGCCGAGATATCTGCTTTTTTCCCGCGATATGCTTAAAACTTACCATGGAGACATTCAAGTACAACGCCGGGTTATTCAGCTTTACCCATACATAGTATGCACTATCAATATACTATGCGCCAAACGTTAGTATGTAATACGTTTAATGCAACAAGTGTACGCCTGTAGCACACAATACGGTGAAAACCACATTGATCTTGTCGCAACATTTTTACAGCATCGCGCGGGACGGAGCGAGCTAGAGCCAAATCCTCATACTCTTCCCACTTAATCAAGCCTTCGTCATAGTCCTTGGTGGTCAATCGCGGGTGTAAGCGAGCACGTCTAAGCTTCGTTTAAAAGTGCAGGTATCTATGATGTATACGGCCTTCGTTAGTGATTGAAGCAGCTTCCACCATGACATTTAAATACTCCAGTTACTTGTATACTTATGCATGATTATGGCATCTTTAACTTTTTGTCTTCGCTAATGATACCATCCTCTTTGGCCACTGTTCATCTATTCGGAGAGTCATAGAATCTCGATCGCCGGTTGAAAATTCAAATTGTGACATGTGAACAGTCTTGGGTGGTCATGGGATAGATAGAACCGACTTATTGCGACGAAGCGCAATGAACTCTAACAGAGTCTGTATCTTTGGTAGTGCTAAAAACCAACACTCTACTATAAGCGAAATGTTTTTCCACCTCAATAGGAGGGGCTACTAGGGCACTCATTATATGCACCGTGTGGCCACCTTTTGACATAGAGAAGAATGTGGCAAGTTGTTAGCAGTAGCGTCATCAACTGCTGCAGATGGATTATTTAGGCCTGCTATGGTGCTGATACAACTCAATTGCTATATATTCAAGTTGCGTGTGCAGATATCTAAAGCATTTGCTAATCGCACTTGGTTGCATATCGGTTGAGATAGGTACATTGACATTGTGTTAAACGGTAGGATGCTCGTTCGTGGCAGAAGATCTTTGAAAGGCAGCCGAACTGTGAAATCACTAAGCAGAAGGAAGAGGTAGACGAGTGCTTTTGGTTTTTGTCACATAGTTTTGCTAGCAGATGCATTTCTTATATTCATGTGGTGGTTTGTTGATAAGAGAAAAAGTCCAATAGGGATGGAAACAAGAAGTAGACACTCTTATCGACAATGAAGAAGGTTCATTATTGGCTTGAATAGCATGTCATCAACGCCCGGAAACAGTGGTCCTTGTCATTGGTTTTTTTCTTGGTGGAGAGCAACAAGGATGAACAGCGAGCTACGATATGACGTTGCTCATAATGCAAAAGTATGTGTGTAGATCCATCCATATCCAAAACCCCGCAATGGAGAAACAAAAATATACACCTCTGTTTCTGAAAGCACTGAGATATACCCACTGTCTGCAGTCCCTCACGATACCTCGCAAACAACCATGATTCTGTGATAAACCCCAGGTTTTCCACGACTTCCACAACTTCTTTCAGCCTCCATTTAATATGTAAAATTGAACTGTATTTCTTTTTTCTTTGTGTGGCGGGGGTGGTGGATGGTTACTAGTATATATAAGCGGGAATTGACATTTTGGATGTTACACAAGAGGAAACGAATATACCTCGAAATCGGGGGTGAGAACAAGCGATAAAAATTATACACACAGAAATCTCAATGGATTTGTTGTTTAGCTGCCTCGGTAGGTGGTGTAAGAGTAAGGGCTGATCAACAAGGGAATGTGGTAGTGCTGCTCAGGATTTTCGAGCTCAAAGACAATCTGTATACAGCAAAAGCAACATGTGTGTTAGCCTCTTTATCATATCCCTGTTGCCTTATTCATATGGGACGCTTACCTGAACGTAAGGATAGAAGCACTTTTCGCCCAAGCGCTCAAAGAAAGCCTTGGTCTCAAAAGTGACACGGTAGATGCCCTTCTCAGCCTTGTAATCACCAGGCAAGAGGTCAGGGCAGCGACCATCGTCGTTGGTTTGACTGTGCATACATAAATTCAGAGTAGCCCGTGTAAGTTGTAAGGATGATCGTAATGTGTATGATATAAGGATAATGATATGGTGATGAGAGTAACGTACGCTGTAGACAAGGTAGTGAAGACACCAGCTTCATTGACCTTTTCGATCTTTACGTCAACATGCTGACCAGGCTTGCCAACTGAAGCGACAAGGACGTGGCAGGTGATAGGGCTCTTTTTAGCGGTCGACATGGGCTGTGTATCATTTGCATTCATTAACATCTGTCTGCGTGTCGTAATATATGCCAAGGACGTGTGTAGATTTTACCTGCAAGTGATCTTTGACGGCAGTGAGACGAGAAGAGGCACTCATGTATATTGGGGAAATAGAAAAGAATCCGAGAAACAAAGTGCGGAATGGGTCCCGCTTTTATATATTTGCATTTCTTAAATGTGACCGCACAGCTCATTTTTAGGCTCCAGCTATCCTTTTCGTCCCCGTCTGATTAGTCCAAGCGCGTCTACTAAGAAAGCAGGTTTCCTGAACCCGGCACAAAACGTATTAGCACACGACATGGGTGGAGCCCAAAGCTCAGAACAAGGACGATTTGGCTTTCACGTACTCAAAGTAATTAGCATTTAAGCTTACATTTTGAAAGAAGGGGTTGGTGGAAAAAGCCCGCGTATAATGAACTCTGCAGGTTTCGTGTAGGTCAAGGAGAATTCCCCAGCATACCATGCAGGAATCGACCAGTTCTTTGACTACATTGTTGGAATTAATGGCGTCAGAGTAGTAAGTTGTGCTTTATTTCGAGCTCTTATTGAGAAAAGATAGAAGAAAGCAGCCGGCTTAAGATAGGCATATCTAGGATAACGGAGATAGCCAGACGCTACTACAAATCCTGCAAGAATCTGAGGAAAAGTCGATTCCACTGGAGATATATTCAAGCAAAGACCAATCGATACGAGGTATGAACTCTTATAGATGGCACAGTAAAAACTGTATAGAAAACCATATCAACAAGCTGTTTTGCTGATGTTTTAAACCATTAGAGGTGATGCTTACGCCTAGTCGGGAGTGGTGCAAAGATATTCCTGGTGAAAACAGCTTAATAGGATGCTCAATACGGTACTGCTCATACGAAAGAGCAGGCGAACATGTCTGGCACATACTTGATGTAGCACCCAACTCGCCCGCAGAAATGGCAGGCGTGATCCCACACACAGATTACATTATCGGATCGCCTCAAGCGGTACTGGACAGCGAAGATAGCTTTTACGATCTGGTTGAAGAGCATGTCGGCAAACCATTGAGACTCTATTTGTACAATTCTGAATGGGACAGTTGTCGCGAGGTACGTCTTTCCTTAGAGCTTGACTTTCTCTGGAGCGGATATAACTGAAAGCATGGGACTTTACTTGTAGGCAATCATTATTTCCAACCACGATTGGGGAGGCAATGGATCGCTTGGATGCGATGTGGGATATGGATTGTTGCATCGGATACCTAGGAAGTCTGTCAGTACAAGACCTTCAGAAGATAATTATGAGCACGCCCATCAGCAGCAGCAACAGCAGCAACAGCAGCAGCAGCAAGCATCAGTTTATAGCAACGTTATTTTTAGTTCTGCAGATATTGATGAGCCATCACAGCAACCATCGCCACCACGATTACCGGCATCATCCGCCCGAATGGATACAAAGAAAGAAGAGCAAGATACACAGGCTCCTGAGGATAACAACGCTGTAGTAGACGAAGCTCGTAAAGTTGCATTACCAGATTCTCCAGAAATAAACTAGAGCGGCTGTTGTGTACTGTACATAAACTAAAGAAAAAAGCACGAGGCGATCCGCCATTTTATTTTTTCGTTCTCCTTTTGTGTCACCAACAATCAAATTACAAATGTGGACGTGCACCACCACACTACAACCACCAAGACATTCGAAATATATTTCTTGTTGCAGGGCCGCTTTTCCTCTGCTGCTTCTCCATCTTCCATTCCTTCATTTGTTTCACTCGCCAACCCACCAATCCCCATTTTCTCAACCCGCCCATCACACTCATTGAAACACAATCACTATGCCGAGCAGCACACGCGACAACCGGCGTTTGACCGGTTACTCGGCTGACGCACAGCAGCAGCAGCAGCAGCATTCACAACAATATCACCAACAGCAACAGCAACAGCAGCACCGGAACCATATTCACCCCCAGTCACTCTACGATGATGGCATGGACGATTACGAAGTATATCGTGATGGAGACGACTACGACGACGTTGAGGACGATTCTGAAGAGGAAGAGTCTGTAGGGTCCGTACTGAGTATTCCAGACCCCAATATCGACTTTGATCTTGTCTATGCTTTACACACGTTTGCTGCCACGGTCGAAGGCCAGGCATCGGTTGTCAAGGGCGACGCGTTAACGCTGTTGGATGATAGCAACTCGTACTGGTGGTTGATTAAAGTCTTGAAAACGTCAGAAATCGGGTATATCCCAGCAGAAAACATAGAGGTACTTGAGGGTTTTTTTTTGGTTTCTGTGGGCGCGTATTGAAATTCAGGTACAGTAAAATGCTCATGGCTCTTTCTTTGTTTTAGACACCCTATGAACGTTTGGCTCGGTTGAACTCGCATCGAAACATCGAGGTAATGCAGTTAATTATACGTGAGCGCCGCATGCATGTGTTCTAGAATATTATTTAATATAAAGAGGTTGGAAGGGAGATGATGAACAAGGGGTGCCTTAAATTGAATGAACAAGAAGTACTAAAAATATGTCAATCACAAACAATGCATGTGTTTTGATTGTTGCTCTCTATCTCTCTCTATCTCTCTCTCTCTATCTCTATAGCTCACACAACGAGATATCCAAGATGCCTTCCCTGCACCTCCGTCCACCAAAGCACCCAGCAACAAACGGGTCAAGATGGCCAAAGGCGTCAAATTCCAGGCTCAAGTAATTTTCGGCGCAAGCGATGATGAAGACTTTGAAGAAGAGTACGAGGAGTGGCAAGAAACTATCCGATCGGATAGCGATACCGACGATGATACCACGGATACAGATGACGATGACGACGATGATTACTATGACGACGTAAAGCTCTATACCTCAAATGAATACGGCCAGTCACCTGTGGACAATTATTCTCGATCGCAGCAACAACAAGCATCACCACAGCAACAACAAACACAGCCAGCTTCGGGTCTCCGCAACTTTGATCTCGAGCCTTCTGAAACGATCAAGTATTCCCTTACACCTGCTATTGCCCGCGGCAGCACAGATCTGAACAGCTATGCACAATATCGAGATGATGGCAGTGGTAGCAGTAGCAACAACAACAACAACAACAACAACAAACCGCTGAGCAAAGCGAGCAAGTTGGAAAGTTTATTGGCAGCCGATGATAATACCAGCAACAATGTTGGTACGAGCAACAATAACAATGTGCAAGAGCAACGGCGCGGATCGAAAGATAAGAAAGAAAAAGGCGGATTACGCAAACTGTTTTCGCGCGGCAAGGGTGACAAGGATAAGAAACAACGCAAGGGCAGTTCGGACAAGCAATCCATCAACGATAGTATCGAAACCGCATCCTTTAGCTCACAGTCAACGGCTCACTCGGACCGAGAACGTATGAACAGTATCGACTCATCTATGCAACAGCAACAACATTACCAGCACCATAATTCGCACAATCACCAGCAACAGCAACCACAACAACAACTCCATCCGCAACAGCAGCAACAACAAACTTTACTGGAACCTCCTACTCAACCCACTATGCTCAAGATTTATGCTGCCAACGTGCGCTTCGGTGCTGAATACAAGATTGCTCAAGCGTATCCATCGACCACCGCTGCTGAGCTGATCCAGCAGGCCTTGAATCACTTTGATATTGAAAATCATCAGCCACACAATGCCGATGCTCATCTGGATTTCTTCCTTACAGTCAAGGGCGTGGACGGTGGTAAGTTATCGAGTAGGATACTATTGTTTGCATTATTTTGACTCTTTTTTTTTCCTTCTTCAGATGAATTCACACTTGTACCTATGGATAAACCTTTGTCCATCTATCATTCGTTGACTGGACACTTGAACGTACCCATGCCATCTTTGAAAAAGGCGCGTCGTATCTCTGCTCTGATGGGCGGTACCAACGAGAGCACACACATTGGTGGACCCAAGGAGAAGCAAGACGAGTTTGACGAAGTACGATTCTATCTGCACACCAAGGCCAAGAGACTCGAGGACAGCCACATGTCGATCAAGGTTTCTTTATTCGCGTCTGAAATCGGAGGTCAGACCAGTATGTTGAAGTTTGATCAGGCTCGGGTGGATAAACTCGTTACGATACCGACTCATGCAACGGTGGGTGATGTCACTGCCCTTTTGCTCGACAAGTTCCATATCCTGAATGGTATTGTGGATGGCCCTGACGTGGATGGCAAGATCAAATCATTGCGACTTCAAGGTGCTGCTACGGAAGGAGATGTTGTCAAGTATCGGTTGTCACTTAGCAAACAGAATCACGGTAAGAATGTTCTTTCTTCTGTTGGGTAGATACGATAACTGTGAGGTTGTGTGTATATCCTGCTTGATAGTGAATGATTGGAGGGAGTAACAATGAATCATCTATGATATATAGAGTTTGTACTAGCGCCAAATGCTCCCATCAGAAGCGCTTTTGGTGAAAATTTACCGCCTATTCATAACCGCCGCAATAGCAGCAATCCGGATCGGTCATCCATTGCTTCGTTATCCTCTGTCATCACGCCTTCTCCTCAGCCCGACGAAACTTTCTTTATCCTCAGACGGTCAGATCGACCTCCGGAACGACCGCGCACGACTTCCTCCAATCGACCCACTACTCCAAGCCAACAGCAGCAGCAGCAGCAGCAGCAACAACAACAACAGCAAGAGCAGCAACAGCAAATGCTACATCCACATCTCCAACAGCAACAACAGCAACAGGCTCCTTCACGTCCAGGTATTTAAAGTTTCTATATACAGTATTCATTCTCTCTATCAGAGCTCTTTATTATTGCTAGCCGCTAACAACGGCTTTTTCTCTTTCTTTTTTTCTTCAAAGTGCGACCTCCAAGACCTGTCCGCCAGGATACCCCTATGCCACGCGGTGGAGCAACACCATCGCCAGCTCCTTCTGCTGAAATCCCCACGATGCATCCGCTTTCTATCTCACAAGAGCCGCAACAGCAGCAGCAGCAGCAGCAACAATCACAACAATTGTATGATGAGCCCGAGTCAGCCGTAGATGTCCTAATGAAGCTCGACCAAGCGCTTGATAATCTTGCCCATACCCGTAATAGTAACGAGCCTCTCACAGAGGCAATCGTTGCCAGCCAGACTGAAGAAGAAGCTGCGGCGGCGGCGACCATGTCTCGATCGACCAGTCGACAAGAAGGATCAACTGCACCAGTATCACAACAACATTCAGTAACACCAACACCTCGATCCACGAGTCGACAAGAAGCACCCCCGTCTCGATCTGTGAGCAGACAAGAAGCTTCGCCTCAACCTCCTTCTATTGTTGAAATAATGACCACCCCATCAACAGCAACAGTGCTACCTGATAACTCGACAGAACCGATAACATCGCATCATAATCAACAACAACTTCACGAACTAATCCCACCAGTACAGGAAAGACATGATGATGAGGACGAAGATGAAGTCGTACCCACGCGTACTAGAAAGAATGGATCGGTTGTTGAATCGTTGTTGTTTAGCCAAGAGTTTGGCATGAACGAGTTAATGGTATTGATCCGTGGTGCTACACGTTATGCAGAGGAAAATGAACATGCAGAAATTAGCGGGAGCGGTCGTTCCCGGAACCCGCCAATACGCAGCGAGATAGGAGAAGTATTTAAAGATACTTACTCAAAACTAGATCAGCTTGAAAAGGTAATAAGACTTTCTGTTATGAACTATGATTTAGTATGCGTATTGTTGTGATCACTCATAGACTTTATTTCCCAGGAACTTGATCGCCTCATGTCAGAAGCAGTCAAAACCTATTCTTAGGTTGCTTTTCTTGCTCTTACTCCAAAGAAGTAATCATATACACACATACACGATTAATATACATATTTAAATATATACACAAACATACTTCGTTCAGTTGTCTCTTACTATCACTTGTAATTCCAATTGCTAACTGTACGGTTTTAGAAACAAACTTTAAACAACGACAAGCCCCGAATACACATGCTGCAACTCTGGCTCTTTGCTCTTATCATAGCAATGTGTGCCGCTCTTATTGATTCGTTTAATTAAGCTGCAAACTTTGTAACACCTGCAAATATTTCACTGAAGTTTCAAGTACGTATTAGACGGCATGCACTGCCAAAAAAAATTATTACGCCAATTCATATAAAGCAAGAATAGCGTGCACATGCGTATTGAACAACTTTATACGAGTTCGTGCTCTCTCACGGTCATATTGTTCCCTGTGTGCATGAGAGCCTACTACGATATTATGCGTATATGTTTTTGTCAGCTGGTTTATATAAGTATCCATAATCAGCATAATTTTTTTTCTTGATTTTGCACAGACAGGCGACCACGAAACAAGCGCATTTCAAATAAAGTGGTGAGATAAAATGCTTAAGACGAGAAAGAGATCGAAAAGGTTATTCAGCTACCGAAAATGCTTTCTATGCTACTAGATGTTGCTGCTATACGGAGCACATGATGAGTACCGTGAGGGTAGCTCTTTTTATCCTGTACTTGAAAAAAGAATATCGTGTGGTCGTTCTCTTTCTTGATAGGAAAAAAGGATTGTTGTTTTTTTTACAAGGAGTATAAGGCATAGCGTTACAAGCGATTGATTGATTACTAATAGAAGAAGAGCGATTCCATGTTTTGACCATTGTTATACCAAAGAGTCTCAAGAGATAGAAACGCATATTGCATTAGTTTCTATGATACTAGCTTTCCTCCCTTATTCTTTCAATCTTTGGTTCCCTAGGTATATATAGCTAGGCAACAAAGTGCATGATATAGGTCTACGCGCGTATGCGTTTTAGTAGGTTTCGCGTTTTTATTGCTACTAGTTATTGCTGTCAACCTGTACAAAAATAAAACGTACACCATATTATTGATCAGCATATGCTATATTCTAGCTCACGGGGCGGTACTTTGCAGATTCTGGCAGTGATATGTGAGAGAAGCAGGTTATTGAACGCCCTGGAAAGATCGTTCCAACGTTCTCTGCGTGCGTATCTGAGAAAAGAATATCATTGGCTGCGTGTGTCTGTGGTGTTTTTTCTTTTAGCTCACTTGTAAAGCGGGGCATCAAAATAACGGGAATACGGTGGTTCTGCTTCCTTCTTTAGCTTCTCTTTCTCTCTTGCGCTTCTTACAGTTTGTATTCTATCATTTAAAAATCACTGGTATTCATGCCCATTACCATTGTTCCCTATTGAACTGAACCTCTTTATCTATTATCAACTTACCTGAAAAAAAGGTACTCGCAAATTTTCTAATTTCTCTGTTTCCTTTCTTCGGCGCCTTTTTTTTGGGGGGGGGACGAGAGAGAGAGAGAGAGAGTTGTCTGTGTGCAATGTGTGCACGAGTTATATAGTGCAGCAGAATGTTAATGGGCCTATGTTTTTACAACAGAATATTCCAACTTGGAAGCTCCCCATTTTGCGTAAACACGCTTAGCCGTCTCGGATCTCTCTGTAAGATCCTCTTCTCCTTCATTTTTTTTCTAAAAAAACAGTCTGCAACTAGACAAAAAAAAAACAAAATCATTAATCAAAGCTTCAACAATAATATATGTCTACTTAACTTTTTAAAAGGCATTCCACAATTTTAATGACAAGGTCGTCGTCTGCTTCGAACTCTACGACAACGAGCACCCATTCACCTTACAAAGCCATCATGACCAGTGTACCGAAATCAAAGAGAAGAAAGAAACCTTTGACTGCAGCCATGCTCAAGCGAACAATCAGTACGGCAACAACCAACACAACAGCAGACGCGGACGATTCCGACTATGAGAAAATCAATGCCTCGTCGTCCGATTCTGTGAACAACAAGCCTGGTGTTACTAACCATAATGGACCACTACCACCACCACCGCCACCATTAGCAACAGCAGCAGCAACGGGCAATGTCGAGACTGCTGTTCCTCCCTCCACTATTACCACAACGGCCACCACAGCAACCACAATGACGAACAGTATTAGTACTATGAACAGTGCAACGGCAACGGAAACAACTTCTACGTCGACTAAAAAGAAAAAGAAGAAAAACAAGAACAAGGGCAAGGCGCACGACGAGTTTTGGTCTAATACAAGTAATACTGAAGAACGACAGAAGATTCGGGAGTTCTGGTTGCAGTTACGAGAAGACGAACGACGCTCGCTGGTCAAGGTCGAAAAAGAAGCTGTCCTGCGAAAAATGAAGGAACAACAGCGGCATAGTTGTAATTGCTCCGTATGCGGCAAAAAGAGGTAATTATTATTTCTACTTGTTCTTGTTCTGCACAGACCCATAGCAATGTATCATTGTTGCTGGTGGGTTGTGGCTGTGGTGGAAACAATCAAAAGGGCCAATAAAAACAGACGATCAGTGTAAAATGAAGAGGGGTATATAATGTGTGCTCTATATATACTGATAGGGAATCTATCTATAATATATATAGATCGGCCATTGAGGATGAACTCGAGGTCCTTTATGATGCCTATTACGAAGAACTCGAACAGTATGCAAACAACCAGCAGCACTCTCGGAATAACCCCCTGGCCGGCTCGTACCCTCCGTCAGAAACCATGTATGAAGAAGATTACCTGGAAAACAACGATCACTTTTGTCAGGAAGATGACGATGACGACGACGAGGAAGATGATGAAGAGTATGACGACGAGATCTATGAAGATGACGACGACGAGGATGACGAGGATGACGATGACGATGTCAGCCAGTCAGACCGATCCGACTTAGCTTCCGACGATGGAGATGATGACGATGATGTTCAATACAATGGCCACATGACTCGTACTGCAAGTTTTAACAACAGTATCGATCACCTTAACTTTGGGAATAGCCTTACCGTCAAAGGTTTGTTATATTCATTTTTTTATGCGAGAAAAAAAAGATAACGAGTCAATGCTAAGCCTATCAAATATATACAACCTTTTTGTAACTCTGTAGGTGGCATACTTACAGTTGCTGACGATTTACTAAAGAACGATGGCAAAAAGTTTCTCGACATGATGGAACGTCTCGCTGAACGACGGATAAAAAAGGAAGAAGTTAATTTAGACCAGGCAGACGAGTATTATGAAGAGGACGAAGATGACGATGAAGTATACGACGACGAAGAAGACGAAGAGGTACTTCTTATACAATACTTGCTTTCTTCTTTTTACCATCTGAATACTAATCATTATACGCGACAATGTAGTCTTTGCAAGATACGCGAACTGAAGAGCAGCGTATGGAAGAAGGCCGTCGTATGTTCCAAATATTTGCCGCTCGAATGTTTGAGCAGCGAGTCCTTGCAGCATACCGGGAAAAGGTTGCGCAGGAGCGACAGCAGCGTCTCATTCAGGAGCTTGAAGAAGAAGATCGACTGCGCCAGGAACGCGAGCTTAAGAAGCAAAAAGAAAAGGAGCGCAGACGTGACAAGAAACGGTAACTAATTTTCTTTCTTACATACTAAAGCAGAAGTGGTATGATCCCGGAAGCTAAAACAAGACCGTGATGGTTATCTCTAGTCAATTGAAGAAGCAAAAAGAAGAGGAGCGGTTAGCAAAAGAAGCACAACGCAAGGCTGAAGAAGAAAAGGCACGTGCTGAACGGGAACGACGACTTGTAGTCGAGCGCCAGAAGCGAGAACAAGAACGCCTTCGACGAGAAGAGGAGAAACGACAAAAAGAACAAGAGCGGATACATCGTGAAGAAGAAAAGCGACGACGGTTAAAAGAAGAAAAAGAACGAGCTGCAGAAAAGGAGCGAAAACGAAAGGAGCGCGAACAGAAGGAACGTCAGGAACGGCAAGAGCGTGAGGAACGCGAACGTCGCGAGCGACGTTTCAAGGAAGAAAAGGAACGACGTGAGCGCGAGCTCAAAGAGGAAATGGAACGACGCGACCGAGAAATGCAAGAGCGCAAAGAGCAATGGGAGAAGCAGGAGCAAGAGCAAAAGAAACGCGAAGGCGAAAAGCGAAACAATGCAGCCACCCCTACTGCATCTGCTGCTGCTGCTGCGTCTGCTTCTGGTCGATCTGCACCTTCATCATCGGTTACGGCTGCAGCAATTCAAGTCAAACGTAGCCCCGAAAAGTCCACATCCCCAATGACAGTACCGCCACCACCACATCATCACCACCTTCATCACAGCAATAACAACAACATGAGCAGTAGCAGTAGTAGCAACAACAACAACAACAGTAGTAGTAGCAGATTATCCCAGCCCGTTGTTGGCGAAAGCAGCAGGCAACAGTCGCTGATCGATGCGCTGATCGGGCCAGCACCGCATCTGCGAGCCGAGTCCTCGTCCTCGTCACCGCTTGGTCTTGATCTTTTGCCTCCTCCGCCACCGCCTTCGCATCCTCTTATGCCGTCCCTCGATTTCATGCCATCTCTAGATTCTGGTAAGTGGGAGACATAGTGATACAAACATTGACAGGAAAGGAAAACCTGATTTTTCTGTGTGTTTGTTTCTACTGCTTTCTAGTCCCAACAAGCCCAGCAAGCAAGCTGAGCATGGGTATCTCGCCGTTGGGAACCCAAGTTGAAGTATGTGGAACCCCCAAAGCTGCACCCCGAACGATTGCACCCATCGGACCGCCGTCCAACGGACGACGCGCATCCTCTGCTGTTGCAGGCCCTATCGGTAGCCCTGTAGGCTTAACAACTAGTCGGATGAAAAGCGGATCGGATGCTAGTGCTGATCGGTCTTCTGTTGCGGCAGTGGCGGCGGCATCTACGTCAACAGCTACAGGAAGAGAATCCACACATTCGTTCTTTTCGAATTTCCTTTTTGGTGAACCTAGTCGAGGTAATTGTCTTCAAATCGTCACTAGCTGCTCTTTCCCCCATATCTGTTATCTTATTCCTGAGACATATATAGCCAAAAATCCCTGTGTCGTTCCTCCTTTGCAACCTGAACAGGATAACAAGTCAGTAAAGGGACGATCAGATACCCATCTGGATCGGCGTTTCTCGAGTGATACCCCAGAAATGGGCTGGACCAACGGTAATATGTGATAGAAGATTAGGGGTAGAAAATGGATTACTAATAGTATGTACATTTCGCTGGAACGGCGTTTAGGCTGGACAGCTTCTTCTCTCCTTTCGGATGATTTCCATGGCAGACTCTTCGGAGATGTTCTGGTAAAGTTGCGATATTCCGCATCAACGCATTACTAGAAAGAGAAAGGAAGGAAGAAAAAAAGAAATGAGGGTAAAGACAAAGGAAGAGGGAGAGATACTCATGCTGCTGCTACTGCTGCTGCCCGTCATATAGCCGGACCGGAATACCATGATCCTGGAACGCGCCAAGATTGCATACGCCAAGCTTAACGAAATGACGCAAATCCTAGGATTTCATACCTTGGATCAATTACATCGCATGATGAACGACCTGTATTGCGATTGTCCCATTGGTATCCAAGAGCTGTATCATGTCATGATGGTCCGAACACCACAGAATCCTTTCCGATGTATCAACGATCCGCAGTATGGAGTGATTGTCCACCATCAAGATGAACCTCAGTCAAGAAGCGTTGGCTTTGGCATGAGTCCGTTCCCTTCAGCGGTATCTCCTCCTCCTCCATCGTCATCGTCGTCTGGTACGCCAGGTAGTTCGCTGGGACAGCTATCACTATCCACTGCCCACCCTCTGCAACAGCAACAGATGAAGGGTAATGTGCCGTTATTCAAAGGCATGTCATAATCCCAACCGTATAACTACCGCAGCAACTACTACTACTATTACTACTTCTCTCGCCTTTTCACCCCTCCTCATTTCTTCTTCCTACCATCCTTTACTATACTTTGAAGCAGCTTGAATATAAAAACCTCATCAACCCCATATATATCTTTATTTAAAAGCAAAAGACATGACGAAGTCAAATGGAGCAACGGGCATTGTTTGTCTCCCATAATTTATTTTGCCGTTTATGAACAGTCACCGCTGTTTCTTCTTTATTCTTTCATAGATTATCACACATCTACAACTATATTCCCCTCATTGTACTGGGCTAGTAGAGCTAATGTCGATACAAGAACTGCCGCCTGAAATTATTCTTGCTATTGCACATCACTTACCGTCATTGTCGCGTCTAACGTGCATTCTGGTTTGCAGACAATGGCAGACGTTGTTCCTGCCGACTCTCTACAGCTCCGTCCACATTACCCGTCGGCATGCTTTGCGCAGCTTTCTGGCCACAATGGAGCGATTGCCGTGGTTAGGTAAAGACGTCGTTCGCGAGCTCATACTGAGACCACGCAATATACTTCTTATACCCGACCAGCAGCTTGATTATACGGTCAGCATGCGTTATGGCCGAGGTGTCGGTATTACTTCTGAGCAGCTCGCCATAATACAACAGCTCTGCCCACACTTGGAGGTGCTTGACTTTAAGCCAGAGCTATGGACACATTTGAAAGCGCGGAAAAGGTTCAGTATACGTCAGGAAGAAGGTCATCATGATGATCACGCCAACGGCGACGGTGACGACCGTGATCAATGTTACAAATATCATTGCTGTTGGCCACAACGATTACGTTATGCGCCACCATTTGACCGCAAGAGCATATTTGAATCGTTCGTTTTCCATCATCCACACCAACTCGCACGACTTGAACTGATTGGATCCTATGTACATACCATTCGCAACTGGGAGCAGCTGTTGTCACGAGTACCTCTGTTACGCCACCTTATATTAAATTGCCAATGCATTACATTATCGCTATTGCCCCGGCGACCGGATCCTCATTATAGCACCAACTCGCCGATACCTTTAGACACGATAATCCAATATGCTCCTCACCTTGAAACACTCGACTTGTGTGGAGTTGACCTTGATATAGTCACATCAACAGCATCACTGGAACCGGCTATCACTACAACTTCAACAACACCATCATCCAGCTCTATTCCGACAGTTGCTCTAAGTACACTCAACATGAAGACGGTGTTTTTCAAGTCGGATAATGTGATTCAGTATATCGCACAAGCATTGGCACATCGACTCCACACTTTGACTATGGTTGACATGATTCGCATTGGCGGAAACAGCATTGAACAAGAACACCAGCAGCAACAGCGACGACGACGAGAAAAGCAAGATATTTACATCGAACTAGCACTGGCATGTCATCAACGACTTAAATCATTATCATTAAATGACATCAGCCAGGATACTTGGAAACTGCAATTTCTATACCATATTCGACCGCGATCACTTGAGACATTATGCTTACGCTGGTTACGTCGTAGATTCACTGTGCCTGAAGTACCCTCAAGCATGAGCCGAGATGTATTTGACCTTGCGATATCTTTATTATCCCCATCCAAAGCTACTGGACTCGCCATTCCAACTTGGCCCGCAATCAATCATGTCCGCGACATGATTCAGCCACTGCTCCAGTTTAAGCATTTGCAGACACTCGAAATTATAGGCAGTAAAGATAACAGCCTGGCGCCTACATTTCCAGCCATGATGGATACGCTTGCGCTCGATATAGTTTTACAATTACCGGCATTAACTCATCTGACACTTGCGTTTGTCAATATCATTGTCGAAAATGACGATGATCGGCAACAACAGGATACAACTGTAAAAGGGCCATCACCATCAGTACTACGAAGAAACAAAAAGCTCAAATCGCTTGAGCTCTATCGCACCATTATTCAATCTTCGTTGTTTGATTATCTTGGTGCTACATGTCCTGACCTTGTTGACCTGAGTCTGTGTGCTCTGTGGTGCTGTATTCAATGGCCGGTCCGTAAGGGCTTCCTGATACAATTGCCTGAACATCGTCTCAAGACAGTGAAAATGACAGGACTTCGTCTTGTTTATTATCTCGAAAAAACAAAACATGGGCAGCAACAGCAAGACGCAGCCAACATCATTGGAAAAGACATGGGCGATTGTTCCATTTTGGGCGTCGAGCGAATTGGATATAACAAGCATACTTTGGCAAGAAAGCAGCGGCGGCAACAGCAAGAACAACTGCGGAGGGACACCGAAGTGAGCGATAAGAAAAGCAGCAGTTACTACTGTCAGTGCGACGACAATAAAAACAACAAGAGCAGCAACTATTGTCATGATAGCGAGCAGCTACGACAATACATCCGCTACTATTTTCGAGTGGAGAATCTCATCAGTACACAATTACTACGACTATCGCCACAAGATATCAGTTTAATGGAAAGATTTGAAGCGTATGATGGGGACGATCTAGAAAACAACTTGTTTCACACAGATTTGTTGGGAGCTTATATCCGACGTTCTTTTCAGCACACCGCTGGTACTGTACACCGTGATAAAGAATACGGTTATATACATTTACGTTGTCACTCAATCGATGCCTGTTCTTTTGAACACAACGTTATAAACTATTGAGCTTTGAACATATAACTCAATGTAAAGGAAGAACAACATGTGTACGAATAGTTAATAGCGATTAAACAAAGAGGCTCAAATTAAATCATTAGATTGCTACATGATATGTACAGTAAAGCTGTACATATGCAGTTACTTTTGAACTATGATACAGTACAGCATCAGCAAATTTTATTCGAGAATTTGTTACAGATGCTATGTATGTATGATACTAGCATTACGTTATGTTAATTTATGTTTTATGACAACTCATATATGATGTCTCTTGTAGCCCCGTATTCTGTTGGTAGAGTGATGATGAGCAGCAGCATGGGCATCAATAGGAACTGCATTGGCAACAGCGAATGGTGGTGCTGGCGTATCCAGGGAAGTGTATCGCTCAACAGTGCGGTGCTCAACAATAAACGGAAGTGATTCGAAGACACAATGAACAGCATTGCCCTAAATTTTAGTTTCATTGAGTGATTTACATCGTATCAGATTGTAGAGGTGATCATCTTAGGTGAGGAAGCGAGAAAAATTTATTCTTTTCCTTACCGGATAATTCACCATGATACGATAGTGTTGTAAATCAACAGAATCATGCACAAGAATGGGGAAGGTGGCTACTCCCTTGTTGTCATAGGTATGAATGGCTATAGTAAGGTAGAAGCATTATTTTGAATATAGGCTCATTCAATCCATATAAAATGGGGATTTTGCTCAACCTTCACGAATACTTACTGATGTTTTCACCGATGGTTTGAGTATTCTGTTGATCTTTGTTCAATATACGAATGCGGGTAATCACATCCGGGGGCTTAGGCAAGTCATGGTCTACCTCCCAGGCCACATGCGCCATTTCACCAAAGTGGTATGTCTTGTTGGATTCGGCTGGATAGGTAATGCGAAACCCTAAACAGTGTATGGATTAGTGATTACCGATAATGCCTTGTACACGTATTTCATGCTAACATTGGTGAGTATGATAAGAAAATGCTACATACTCTTTTACACTTACCAATGCAATAGTCTGGATTGACCCTGGGAGGATTGTCGCCATAGGGATGCTCTTGTGCACATACGATGCCTACAGCTCCAAGCATGACGGCAAGAAGTATAAAAATCATATTTAGAGGAAGATTTGAATGAAGAAAAGAAGAGCAGAGGATGGGAGAAAGGGCTTGGACTAAGCAGCCACACCATCTTTTATATGTCTTCTTTCATTAAAATGCATGGTAAACAAGCTGCAAACAAGCTATATATATGTTCATGCATGTTCACACAACAAAAAGCTTCGAGAGAGAACGTGAGTATAAAAATAACTCATGTATTGTGCAAAAGAGTAACGACAACAGCACCATTCATATATTTATGCATGCTTTTATTTTAATTTTGCTTTTCAAAAGTCGATCACTAATCGTTTGGTCAAATCCGGACCAACTACAGCAATATACTCAAGGATAATATCCCTAAATTCTGAGGAATCGTACCATCCTACCAATGCAGACACCGGAGCCGTTTGAGTCTTTTTCAGCAGCACATGGGTATTGTCTACATCTCGTGCCTTCACTTTGCTCTTGTGCAATGTGCCCGGTATCCGATCTTCTTCGTCTCCTTGTTGTTGCCCATTCCATTCCTTATCCGGTTCTGAAAAAACGGCAAACTTTTTCTTGTCAAGTAACTTTGTGCACTCGTTAATGGGATACCATTGGTACGTTTCGGCGTCCAACAAGTCGGATGGTTGGTATCCGCCCTTGTAGTTCATCTTGGGACATGAATGAATATAGAAACCTAAACATATTATGCAGTGTAAGTCATAGATAAAGGAAAGAACAGGCTCAAAGTTGTTGTTTTTTTATAAGGATAGCAGTGCAGAGGCTGGAGATTCTTTCCATACACATGTCCAAATAGTCAAGCAAGATAGATACTCTACCCATATAATACCAATGTAGTTCATTTGAAACAGATTGGCTCAGTTCTTGGGCTAAGCTGATTTCGCGCAGCGCGCTGTACTTGCCCAAACCGAGAAAGCTGTAATCCGGATCGTATAGAAAGTATACTGACGAGGTGCATTTCGGAAGCACGTCCAATACAGCCACAGCAATCAATTTGCCGTCGAGTATATACTTTTGATGAAATGAGCCATATCCTTGGCCAGGCTTATTATCAGGGAACCTTTCAAGCTGTAATAGACAAACATGAGCAAGTGAGAATTCCATTACGCTTTTAGACAAGGCTGTTTTATCAGCTCAGAACAGTTACTGCCTTTGCGGATTCTGCCATCTTTCGTTCCTTCTTGAGCATTCTTACCTTGAGCGGTGAATCGACTAAAAATCGTTTGAACGAACGTTCAGAAACATCATCAAATTCATCGTGATGAATATGTACTTGGTATTTGCGATACAGTTCAAACTTTTCCTTTGTTACCGAGGACGGTTCCAGGACCACCTAAAATACAGTATTCCCACGTTATGTTATCATAAGGATGTATTTGTATTACACCATATATGTTCAGTTTTACCTCAAACTTGTGTTCATAGGGATGTTCTGTTGGCTCTTTGTCTTTTTCAACCAGGTTGATGTTTTCGATCAAACTCTTTTTGGTATCGTAGTTGACTTTGGACAGATGCTGCTGTTTTCTGCTAATATAATTAGCAAGTGGCACATCCAATCCCCCCCCCTCCAACCTGTCCTTTGACTGACGATAATCTTATCGCAATAGCGTTTCTCTCCTGCTCTTGCTCATCCACATCAACTTACCCATCTTTATCCATCTCATCCTCTTTGGTTGGCTTCCAACTTCCTTCAACAAAGCGATTAAACTTGTTTATCACCTTGCGGTGTCCTTTTGATGGCTTGAATCCGTTCGCATCCAATCTTGTCATATGCTTAAATTTAGTTTATCAAAACTACGTATGTCATGTTAAATACATACCTGATGGTATATTGCGGGCAACAGCTTTTACTGAGGTCTGGCTTATACAAATACTGGCCTGACCTGTGTGTTCGTTGTATATGCTGATATAAGCATTGTCTGTGGCAGAAGGAAAACGGGGAAAAAGAGCGTGTATTCTTATGGTTTTCAGAGGAATACTTACCGTCGCCATCCGCGATCAATGAGAGCTTGATAGTCCTGCAATGGGCCTGATTAGCTGCTGTTACTTCCTGTGAGTGCATAAAACTTAAATCTACTCACGGCACAAGTGAGAGCATGAGCCCACATGCCATAGGTATATGAAGTGTCTCCGTCTGAATGACAGTAACCACATGAGTGATTACTGCGACCTGTAAGGCTAATACGTGACATAATATATGTACTGCTACGCGTTGTGCTTGAAGGCGGAAGAACAGTAAGGTCGCAAGAAAAAAAGGTCCGCTTACACTGACGTACGCACGCATACACACACACACACACACACACTCTCTCTCTCTCTCTCTCCAATTTCTAAAAGGAATTTTATAGTTTCTCGAAAGCACACACACACGCATACACACGGCGCGCATACATGATGAGTATACAAAAATGCATCATATACACACATAAGACACAGGCTTTCTGTTGATTTTCTTTTTAATTCTTCAGTTGTCAGGCACAACGCGTCCGACAATGTTGTATTTCTTTGCAAAGAAAGCATGCCACTGATCCAATGTCTCCAGCTCCTTCTCGGTCAGCACGCTATAATCAGCAACACAATCCTCGAGCTTCAATGATGACTTGCCGAGTGCCTAGATTGTTTCAGGATATGATTAATATCGGGAGAATAGGTTACATTATAACATCACCACACGCAGTAGCTCGTTTCTTTCTTACCCGAGAAGCATCCTTGCCAGCAAAGCAGTTGTAACCAGCGCCAGCACCGTATGCACTTGTGTTTTCGGAAACGTCAAAGACATCGCCCTTAATGGCGACATAGATGCCAGGCGAGTTCTCGGAACCGTCATACTTGGCGAGCTCGGAAACGGTGATTGGAGTGTCTTTGGCGGGTGCACTATTTAACGTAGAAGAAGCGTATATGCGCTCAGACACACGTAAGCGTGCCATTCCAGTGCGTTATACTTTCAAATGAAAGATCGTGAATCAGCATGGTAACTTACGGCATTCTTGCTTGGTAAGAAAGTATCGAAAAGAAAAAAGAAGGTTGACTTTTTGGTGGACTGAGGACCAAAACCCCAAATCAGGTTCCGTTACCCCGCGCAGAGCACAATCCACACTTTGTTTTTTGTAACACACAGATGCTTTTTATTCTGTACGTACATGATTCCACATTTGAAATTCTTCTCACACAGTATTTATCTAGTCCTCGTCCTCATCTTCACTACTAGACTTCATTGCATACTCGGCTTCAGAGTTCTTTTCCGCCGTAGATCCCCTTTCTGCCACAGAACGCTCATCATCGGTTGCTGCCCCAGATCCTTTTCTTGCCACTGAACGTTCTTCATCGTCTGTTGCCGCCATCGACTCTTCTTCTGCCACAGATGGATCGTCTCCTCCAGTTGCCACAGATTCCTTTTCAACAGCAGCACCGTCACCGCCATCTTCATGTCGCTCGTTGTCAGTTGCTGCATCCTCTGCCTCTCCTTCTGCTGGCTTTTCAACAGCATCATAGTATTTATCCAATGTCTTGACAAATCGATTGAACGAGTTCCGTACTGCCGCCTCTTTGATTGGCTTTTTCTATATTCCATCCGAACAAGCAATTAGTTGGAGATATGAAGATGTAACAAAGCACGTCCACAATGTTTATTACCTCAGTGATCAAATCCGTCATTTTCTTGAGCTTATCAAGACGCTGGTAACTGGCTTCACTGATGTACATCTTCAGCAACATATGGACCATGGTCTTGCGGACAACTGTTCATTTATCACAACGCATAGCATTCGTAAGAAACGAGCGATTCAGAAATCAAAGATAAGCTTGGTTAAAAAAGAGCGGATACTCACTACCGCTGTGATGATAGATCGCTTTCAAAATTTCATAAGCCACGTCTGCCTGGATCGCTGTATCGATGCCTTCGTCATTGCTTGTTGCAATATTGCTCCTAATTTGTGGTGAACGAGAACCGAGGTTGGTCGTTTTAGCTACACAGTAACTTTTCTTAAATTTGGTGCTACAAACAAACCGTACACTTCAATTTTCCGTGGATCAGTCCAATCAGCCAACATGTCGGATATACGCGTCGGTGTAGCCATTTTCTCATCTTTTTCAAGATCCACGTAGGTGTCACACAGATTTAGCAATGCCGGTATCGCCACCTATAAATAGACCCAGAGTATTGGGTTATGTAACTGTAATCTGGATTTTGGTTTAAAAATTAACGAAATCTCACCTGCGCAAGTAGCTTTTGATTTTCACCAGAGGAGTAGGCGTAGGCAGGGAAGAAATAGCTCAAACACTGTTGGATCTTTTCATTGTCGAAGCTGGTTGGGAAAAAGTAAAGCAGTAGCATCATTCTCAAAGTCTATTGTTGTGCGAGCATACAGATCATATCTTATTAATCATCATTATTGATTTAAGCGTAGTTGAAAACAGCTCCTTTCTCTATAAAAGATTATGCAACTTACATATTCATCTCGGAACATCCGTGTCAGCATAAGTTTGGATAAGCCTTCAACAGTAACGCTTTGGATCTCTGCGTTATCGTGATCTACACAGTTTTCAAGCAGCTTTCGTAGTTCTTCGAGCTATGATGACACGTTTAGTAAGAGGATCACATTTCGCATGTGGTATGTACGAAGAATGATAATAAAGAAATCATTAGATGCATAAGCAAAAACCCGAGAGAAAAGAGCTAGTAACTTACACCACCAAGTTTGGTTTCCACTGTGGATACACCGTATGTCATCATCAAATCAAATAGAATCTATTTAAGTTTGGTTGAATGAGCTTCACCCATATCCACTAGTAGCATACATACGTTTTGTCCTAACTTACCATGAGTGCCTTTTGCTGCAATTGTTCATGACCATTGTTGATACAGTGAGCGAACAGCAGAATGTTATGGTGTCCCAACGTCTAGAATTGATAATGTAGTATGTTAGTTGCCTATCCAACAATCAAGCATACCGTTCTACTACACAAAAAAAACAAAATATAGTTCTTACCTTATCTAATGTGCAGCATAAGCCCAAACAATGCAAACCTTCTTCCCGAAGAACTGCTTCTTTGCTCTGAACCGAAGGTACAATAAGCTCGTTCAGCACTCCGTAAAGTGTAGAGTTGTCTTGTAATGACTGTATACATGCAAGTATTAGTTGCTATTTACATCACTTCACACACACATTCATTAGTCACCTCTTCAGTCCGTTCCAGCATGAATTTACATATGCTTAAACATTTGAGCTGCAAAAGCATTTTCTGCAGCAATATTTGATCCACTTCGCCAGTTTCCGTCTTGATACTTGTGATTTCGCTTAATTTTAATTTTTTCGACGGTCCTTCCATTTCCTAGAGAAGAAAAAAAACGGTTTCAGTGGCCTAAAGAGTTGACATCATAGTCATGTTCATATATGCAACGCGACCTACCATATCCTCATCAAACGACGATAATTCTTCGATATCAGATATGATTTCGATGATGGTTCTTTATGCAATTCAAGATGTTAGTACCGTTTTTCACGATTAAATAACACACAAAGTGAGCAGATAATCACCTCACGAAATCCCGTTCATCCAAAGATATGATTTTAAACAGCTGTACTGCGCTAATCATGTGGTCATCTGGCATATCGGGAGCCATCAAAATATCGCCTAAATAAATATACATGTCAATAAACCTTTCGCTGCTTTCTTGTATCCTCCGTCTTTAAAATTAATACAACATACGTAGCAAGACAAACATTTTTCGTCTACCGACTTCATCTGCATAATCCAGGTACTTTGCAATGTCAAGTAGTTGACTCATGATAAATTCATAGTCGGCTTCCGTTTCCTTTGGTGCTTGTTGCCAAATATCATTATAGTGTTGGATAATGAATGCCAAGCGGGTCACAGTTGGAAGTACTTCATCGAGTTTCTCGTCATCCTTGCAAAAGCCGGAAACCTCAATTTAATCAACAAGTCAAAGAGAAAGTTTTAACCATAGACATATATCGCTTATTCATCTACCTTTGTTCCTTTGAGGAACTTGATCAGCACTTTTGCCATGAGTGCACTTTCCGTGGATAGGTTTTCCCAAAATGGCTCTATTACAGTTCAATATTGACGTCAACAACGGTGGTTCTTTTGCTACTAAACGCATTACACCTTCTGTTTACTGGCACCCTCCCCGCCTTTTCATTTTTACCATCCAATTTGATTGATTTGACAATATCAGTTCTGGTATCGAGGAAGGAATACAACATATCTTCGGCGACAGCGCCATCCCCAACTACATCCATGCGTTCGAGAAACTCCAATAAATTATTATCGGCATGCTTGATCCATTCTTTTGAAATCATATTGCTTGCTGCACGTCGTACAAGAGGATCTCTACGAAAAGCTGTATATTTAGATCGATGTCTACTGAAGAACCATAAAAGTAATAACTTTTTCTTTAAGTACATTAGTTATTATCTTTTTCTTTACCTGTCCTTTAAACCCCATTTCAACAGTTTATGGCGTTGTTCAGTGGAGAGATCACGGAAATCTTGTAGCTGCACCATAGGTTTGAGATAAACTACTCGACGATTGACCGCATCGCTATCTCTGCTTCTTTCGATGATGTATGGTATAGTCTCGTCGGTAATATCCAGGTTGAACAGTACTACTCGTCGTACCTCACTAATGATGTATATCAATAAAGTTGCTTTTATGTCTTCTTGACCTCCTTTTTTTTGCTTAATAGAAAATACGTACGCGCTTGGATCGTGTTGCAACAGCCATAGTAGTTTCTTTGTGATTGTTTTTCCGTCGGTTTGATCGACTTCGTCGTCAGCACTTTGTAATCGTGATAAGGCAGTTGCTGCTTGTATCCGGATAGAAGGTTCCTTATCTCGGATTCGTTCAAACAAGGCCGTTCTCAGTTCTTGATATAATTCTTCACTAAGACGAATGCACATAAACCAGAGGCATATCAAATCCAGGTTAAGTAATTTTGTGGGTTTCCTCCTGTATGCTCCTTTCTCCTGTAAACATCGCCACCAACTACTTTTTTTATAACGGCAGAAACAAGCAACAGTAGTAGCACAAAAAAGATGAATTGGCTTACTCAATTTCTTTCAAAGAGTTGATACTGAGTGCAATAATCTGACAACATCGCAATCTGACGGCTTTCGTCTTTGCTGGTAATCCGCGCAACAAGTGTTTGAGCATATATTCAATAAATCGGGAAGATATCGTCTCGTCGTCGTCTTCTTCCATGTTTTCTCTTTCTTCGTCCTCTTCTTCGTCTTCGCCCTCGTCTTCATTCTCATTTTTTGAATCTAAAAGGGCCATGATAATAGTAGCCAATAAGACGTTATTATATTGTGTGTACACACGTAGATACACGCCTCGGATACCGCGCAGCATCATTTTTGTCTCTCAAACTTCAGCTCGTATATTAAGAGAAAACAACGAACCGATCTGTTGAGTGTATTGTAGAAACGTGGAAATGAAGCGCGTTATACGATCCGCATGAGGCTCTCCCTTCCGGATCTGTAGGATTTTGTTGATGTTTCGAATGACTGCTTGGTTGAAAGCTGCTTCGCCTTCGGGATCGATGTTGTGTGGTTGACCAGCAACGATAGGTGAACTCAAGGCACACTGTTCCTGGATTTTTCGCATGACAATGGCATGTTTTCGGTGATTGGCGTTCGGTTTCTGAGCGTCATTAAAGATTTGTGGAATGGACGTCGGTAGTGAAGTAATTGCGGATTCTTTTCGTTGTTGTGCAGCTGACATTGTATGAGAGAAAAGCGATCGATGGTACTTTTCTTATATAAAAAAAGAGGTGGGGAAGGTGGGGTTTAAGAGACGAAAGGTTAGTAGGACCACGAAATTAAAATGAGTGTAATTCCGCAACGCGTGCCATGAACGCGTATATCCATGAATGCAATAAACTCTTCTAGCCAAAAATATGTTTACTATTATAAATATTTGCTACATTAAAGATACACTTTCAAAAGAGCACTTGCGCACAGCGCGTGCTTGGAGCGATATATAACCGAAACTCTTGTCAGGTATAAGATTTTGACCGTATGCATTTCGATGCCCACGATGCGCCTTGTACCAATCCTTTTGCAACTGTTCCAGACTCGTGTATGATTCAATTTCTTCCTGGGTCAACAGCGGAAACCGGTCCAGTAGCACCAGGCTGCGTACAAATGATGGTTTGTGATATGCGGCATGGTAATAATGCCCCTTGTACTTGAGCGCTAAGCTCATACCCATGCCCAAATTCTTTTGTTGTTCCGGTTGCTCGCACACAACGCCAATCGATCGTAATTCGACAAAAAGTAAATCATGGTCAGGAAATTCAATATCCAAGTGCACGCGTGGCAACATTACATAGTAATGAGAGTCCGTCACTGATAAACTATTCAAAGATGGACAACGCGATGCCAAATGGTCGAATATATCGGAACGGATGATGGATTGGTGGACGCCAAAATGTTTAAGCACTGTCGTTGTACGCGGTTGTCGTTGTTTCCATTGATAATCGTGAGTGTTGTTGTTGGTAGAGTATCTTGTCGGCAAATAAACCGTAGCGTTGCGTAGAGTAAGCGAATGCAGACTGCCAGCTAATGCATCGAGTATCGTGTGTAGCGAGAAACAATGGTGGTGGTGGCCAGCAGGTGTTAAGTAGGATGAATCTCTGTTGCCAGTGAGTTCCAGTGTCGATAGATGCGGGCATGCTGTACTGAGCGGCCGGATCCAATCGTCGATATTGACAAGGGAGGGTGGTATGGCGATCTCAAGTGCTCTGGCTTCGGACGACAAGGCAGCCAGCACCTTTGGAAATGCGTCTCGCGGGATTCTTGTGCCCGGCTGATGTTCTATCTGTCCGCTCAACGAACCAGTGCGTAGCTCGGTCAGGGATGCATGAGGAACAGCGCCAAGCAATTGCATACTCCATATAGGATTCAGGGCAAGATACTTCAAATGCTGACTTTGGCGTAGCAACATAGCAAGTGCATCGATATGCTCCTGTTCCAGAGTAGCATTTACTGAACGTCCGAGCGACAGCCTTTGTAGCTGTGGAAAGCTTTGGCCGAGATATGTGATTGCAGCTGGCGAGCGGAACTCGACCATGTGGAGGTCCAAAGTTATGAGCGAGTGATGGGTATGTCTTGATGTTAAATCCAGATGTTGATTATGTTCTTGTAATAATTGTCCGACTAGTTCCTGTTGTCGCATGGTAACATTGAACATTGTCAGCGATAGCGACCGCAAACCTTTAGGCAACACTGGCACCAGTTCATCCAAAGCAATCGTTAAAGGTCCGATCATTAACGAGCCAAAATCGATAGCACAGGTCAATGTCAGATGCAACAGTGCCGGTACTTGATTCAGCAACAGCTGCCAACCATCTGTCATTTGCTCCACCACAGCGCGCGTCAGTTCCAAATGCGTCAACCCTTGACCGTAGGTATCGACAAACTTGAACAATATATCGTATCGATGAAACGGCGCAATATGGCGCAATGAGCGCCATTCGAACAGTACGTTGCTACTGTTTTCTTCGATTTCAATCCATGTCGTCCAGTGGAAATCCAGTGTTTCCAGATATGGGCACAGTCGTGGCAGCGCGCTCCAGCGTTGGCGTGAAAGGCCAATCCTAAAATTCTTATCGCGCAAGTCGGTGGCACGATAGGGCAGGAGCTTTGTGCCATGGCCAAGTGTCAGGTCTCGAACAACCCAACCGAGTGGGTATTCAGGCACCACCGACGACGACTTCTGCAGCGTTATGAAAAAGCTCTGCAGCGCTTGACGGCTACGTACTCTGACGCTTCGGTAGAGATTGGGGAGGAATACCTTGTGCCATTGTTTGCACACCAGTATGCAGGCATGTCGATCCTCTTGTGTCAAATTTCGGGCAATACGGTCAATGAGCTCTTGTGGAAGTTTACAAATGTAGGAGCCCGTCATTGTAGAGTTGTTTACGTAACCATGCGAACGTTCCAAGGAAGGAACTAGCAAATAACAAAAGGAAGTCAAAAAAGGTGGGGAGGAGAGAAGGGGATACAACGTCAGTGACTCAAAGAAGCAATCAGTATAAGTGTTGTATAATCGGGAATAGTAGTACTGTCTGAGTCCATATGAACTTGATAGAATTACTGCCGGATGCATTAAGCAAATAAGTACGATAATAGAGATTGCAGCTAAAAGTCAAGCACTCAACCTCCTTCGACTATAGTGGCATCATCGTCATCATAGAAATCCGCTCAATACAATTATGCATGCTAATGCACACACTTCTACTTCTCTCCTTGTGAAAGTTTGACAGATTTTTCTTCTTTGACGGCTGAAACATTTATACAACTTTCATTCCGACGTAAAAAAAAAAAAGGTACGAATAACGAACCAACCAGAGAAATTGTAGATGTGAAACAAACCAAGCACCATTATATTAGCCGCTGTTTCTTACAAGAGAAAGGGAAACGACAAGGAAAATATATACATATCCCTCGCTTAATAGACAGGCGTACACGATAGTGTGTATCCTTTGCAAAAGATGATGTGCTGTCGTATAAGTTGAGAATGGCTGATTGATAATTAGCACATACCGGTAGCCCAACGAAATTGAACGGGGCCATAGGCCAGAAAGTTAAAACAGCTGCTCTGATTTGGCTACGGATGGATCCATGTCATCGCTCTTATTCTATCCCGCTGGCTATTCGCTTTAGCTTCTTTATATCCTTGTGTTGGCTCTTGTTTTCATCTGTCCGTTATGTATTCATACGTCATATAAAACCAAAACCTGGCTCCGCACGTTCTTTTCAAACATAATCTTCTAATAGTAATAGAATATGTAGTCTTTTGCAGAAATAACCTTCACTTCACAAATCAGCTCTTCTATAAAGAAATACACTACGTGTCTACATGTATATTTGACGTACTAGAAGTGATATGCGAAGAAGAATACATACATTCTATTTTTTTATTGTGATAGTACCAGTACCAGTACCAATATATATGTTTTCATCCAGTTATACGTGATACGAATAGCATCCGACAGTGCAATTTCAAAATAAAAGGGTTTTATATTCTACGTGGTTCTTGTGCTCCTATGTACAACTACATATGATACTTCCACCTTCTGTATTGCATACTGATTGCAGTTTACTACATAGTAACGGATGTACATCACGTCTTGATTACGAGCTTGGTTTTTTAAATGCTGAGGCTTTTTATCAACCAAGCCTTGTGCATTATCATCATTTCTTTTAATTTGTCATAGTTTAAAATTCCTTGTCAGGAGAAGCTACACAGGAGCGCCGACAACAAAGGGACCGATACAGAGTAGGTGCTGCTTGGAAAGATGAAAGGAAATGGCCCCGGAAAATGGCAGTAGTAGTAATAATGGTGTATTCAGCTACACTGTAGGAAAAAAAACCTTAAAAAACCTAAATTAAACCTGAATAAACCTGAATTTTCATAGTATTTGAACTTCCGACACACCTGAGCACTTAATGTATTTTTATTTTTACTTTTATTGTGCTAGTATCAGAGAGAAAATTAGAGAGAAAGATGATAAAAGAGTGGTTATGGATGTTTGAATCGAGCACTTAAGTTACCGCTGATGTTTGAAGAATTCGAGTACAGGAAAATCCTGTAAGTTATAGGATCGAATTGTGTAATGTGTGCAAGTAGCAATAGTTGTGTTCTTATTTAAATATAAATATTAAGCTCATTTGTATTTATGTTACCCTTCTGTTCTTCTCCTAGCACAAAAATAATGAAATACCTCTCTTTTCCGCATTTGCCTCGGCACTGCGATCAATGTTCCACTGGTCTTAGTGCTTCTTTTCTAAAAACATAATAAGGAAGAAGCTCTTACCTCCTCCACACGCAGACACATTCAACATAACCGAAAGCTACACCACTCCATACGAAACCAAAAAGCTCGGTAGTGTCAAACGAAAAACGGGGAGTTTAGAGAATTCTAAAATGAGACAATGATGCGATCTATTAAACCTTGTTTGACTTGGCCATTTAAGGTTCTTGTCATCGATTTCAAAAATGGTGTGCCTTGTTATTATTGATTATGCCGCCTTATCAACAGAACCCAACGATATCCTGCATTTCTTCAAGTACGTCTTCTATGCCATTGCGATATATTGATAAACGCACACACACACACATACTAACACTGATACCAGCATACACAGTCACTTATAGAGATCACGAGTCCTTAAAAGGTATCGTTGTGAATCGTCCAGATGTAGGGAAATACGAAGTGTACAAACGGAATGAAATACTAACCTCCAAGAAAATTATCAGCACTTTACTGTCGTCGAGCGCTCCCACACCGGTCAGTCTAAAAAATGTAGTTAATATATTTACAGTGAACCCCACCTTTATTTCACATCTGTTAAATTTCAACCCTCAATAATTTCACCAACTTTGTGGGAATGGTAAAATTAATAAAGTAAAAAGTTTAATTCTCGCGCATTTTACTTTCAATGGATCATTTAGGGTTGTAATCTTATGATATTAAATTATAGAGTATCTCTCTATCATCTATAAATGGTTTATCGTTGGCAACTATCATACGAAAGCCTGTGCAATTAATGAGTATATTGATTTAAAATTATTAAACATGAGGATCACGTGATATACTGTAGGATACGTGAGTGAAAAAGTCAACAAGGTCTGGTAAATGTATCGGATAAGTAGGCTATGTGATTTACGTGATCCACGTAGTGACAACTTCATGAGAGTTGATAATCTGTGCAACACCATAAAGTGCTGGATAAAGAAACGTCCGCGCACGGGAGTTTGTTCTTATATTCGTTAACTTTTGCAATCCGGAGGTGGTTCGCTGTATTACAAGTGACTCATGCTCTTTGACAGGTGACAATCAGGTCAACTTAAGTACGTAAATCGAGAGGAAGTTTAGACTGACTACGAGAAAAGAAAATTGTGTATACAAGGGTTTATTATGAGTTATTCTCAGATATGATCCATGTTTGAGGTATTATTGATATGGTGCTGATATTAATGTATAATCTATATGATATTAGTTCATTTTGTAGTGTGTGGTGTTCCCTTCACTCCATTATAATAGTTATGATACAAAGACGGCGAATGTTCATTTCAATCCCAAAGTATATTGTTTTTCCACATCATAAAATCGCTATTCCATGCAACCTCTGTTTCATCGATGAAAGTTTTCTTCCAACGTAGAACTCGCTCAGGAGAATATCTCCAATCAATACGCCGGTGTAGTCGGCCTTTTAGATTTCGGAGAAGCGTGTGCAATGGCTAGTGTCTTTTTGCTGCGCGATCCCTATTACTCAAGAGTCACAGCTTGTAATTGAACGCGTGCCCTCTGTAATTGTGTCACATCAAATCAAAAAGTGGCTAAACTCACGTCTCATCAACAAGGAATAGCCGTGATTGAAGAAATACTCGCTCAAAGATCGACACCATCGCATTGACCCTCCATACACCTGGTATACTTTGCAAAAGTTTTTTATAATGACAACATTTGGGTGATGCCTGTACGTAAAAAAACCCCCCATTGTGCACGATGATGTATACTGGCTATGTTAATATTTTTGCCGATGCCCTTGATTGAGAAAATGGTGCAACATAAAAGGATGGCTTATTCTTACCCGGAAGAGTGATGCTGCCAAAAAGTAGATGGCGCAGCAGAAAGTGCGATTGCGCGGTGTGGTCGCGGATTATTCCGAAGCAGGAAATCCATGGCGACAATAAAGAAAAGATCACATGGGACCCTACTGCAACTCCTAATATTAATCTGGCTGGGATGTTGAAGGATTGTTTCCTGCTCGAGTAGTTGCATTACTGCGGTTGACCGAGGTAGGCATATGAATATAGACAGAGTACTTCCTCATTCGTCGTCAGCAGACTTTGTGCGACAATCATCATTATAGAGAAAGGTGGGGGGAGACTTTAACGCGTCATCTTCTATAAAAATAAATAGGATGGCTTGCCATCTTGTTGATCTCTTTCTCCTCTTTTTAAACAATGTTACTTGAGAACAGAAACAAACCGCAATTTCCAATGGTTCCTCTCGACAGAGTCAGCAGTCCATTTTTGGGTGAAGCAAGGATTGAATTGCTTCCTACGGGACTTGCTAATATGACAGCAGCACAAGAAAATAGCGACCCTATTATTATGACTGGATCTGTTCTTCGAGGTATGTGGCGATGTTGCGCAGCAGCGTGCTCATAATAACTTTTGCTGTAGTTACTGGGGCATATTGATTTACCAACTGAGTGAAATTTAACAATAATAACAATGGCAATGGCTTCTCTCTCTCTCTCTCTTTCACATACAAAACACAAAAGGCATTGTAGATCTGACAATTCACCAATCAAGTTTTTGTGATTCGCTACGTTTGATATTTCATGCATCCGAATCACTGCCGCTACACACAATCGGAGCTAGCATCACGCACCGCAAATACCAGCAATTTTTTGGAACGCAAAAGGTGTTGGTGTCGAGCCAAGAGCTAGAGCCCGGATCACATCAGTTGCCGTTTGCCTTCCAATTGCCGCAAGTGCAGTATCCACCCTCCATGGAACATAAAACTTCGCGCTACTCGTGCCGATTTAAGCTTACGCTTTACGCAGGAGCAAGTGAAGTGGTTGCAAGCAAAGAAGTCGTGTACAGGCCATTGGTCGAAACACGGCTCCTGTATACACCGCTGATCAAAAGCTTTCGTGTCGCCAAGCGGTCCTACAGCGCCAAGATCCATGCCTTGGATTACTTGCCGGGTGACACTATTTTTCTTCGACTTATGCCACATGACAGCAAGAATGAAGGCAGGAACTCGAGTGGGGCCGCCGACAATTGTGGCGGAGGATCAACGATCGCTGATGTATTACTACTTCAGGTAGTCGAGATCATCACACTGCTCAACCAACACGACGTGAAACTGCAGCCGCTTGTGAATGTTGTAGCATCCTCAGCATCAATTAAACCATCGATAACCTGTGCTTCATGTTTGTACAACAACAATGATGAAGAAGGGTTTACTGGTGCACTGTCCATCTCTTTGCCATCGTCGCTTCCGCCGTCTGTCAGCTATGGTCGAATCATTACGGTCAGCTACCGCCTCAGACTCGTGTTGCCGTCACACAAAAGAAGCCTATGGTCGGCGATCAACAGAGACGAAAAGATACTGTTCGATTTACCGATCACAATAGGCACAGCTGGCTATGACACACACAACTCCATGCAGCAACTACAAGTGTATACTACATTTTCTAATATTTTTGCTTCTTCACCGGATTCCGAACCTTCTCCATCATCATCATCCTTTCCATCTCTCCCTGTGATGCCTGTACCGCATTCTTTACCCACGATGACGCCTAACCCGGAAAATCGGATATCTGGTGGTGACAATGATGACGGAGAAGATGCTTTACCACAGTATAGTAGCTTAAGGCTACCCGCATATGACGAGACCATACTGCATCGTTCGAGCAATCATTAGTTGTACATCATCTGTTTTTGGTGGCTCACCACTTCTGTATTTACTATGTATTATATTACTCTGTGTTCTTTTTTTCCAAACCTATGTATGTACATTTTGCATGCAAATATGTACTCATGTTGGTCATTGATAATAATAAAATTGTCCTTAATAAGTATTTTTCCTACGAGTACAGTATACACACATCATTGTAGTAAACCTCCCAATGATGTATAAAACATGCTGACGAGTGTCTTTAGCAAAACGAAAGACAATGCGTAATCATTATTAAGATGTCAATCCGTGCCTGAGGCTCGGGAGGGAATTTCCACTGCAATGTAGAAAAGACAAGCGTCACGCATCACGTATCTGTGCTCACCCGTCAAAAACAAAAAAAGCGAGAACGGGAACCAGCAATCATAAGCGATTGATTCTCTCTTGATTTCTGTGGCTGCTTGCTGTATTCTGATACATGTCTTTTAAACTTGCAATGTACAACAGTAGACTGCTATGATAGTGTATATCATATACTGCATGCAAATATCACTTGGTAAAGTACACTTACCTGGCTTTTCTTATTGACTGTGTTATGTATGTATCTAAACACAGTATAATCCGAAAAGAAGTCAGTTATCATTGAACGCGAGAGGTTGTGAAAGATTGTATGGATTACGTTGATTTGAGGTGGACTAGTCAAGTTTCTCGTCGAGGCCAGGATTTTTTTGCACTGACTACAGCAATTTGCCAAAACTTAAATTTACAGAAGCTATGTGCAATGAGCTACTGACTGAAATTAATATATCCTCCGAGACGTGGGCAGAAATACATAGACAAGTTGACGATTCATTGGTGCCGCATGCATATCAATGCTATTGAGAGCGAATCCTGGATGACAATGCTCTAAAGGGATAAACGTATGGTGATACTTGGCTTGCTTTTGTATGAAGTTTACCACCTACAACATTCTGCTTTATTTTGTGAAGCAAAAGTATATTATGTACGAATAGCAAGAAATAGGAGAAAGGGATAACAATTACAATTTGTCATCGTTTCATGACAGCTTATCTTAGAGGTCTGCTAAATCCCGAGTGCTATGTTGTTATCAAACACTCACCAGATGCCTTTGAAGCCTATGTTAACGACTTGGAGCTATCATCTGTTCGATTATGATGAGAGGTTTTTCTTTACAAAGGACTAAAAAGTAAAAGTGATACTGATATGGTCGCCTCGTCCTAGATGTCATATGGAGGTACAGAGGAATGCAAGGAAATCAGCTAAATTTATCTTTTTGTTTGCCGGCTTTACTAGCCGTGCGCGCTGGCTGTGCTCATTGTAAATGTAACGACGAGGCACATACAGTTAATAGTAGACGATGGCAACTAATTATTACGACTTCTTTCATCAAGGCAATGGACAATTACACAAACAAAAAGCAGGTCTCACTGACAGAGGGTGTTAGCAGGGCAAGCAAATTTTTCACAGGATCGTTGACGGTCTATATATAAGGGTGTTTCTTCGTCTTCTAGCTGAAAATAACCATTATACAGACATGCCGTATTGATATAAGATCGTATACGAATAACACTGTTCTCTCATTGTTGTGTGTATTGATATCTTCTACATAACAATGAGAGACATGTTGCTCAGTTTGATGTTTGAGCTCCTTATTATTGCTATAACCAAAAGGATGAAGCACATCCTAGTATGATAGTCAATCAGCTACTACACAAGACGTTCTTTGCTATAAAAAGTCCAATGTACGATTAAACCACAACAACAGCGGCTTATTGTTGAAGCCACGACGACGACAACAACCGTGATCCGTTGAGCGATGAAAAAAAGAGTGCACTTTAGAAAAAGAAAGAATGACAAGCATTAAGTACGTGTGCTTATCAGATTTTTACTATATGAGCTTTCTTTTAGTGTTCTGGGAAGTTAAAGATTTGTCTTCCGAGACGGAACCCACGGGCCGTTACAAAACTGGCTGAGTTGAACTTGATAACGGAGTATATAATTTACAGAATGTATAGCTCTTACTACTACTGCTACTATGTACATTTGAAAAAAAAAAAGAAAGCTATCCTGTTGAGTTACTCGGAGATATGTCTACAGCAAATATGCAGGAACAACATCCGATCATGTTTATGTCCATGCATATGTAGAGAGACATATGTGATACGATAAAAAAAAAGGGTAGTTTTAATCATGTCATTTTTTTAATAATATAAATCGGTCGACAAAAAAAAAGTTGATGATGATGGAGGGAAGAAGTTATTAGGTGGTAGAAGGTCTAAGATGAAAAAAAAAACGAGGAACAGTATAATAGTAGAGTAAGATTATAGAGAGTACTACAACAGGCTATGGAAAGAAAGCATGTCGCCGATGTGTTAGAATAATAAAAAAGACAACATAAGAGAGACGAAGGTGGGAGGGGGGAATGCACGGATATTACAAGGTTTAAAATACGTTAATGCAAATAAAAAAGAAGAAGCAAATATGAATAGTTTTGCGTTATGACAGTGGGTACTAAGAAAATATGTGGGAAGTGCGCGTGTGTGAATATAGTGTTGAATCGCCAGTTAGTTTACTGCTGCTTGGCAGCTACTTTGACATTCTTTGACGGGCCGGCGTACTGGGTGTTGAGCAACCAATCCCAGAACGTAAAGTACGGTTGCGAAAAGTTCTTTTTGATGCCATAAGGTTGATGATGGATGTCATGACTATACACAAGTAATCAGTATTCCGAACACCCTGATTCCCTCTATCGCTTCTCTCCCCCCCCCCTGTTGTCCTTTCTTTGATTACTTACTAGACGACGTTGTTGCCAAAGAAACACTGAAGTGGGTCCCATGGGAACGAATATCCACAGTGATCGTCCACTATTTCCAAATCCGGTAAATTTCCAAAGGCTGCTGTTGCTGTCTCTCCTCCCGCTATTACAAAAGTTCATTCTTACCTGTCTTCATGTTGGAAAACGTGAAAAAAATCATGCCCAGCATTGGCGACATGCCCGTCAGTTCAAACGCAATGGTTGCACCCAGGGTATCCAACAAAAACCCTTCCAAAGGGTGGTTGTACAGAGCGCCAAAGGCATACGGCACATAGAGTCGGTGATGGTGCGAGTGGATATGTTTGTAAAGAAATTTGTTGAGGTGGAAAAGACGATGGAGAAAATATTGATGTGTATCCATGATTACCCTGTAATGAGTTTCCCCAGACATCTTGAGTTAATAATTGAGTGCAAACAGCAGCCCTAAACCTCAGCACGCAATACCCCCCCCTCCCCTCCCCTCAATATCCCACACTTTGTGCTCGTAAAAACGTACATGCCAAGGAAGAACTGGACGCAAGGCCACACGTAATTATACAAGCTATAAGCCAACGAGGTAGCCATAGCGGTCGAATTCTTCAGTGCAGGGGCAACCAAGGCCAGGACGGTGTGAATATGCGAGGCAAGATAGACCACAATCGCTTCTTGTCTGCGCAAAAGGGCAGCAGGATCGGCTGGAGGCGTGATAACAATAACACCGAGGATGAACTGAATAGTTTGCTGACTGGCCACCATGACAAGGACTCGTGTGAGCGTCACTCGGTTGCGTTTTGCCATATCCTCAGAGGTGTGAATGCGGTACTGCTCAAAAAATGGGATCTCGGCCTTCATCATAAAGTGGAAGGCAATGCTGTAAATCCAGTAAGCAACGATTGGGACCCACACCGACATTGCTTCAATAGTCCAAGGATCAATGGCGGATGGATCCAACGACATCAGAAAGTCGGTTGTGGTAATGTTCATCATGTCAATGAAGAAAAAAAGGGAAAAGAAAAGAGTGGAGGCAGGAAAGAAAAAAGAAAAAAGAGGTTGCGGAGTCGGTTGTCAGTGCTGCTGGTAAAAAAATGGTCCGAGATGCTGCTGCTTGTGTGATGCTTGTCCGTTCAAACGGCTGGGTTTATATGCACTGCCATATTAGGAATAGATGCTTCTGTTTCTGGTTTTGTGTTCTCTGCTTTCCATCCCTTCCCTCTCGAGAAAATTATACACTTTCCTCTTTCTTCTTCCCCCACCCCCACCCCCCTTCGCACACCTCTCTTTTTTCTCCCTTCCCTTCCTAGCACACCTCCCCGGCAGCAGCAATGGACTATGATGCCATTGATTACTTTTTCGATGACGCCGAAAGTTTCAATGCCGGTAAAATGTCACCTCATGGTGTTGTTATTGACACGATCAAGAGTTAGTTTTCGTTGTAAAACTGAAACCGTTTTTGTTTTCCTTTAAAAACCTACGCTAGAACTCGACGACATACTTTTACTGCCGTGCGAGAGTAAAGAAGATGCTGAACGGATAACGACGCAATATGTTAAACTGGTCACCCGATTCCAACGTATGTCGTCTAGTACTGGGGGAAAGAAACAGGCCGGGCTTTTTATATCCATGTAGAGGGAAGGAGCCTGGTTAAATGGGTTGGATGTAGATCAGCCAGTAATAACCAGCCCATTGTTTGATTATCTAGACGAGTTCTGCGAGACGCTTGCCGAGCGGGCACGAATGGCATACAAGCTGATCGATTCGACACTGTTTTTGGAGCACAGCACAACGATCCTGAGCCACATACTGCATCGTCATGCTCTGGCAACGACAAACGAAAACGACAGTGATCTGCTGATCCCGTATTCCATCTTGATCTACGCGGGAAAGGAGGATCCACGGTGGATGAAGTACATTGTCTCTGATGCACGGCGGAACAAACAAAATCGGCTGTTTAGAAAGATATTGCAGGAAACTGCAACGGACAGCTACAAACTGATGGGCGTTTCTGTAGTGCTTGCATTCGAAATGTGCAAAGTATCCAAGCTACGCGCAGCTGACTTGGGTGAGTCCTATAGCCCAAACTACTGTAGACCAGGTTGTTCTCTTTTTGTGCTCATGTATCATTATTTTTCCGACGCTTTCGCATGATAGATGCCATTACTCCGGGCTTCCTCAACCATCTGTTGGACGTGGTGGAGTCCATGGTCAATGATGCTGACGAGACGTTCAACTACGACATCATCCAGCTGTTGCTGGTGTTTAACGAGCAGTTTCTAATGGCGTCCAAGGGCGAACCCAATAACAAGGTGCTGGATGTCTTGACGGAACGTATAGGGACAACCAACACGTTCAGTGCTAATTTGATCTTCATGCTTAATCGGTCAGGTATTGTTTAATTTGTATATATACTCATCCACCCCCCCCTTCTTCCTGTGGGTTACTCCGAATTGTTGGTATTTTTAGGAGGGTTGTTATGGTTACTCACGCATTTCTGTGTAACAACAACAACAACAACAACAACGTAGATGATGCATGTGTCAAGCTGCTCATCCTCAAACTCTTGTACGGCGTCTTCACCCGGCCGGCATTGTACGAATACTTTTACACAAATGACCTTTACGTGCTTGTCGATGTCATGCTACGAGAAGTCTGCGATCTGGGCGAGGAGCGTGAAGCAGCCGCGGTAAAACATTCTTCTTCTTGTCTACTTGTACACAATGTGTAGAGCAAGAGTTTATGCAACATATTGGGATATCATACTCACATCAACTCGTGCCGCAATAGCTCCGCGATGCCTATCTCCGGGTCCTCCGCCCACTGCTCATCAATACCCAGCTGCGACGAGCACCTTACAAACAAACAGAGATCCACAACACATTGTGCGCCATGATCACCCCACGCAGCTATGTTCACGTCGATCCTGCCACAAGCCGTCTGGTCGAACGCATCTTGGAGGAGTGGTGGGGAAATATCTGCAAGCAGCCCATGGCACCATTGCTCGGCGTCGATGTCAAAGCCCCTCTCCTTGCTGCCTCACAGCATGGCACAAATGCACAGGTTGTCGGCAGATCACCGAGTCCCTATCCCATGATGCGCTCATCCACCTCTACCTCTACCTCGTCTAATACCTCCTCCACCACCGAATCCTCGCCCTCTTCTCCTGCCCCTACTCCCGATGATAATACAAACACTACTCCTACCACCAACAACGGCAGCAGCGGTCAGAAGAACCCTGCCGACATTGTTCTTTGTGCCTAATTACTTATCGTTCTTCTGCTGTTTTCTTTCTTCAAACTCAACCTCACATCATCACAACCCATCTTCGCTATATATCCACACACACACACATTACTTCCCGTCTCGTTCATCTTTTGCTGTTTAATTGTTTCTTCTGCATACTTCTTCCTCCCCCCTTTCAAGATCATATATAAACAAACCATCCATGCATTTCGCACGCACTTTTGAGCTCGTTGCGAACAATCTATAATCTGATGTCAAATACTGGTATATAATGCAAACAAAAGAAAAGAACAACAATAGGAAACAAGGTGATGCAATAAAGAAACTATTATACAGGGTAAACGATGTAATAAATTGTGAGAAAGGAAAAGCTTGCTTAGACAAGTCCAAATCCTTTGGCATTTTCTATGGCAGTGATTAAACGTTCACTCATTTTTTCCCGGGAAGCGTATTCCGGAAGTAGTAAGCGACTGAAACACGTGAGTGCTGTGGGCAGCCTGTCACTGTCCGGTCCGTTGCGCTGTACGACAAACGTCAGCTCCTTCAATCCGCCTACAGGAACACGGTCGCTTGCTGTGACAAAGAAGAGCAGCTTGCGTTTTTGCTCGGATGTCATCTCTTGATGAACAATGGACCAAAAGTGTCTATCCATCAATAAAGATAGTTGTGAGTACCAAAAACTAGTCAAGGTAAAAAGAAAAACTTACCGAATCGTTGTGTGCTCAGCACTGTATCCATCATCATACTCTGTCACGCGTTCCAGCTCGTCCAAATCTATTTCCGCGCTTTGGCGCTGACCACATGCCACGACTTCCAACACTTGGGCTGTGCAAAGATCCATGGCTGAGCCGCCCATGACGCTCCATAGTCCCCGACGGATCGCCAATAACGGGTCTCGTTGGGCATAGTAAAGAAAATGGGTACAGTAATCCCTTACAAAGTCAGTCCGATTCGCATTGGTCACGGGTACATCGGTTCCACCCGGTTGCAATGGCCATGTCGCGATACCTTGGCCAAAAACGTCCAAGGATATCTCATAATTGCGACAAAACACGTCCTGCACGTCCTCTGGCCAATCCAACAACTGTTGCAGTCCGTGTGCTAACGATGGCCATCCTTCACACAAATCTTGGAACGTAAACAACTCATGACGATTGGCGAGTGCCTCGATCCGTGCCTCGCTGGGTTGCACAAGCACCTTCCAAAGCACTTGCGGGAACTGGAGATTCATAATGACGCCATTGTAGATGGCCAGGCCCATCATGACGCCCACCATTTCATACGTTCGTAACGAGTCCTCATTGTTGACCACCGGAAGCATCCACTGCAGTCGTGTGTCCGGATCAGTATCAAACAGCCCCAATGGTTTAGCCATGAGCTTTTCAAACAACACGTTGAAAAACTCCTTTTGTACGCCGCCTTGATCCATGCCTTCTTCGCCACCGCCAACAAACTTGATCTTGAGCGGCTTTTTGATATTCACCCATTGCCGTGACACTTGATGGAATGTGTCCTGCACAAAATGCTCGCGCCGGATCTCCAAAAGCAGGTACGGGCATGTAGCACTTTTCAAGTTGGTCTCGAGATTCCGGACCATGCGCGGTGCATCGGACAAAAGACGTCGCGCATGAACTACAAGCGTGTGGTTGACACATGCGTCTTCGTACTCGGCCGACATTTGCGACATGGCGTCAAGTTGCAAGATCTTGCGTTTGACAGGTGGTGGCAATAGGAACGGGTAACTGAACCATGAGAATTGATATTCGTTGGCAAAAGGGTACGGTAACAAAATGGAGGTTGAGGTTGTTGTAAGGAACAGACGCGTGCGTCGTTGTTGTTCGTTGAGTCCACAAAACTGACTCGCTGAAGAGGACGGTCGTGATGCTGCAATGGTGGATATCGAATGACGCCCCTCGCCATATTGTAACACACGTCTCCATATCCGATACTCGTTTTTGATGTTGAGCTTCTTACATACGGCTTCGCAATTGAAATCACTGGTTGGGATAATTGTGCCTGATGCAGTAGATGATAGTGAATTGGCTTCGTAGGCAAGCTCTAAAAACTTGGTCGCCATGACAACCGAGTCTTGTTCACCGTGTTTGTACGGCCCGGTATGAAAATGATTGATCAGATAATTGTGCAAGTGTGTTACAAGCGAACGCATTCGTACTGCATCCAAACTAAGAATTATTTCATGTGAGGCAAAAGTATAATGATTTCTGTTGGTGCTTGCTACATAAATCCGAAAACAAAGCCTCTCTCTCTCTCTCTTCTTTCGACAAACGTACCTGGCGAGATGCTGCTTCAGCACCTCTCTGATCACGGATTGTCTATTACATGCAATCTTGTTCACGACTTGGATAAACTTGTGTGACAAGATCCCAGACCACATATCGCCAGCTGCCATGAACGGTGTTGCTGTTGCTACAATTGCTGAAGATGACGATGATGATAGCGTGAATGTTGCTTCTTCACTCTGCCCTTCAGTAGCGGAATCGTCCGAAGATGCTGATGATGACAGTTCTTCCGTATGCTGTTGGATCCGTATCCATTCCATCACGGCAAGCAGTGCTCGACACCATTCAACCATAGTACGTATACACGATGACGACTTGGCATCTTGAGCAGTGGTCAATGATGTCATACCATCCGTATTCATGTTCATTCTATCCAACAATGTTTCCAGACTTTCCGTCACGGTCTCGGATGTCCGGATATCATAATTACTACTAACACCACTGCCGCCAAGAATCGTTCTATAAAACAGTGCCAATTCGTCAAGTTCGGTTTTTTGGAATGATAGGCCGATTGGTTGTAGTAAATGTGATCCGTTCGATAATAAACTATTGCCAATGCCTTCCCAGTTTTGGAAAACTGCACGACACCAATAGCTAAGTTTTTGCGGGTCTTCTGTCACCATCTGATGGACTTGATCGATGGCTGTTTGCACGTCGGTGATGATGTTTGGTCGAATCGCAAGTAACATGCCTTCTTCACTGGATGTGTCAGATTCGTAAGAGCTGCTGTTGGTCGTTGTCGAAGTATCGCTCATTGAATCGAGTTGGTAGTAGTAACTGTTATCGCCATTGTTATTCTTATTGTTGTTGCTGTTGTTTTCCGGTTTTGGCGCCACATTCGTGTTACACAAAGATCCCATGAATCCGTCTCGTTCATCATGCACTTGATTTGATTTATTTGGAAGCTCATCTATAAAGGGAATAGAAGACATGGTTTTGTGTTCTTAGTAGAAGGAAAAGGCACGTATTCTTCCTCTCACACACACACACACACACCCTTACCATTCTCTCGTTTCGTTCGACGCCGCCGCCGAGAACTCTTGTTTGATCTGTTGTTCTTGTCGTTGTCATCCTCCACTATATTACTGCTGCTGCTGCTGCTACTGGGACTACTTGAACCGGATCTGTTGTTGCTGTTCTTGGTTTGATCGTGATCAACTTGCATTCCAAATAATGACAGAAAAGACGATGACGAAAATAGGGACAGCAAAAATGGCTTTGCACGTGCTGGTTGTTGGTGCTGTTCCTCTTCCTCATCTTCCTCCTCAGCAGCCCACGCATGTTGAGCTTTTGGTGCTGTCTCGTAAAATGTATGATATTGACAAAGACGACTTTCGGGTTTCGATGCAAGTTGAATGGACATAACGAGTGCTGCTTGTCGATGTAAATTGCGTATACCACCTATAATAGTAACAAGAATAAAGAAATCAATCATTCAATTCGTTCATCATTCGATGCTGGATATCATTTCCTCAAAACTACTATGGCTACTACTACTACCACTACCCTTATTGCAACATAGTGTTGCAAGGGCTTTGACCTTATTAGGCATACCTTTGCCTGTAGCGCAAAACCGGTTCATACAATCTGCACGTCCACATCCTACCGTAAGCTGCTGGAAATACTGTTCTATTCTCGCTTCATAGTCGCATTTTGCTTCCTTGAGCCTTCTTTTGCGTAACGATTTCAAACTCGATTCCCCGGGTAAATGGACAATGTCCTTTTTGCTCTTGTTGGCTTTGCTGCTGCTTCCGTTGCTCTTGGCAATGCTACTTGCATTCAATCGATCTTTATTGGAAATGTGATTTGGCAGGGAAGCCGGCGATTGTTGTTGTGGTGAAGTAGAGGGTCGAGCATGAGATGAAAAGTGGTGACAGACGAGGTTGTTCTTAGTGTTGTTGGCTGTAGTAGAAGTGGTAGTGCTGGCCGTAGTCGTTGTGCTAGTAGTCCTGCCGCTTAACTTGGCCGACAATAATCGCTTATTGTTGTTTTCTTCAAAAGTAGAAAGATTCTCGGTACTACTGTTACATTCAATGGACGAATCGTTCCATACTCTATGGCTGTTGTTATTGTTGCTGTTGCTATTGTTATGGCTGCTACTCGTACTGCTCCCACTGCTAATCGTGCTGCAACCACCGTTACTATTGCTACTGGAAGTACTGCTCGGTGTAGTGCTGCCAGTACCGCTGTTTGTGCTATTTGCGGTGGCACTTGTTGAGTTCGTGCCGGTAGTGCCATTTTGATGAGATGACCCAGGACTTGTAGTTGGCGCAGTAATGGGCGATGCCGGGTCATACATTCGACGTGAGTGGTCTAGAATTGTCGACATTGACTATTGTTGTATATAATGATAGTGATACACAAAAATAAAGAGAAAAGAAGAAAAGAAAAAGAAGGTTACGTTTCTAAAACGGCACACTCTGTGATTGCTACTGCTAAGCTCGCTCTGTGTAATAATGACGGGATTTTAAACTGGCATTATCGGTAAGCTCATGTTAGTAATTCAGCAATTTCTAGAAGTGCTGGAAGGATGGTAGGTGTGGTAGATGGTAGTGGCGGTGTTGAACGTCGACACTACACAACGAGAGGGCTTGCTCGAGTTGTAGTATATCGTTCCTTTCGAGTATATATCAGTTTGTTTTTTTCTTAAAGCAATCAGGCTCATCAATAAGCAACGGCCGACAATTTATTGTCTAGGGGTTTGTTGTTTGTATGCAGTACACACCAAACAAAGAAGACTTCCTGCCTTGTTCCTCATCGTCATCTTCCAAATAGAGTAATTTTTGTTGTTTTAAGCATTTCGAAACTGATGCATCTATGTAAGCGAATGTAAAATTTATACAAGTACAATGTATTCGCATACGGTATCTTTTTCATGAACGCACCAGGATAGCACTTTCTTGGCGTTGTACATATGATACCTGGTTAACCGAGGATTATGATACCGGGAAGGAGCCGGCGTCAGAGGATAACTTAGACTAGCTGTATAATAAACCCACATCCCTATACACTCCCTACAAAACGTTTACCTCTCAAGTAGGGTGGGTGGGTTCTGTGCTGGCTACAACACACTATCTGCTCTTCCCTTCCTTATCATATATAATTATCGTACTGCAAGGAAGCGTCTATAGACCCAATGGCGCAAGCCACCTAGTCTTCCATTATAATAAAGCCATAAATACCTGGTTGAAAGAAAAAAAAATACTCTTGCACTATGTAATCTTGGCTTCGTTTCCATAGCAATTAATTAAAAGCTCTAGTATTGCTACATAATAGACCCTTTTTATATCGTTAAGAAAAGTATGGGAAAACACCGGTGGGCAAGATCATCCCCGAGTTCATTATCAAACAAGGAAAAAAGCAAGAGCTCGTTCGACATATATCACATAAATCGGTGTTTATGATTGCAAGTATGATAGAAATATGGCTCGCATGTGGCAACATCAACAACATACGTATTTGTTGTTGCGCCCGTATGCTACAAAATAGTGTTCAAGTTATCAGTAAAGTGAGTAGCGTAAACATATGCTGTCATGGTAATGGAGATGATGTGCAATAAATTAATAGGTATCTAGCAGCAATAAGGAGTCATCAAAACATTGCCATTTTTTGGGTGTCCAATACAGTGGCCGCTCGCTATAGTGTTATAAGAAATGAGGCATAATTTCCATCACTATGATATATCCGAATAATTACTATATCAAATGCTGGTTTTGTTAATGGGCTCTGGCAAATAGATTACCTATGGGTCTATATGGAGAGCTCATCAAGAGAAGCTCTAGAGCTGCCCGCTGTCACTTTTAATTCAATCGGTAATGAGCTCAAAGATTATACTATCCCTCACTTCAATCTTTCCAATGACATCCCGCCTTACTTACAGTATTATAGCTGATAGGTGTGCATTTGGCTGCAAGCGCCTCATTGATGGAGTGCCACGCTTAATATTAATACTCAAGACGACAATCTACACTCATGAAGCAGCAAAAACTAGCAAATTGTGAATGATATTACTGTAACATAAGCGATCTGGTAATCAATGGTTTAGCAGGTACGTTCAAAAGGCTGATGTTATCGTGTATAAGGTTTGTTTCCCGATACGGATACTGTAGGTGAGTGTCAATGTACAGTACTGTATATTCAAAAAGAAAATGAGGAGCAAGAGAATCGAATAGATAAGGGATCAGTAATACAAGTGGTGCTAGTATACTAGATACAGATTATATTTCTATGCAAAGCTTGTGCATGGTCAGTTGTAAAAGTATTTCAGACGATTTAATAACGACGCCCACGTGTTCTTCATCTGGCTTCGTGCAAATTCGTACATATACATATCGAATTGAATTGAGACTAAAACACACTGGAATAGCATCGCGAATACTTCTGTGTACCCTTGGGTCTCTAAATCCATATTGCTTTATCTTCTTTTACTGCTGATGCATGTGCACGTTTTTACACAGCATGAGCACTCGTTCAAAATCTGCCTTACATAGTTTAAACAACTCCCTTTCGCTCTGCTATTTAAAGACAATGGGCACTTATGCCCATTGCTTATTGTTCCGCTACTAAGTATCTTCATCATTCAGTCTGTCAAATATCTCGGTATTTTCCAAGCGCATCTTCTTATTCGGACTAGCTGATATGAAAGCAATTGCGTGAAAAGTTACTACACTAGGTCGTTCGTTGCATTCCGTTGCTTCTCTTATTTTACAATTATCACAAGCCATTCTCTTTAAACAGAGTCCAAGCTATCTCTCTTCTTCTTTTCTTTTTTACTTAGCTTCACCTTCACCTTTTACGATTCTGCATTCACCCTTTTTAACGCTTAAAAAGGCAGTCCTCTATTGATGTTACTTCGAAAACAATAAGACTTCAACCCACTCTGGTTTGGCCGCGTTCAAAACATCATATTTGCATGTGATAAATTCAGGACTATGTGTGTTCTCCTTCTGTTATTGCTGTTGATGCTGCTGCCGCAGCTGTCAAGCTGGCTTCAATCATAGTCAGAAGCTGGTAACAAGTTTTTCTACATACTAGGAAGCGCGAAATGATCGTCCGTGAAAATCCCGAAGAAGGGGACGATCATACTCTGTAAGCGTCTTCAACTTCATTTTTCCGTCATAGTTAGTTCTTGCATGTGTATATACATACTGGTCTCGTCATTATAGCACCAATGAATGTGCTTCACGATGAGCATATTTGCAGATCCTGCGGTATATTGTTTTCGGCGATTTGAAGCACTTTCGTCCTCTCAAAGCATCATCCGCGAAAGTATGTAAAACGATGGTGTAAAAGCCTGAAGTGTAAAGAAGGTAAGCTATTATGATATTTCTTGTGAGAATGGAAAACTACAAGATGTGCCAAAGTGATCAGCATGGGCTGTTAAAGGACATCATCAATAGTTTTGTTCTGTCATAACAAATCAGTGTCACATGATCCTATTCAATACACTTTACTGAGGTGCGTGCCTGACAGCTGCGTTTTATAGTTCGTAAGAAGCATGGCATATGCTCGAGTAGAGGCTAAAAGAAATTCTAACAGCGTAGTAGAACGTATTATGCTTACACAGTAACATGTTGACTGTTTTTAGTAATGCCCTATGAATAGCTTTATTGTTTCAAGCCTTAATATACTGCTCACTGAATACTTCGTAGGTATATGGGCAATTATCGGTATGTACATTTAAACATGCCACCATTTGCCCCGCATTTATAGATATGATAAGCATAGAAAATTATTTGACAAAAACTTTTTTGTCAAACAAACAGAAAGTCAAGTGCCACGCACAGTGTGAATAATACATAAAAAGAGGGGGAGGTGCGGAAGTGGAAATCCTTGCTGCTGTTGTTTTAGTTAGTGTCTTCCGATGCTGTAGGAAATGCATGTTAATACTATTGATAACTCAATAGGCAGAAGGGCTGATGTCGTTCGACCTCTTCCCAAACGTCATCCAATACCATAGAATAGAAAAAGAGACGTTTTCTGGATCCTGATGATGATGTCCGAATGATGGATAGATCAGTATGTACGTATGCATGAGTGTGTGTGTGTACTACTTTGTGTGGCTTACGTCCATCTCTCTGTTATGATACTCACGGGTTTGTTTATCTAATCAATTTGGGAAACAACACAGAAAAAGGCTGAGGCAATATAAACATATACGGTCGTGTGCTTTTCTTTCATGGCTGCAACAAAAGACTTAAAACCGCTTTCATTATGGGATTAAAGGAATTATACCTGGTGTGCTCAATGTGCGGATAAAAAAAAACGAACCCAACTTTGGGATCATTGTGGCAAATTCTTGAGGCACAATGATGCTGCGTAGCAAAATGAAAATGCTCAAACATGCAAAATGGCATGTGCGTAGCAGAAATGAGAGCACATACTTTCTTTGTTGCTTCACACGTCCCCGTTTTTATTATACATAATTGATTGTTGTCGTCCATTACAGCAGCAATCAGCATTAGTAGGCGCAAGAAGTGTTCGTTGTCGTTGTCGTCGTCGTGCTATATACTTACTATTACTGCTATATAATAGCACTGTTGGTAAAGTATGTTTTTGTCCCGTTGTGGCAGCAGTATTGTGAACGACAGAGTTACAACGGAATGCTGTTGCTCAGCAATAGACGACGAGTATGTATTGTTTCCAAAAGAAGTTTAAGAAAAAAAAGGTGCCTTTATAATCTTTATCTATTTACTTTTCCTTTCCCCTCTCTGGAATATCGCCATGCAGCAGAATGCATGTTCAAAATATTTGATATGCCAAGCATAATACCGAAAATAATAATAAACGAAAAAAGCGATGATGACCATCTGTGGACTAGTGAGCTATGTACTCTGATTGCCCACATATGATAAATGATAGTGATATGTGGTGATGATGGTCCTTCGGTACATTAATTCCACTATAACTACATCGCAGAATTGAGCAGCGTACTACCGGTGCTGCACTACTAGCAGCAAGACGGTCCCTGCTAATTCATTAACGGTTAAAAGGTACACACGTGTGTATTTGCTGTAGAGTACATGTCTATTTGGATTTCGACTACAAGGACGACAACGATGATTTTCCACAAGGGCAAAAAAGTGAGAAGGAATACGGGGGGTGGATGTGATAGATACCCATACAGAGGATGGCACAGCGGGATAAAGGAAAGGGGGTAGTAGTTAGGGCTAAATCAGCTGAAGCAGCAACAGCATCGTCAAGAGTAACAAAGCAGCAAACAAGAAAAAACTGCCTAAAATGATAAAAGACAGCCTCCCTTTTCCCCTTGCTCTCTTCCTCTTTCTCTCTCTGTGTTCTCTTTTCCTTCTTTTCTTCCTATCGTCTTTCCCTCTCTTTTCCTCTACTGTATTTTTTTCTTTCTTTTTCCCTTGTTATATTATATTTTGTCTTTTCTCTCTGTGCCCTGGAGGTTTAGGGAAAAAAAATATGGTTAATACGTACAAATCAGCAACTACCACAACTACAACCACCACCATCACTGCAAACGCCCGTCGACAACACTACAACAACGGCACCAGCAACAACAGTGGCACCAGCAGAGCACCTAACTCGCCTCCAGACCGATTTGCTCATGACAGCACAACACCAACCAACAACAACAACAACAACAACAACACAGCAAGTAATACTACGACTGCCTATACCAACGGCGCTGGCAGCATGGCAGCAGCAGTAGTGTCTGAGCAGGAGCTGCTGGCCGATATGGAGGGATTGAACCTCTCCTCTTCTTCTGGTGGTGGTGGTGGAGGTGGTCCGCATCCCTTGGACAAGTAAGTGCCAATCTGTCAAAGGGGAAAAGAAACCCTGTCTTCAGAAAGGAAGAAAGAGAGAAAATTAGACTGAAATGCCCTTGCTCTCGTGTAACCACTTTCAGGAGACCTGTTCCGAGATCGATGCGTGGCATATTTCCGGACAGCACGGCGTTTACTCCTCAATCAAGCGACAGGTTCCTCTTTCCGCCTTCGGATGAGCCAGGTAGCGTCAATACTTTGAATCGCCATGACAACTCGCTGTTGCTGCTTAGCAACCGACAGCTCACGGCCCTTCAATGACTACGCTCGCTCATCAACACTGTTTATTCTTTTCAATTCACTAGGGCGTCAAGGCGGTATGACAGCCACCGATCCGAATTTTATGCGGCGATCGTTGGATGCCACACACAATCACTTTCCGGCCCTGATCCGTCGCGAAAGTTACCCGTGTCTTGTAAGTTTTGCCAATGCCCGAACCCCTCTCCCTTCACTATGTACATATTTCCTCCCCCCAAGCCCTCCACCTCCTCTTTTTGCTTCAACCAACGACCCTGTGAAAAAAAAAACAGCATCAAGCCCTTCCTTCACCTATCCATACACACTCTCAAAAATAGGGTCCCTAACCCTGTTTTTCACGTTATCTAATACATTACATTAACAGCAGAGCACGTCGTCGTCATCAAGCACGACAACTCATTCGGAATGGGGCAGTGGCGACTCCATGTTACGTGGTGGCAATGGCAATGATCCCATCAACATAATGCATTCGCCATTGTTTCGCAAACACTCTGTTGACGTTCCGTACGCCATCACAAACAAACGGCTGGACCTAGACGGCATCAGAGGCAGCCGACTATCGCCGTCGTACTCAAATCCCGATCTTGCTGCAGCCCGACGGCTATCGAGCTTGGACGCAGCAGCACGACTACAGAAAGAACCCACTGCTGCTGCTACTACCACTACTAACAATGGTGCAGCATGTGTCAACGGTGGACTGGTGGGTGCACACCATAGTCATTATCATCAGCCTCATCATCAGCACCCATATGCAACAGCAGATGGGATGTTGCCCCCTTTCCTTCCCTCCTTGATGGGCTATCCTTTTTTCCAACATGGAAGCAATACAACTGCAACGACAGCAGCAGCAGCAACAACACCAACCAACACGGTCTCAGCAGCAGGAGCAGTACCACCATCCTCCTCTGGAGCTGCGGCTGCGGCTGCCGCCGCCGCTGCTGCATGCAACAATGCCAATATGAACCCGTTAATCTTGACCCACCTGATGCGCCATATGAACCAGCCACCATTACCACCAGCTTCTGGTGCTCCTGTAGCTTCTCCAACAACAAACGGCAGTAGCTTCAACGAATCTACTAGTAATAACAGCACCCCTCCATCACCCACGTCGTCTAAAAACAAGCAACAGCAACTACAGTCCTCAGCGCCACCAACACCTCGACGCCACAATGACCAGGATCGCTTTGCCTCTGTTCGATTCGAGGATATTGTTGATGAAATCTACACTTTGTGCAAAGATCAGTACGGCTGTCGGTACCTGCAACGCAAGTTAGAGGAACAAAAAGACGATCAGCGCGATACAATCTTCGAGAAAGTGTTTCCATATTTCGTGGAGCTCATGACAGGTAGGATGTTTAAGCTCTTGGATAGCAACCCAAGAAGTGGCAGGAGAAAGCAAAAGCGACTAATTTGATAAATGGCGATAGATCCGTTTGGTAATTATCTGTGCCAGAAGTTGATGGAGAATTGCACAGACGAGCAGCGCACGTTGATTGTCGAACAAGTGTCTCACGACATGGTCAGCATCTCACTTAATATGCATGGTACACGTGCTGTCCAGAAAATGATTGAATATATCACGCTTCCAGAACAGGTATAGTTGTAATGCAATGTATTTACACCTTTCGTACCATGCTTTGCATGTTTATACACTCTTACATACATACACTAGTATATACTTATCTCTGTTGGGTATATGTGTTTAGATCGACCGAGCTGTGGTTGCATTGGCACCCAACGTTGTAACACTTATCAAGGATTTGAATGGCAACCATGTCATCCAGCGGTGCTTGCATCGCCTGTCATCGGATAACAAGCAGTTCATCTACAATGCTGTCAGCATGAACTGCGTTGAAGTTGCCACGCATCGTCATGGCTGCTGTGTGCTGCAGCGCTGCATCGACTATTCGGTCGAAAACCAAAAAGTAACAAAAAAAAATTTACTCTCACACTATCCACCATCACTCGCCCCTTAAAAAAATACTTTTATCCAAACCTTTACTAACCCCCCACCCCAACCCCCGTTATTATAATAATAGGCACAGCTGGTTACGGAGATTATCAATCACGCATTGACGCTTGTGCAAGACCCCTTTGGAAACTATGTGGTCCAATATGTATTAGATTTGGGTGATGCTCACTTTTCCGATCTACTGATCCGCCGATTTATTGGCCATGTCGGGTCGTTATCAGTACAAAAATTTAGCTCGAATGTCATGGAAAAGGTTACATTCTTACCTCTCTTTTTTTGTCATCACTCACAAAAGAAAATCTGTTATAGAGGATAGGGTTTCGACTAACATCAAAATTGATCCGCTTTATTTATTCCATTAGTGTATTCGTGTGGCTGAAGCCGACACGCGAGTACATTTGATCGATGAAATGACGAATCGTGCTCGACTTGAAAAGTTGCTACGTGATTCATATGCCAACTATGTTGTCCAGACTGCGTTAGATTACGCTGAGCCCACCCAACGTGCAAATGTATGAGTTTTTTTATTTTTGTGCTGCGTTGTTTATTGCTGCTGTTGCTGATCCACTAAAATAAACTAAATGCATACTGTAGCTGGTTGATTGCATTCGTCCTCTGCTTCCTGGAATCCGTAACACGCCCTATGGTAAACGTATCCAAGGAAAGATCAATCGTGAGCAGCAGCGTCATCATCATCATCAACAGCAACAACAGCAGCAGCAGCAGCAGCAACCACAGCATCATCATCACCATCATCACCACCAAACCCAACAATTCGCAGACGGTGGATTGCCCATGGGTTATCTTGCTCCTTGGATGGCTGGACCCAGCAGTGAAGCAGGAGGTACTGCTGCTGCTGTCGCTGCCGCTGCAGCCGCAAGCGACTTGGCGTTTTTCTCGCCTTTCCACCAATCCCCGGCAACTTTTGGAGGATCTGTTCCTTTTTCCGTTTTCCATAATCATTAACTATTCTTTTTCCTTTGTGTTTATCCTATTACCCAAAAGAAAACACCACTTTCTTTTTGTTTTTGATTTCTTTCATGCATCTTGGTTTCTGTTTTTCCTCTATCGATCCCAACTGTAAACTAACAAATTATATATCATTTGTGTAGTAAAGTCTTTCGTAATCTATTCTTTTTCTGTTAACCCTATCATATTACAAAAAATTATAAAAAGCTGAATATTTTTGTGTGTTTTAGTATATATTGTACAAAATGCTTTACTTGTCGTTTAGAGCTGTAAGTAAGCTACACATGACTATCCCGATCGAATCATGATCCTGTTGCTTCTTATATAATGGTGGCTGTCTACTGTAGTATCTCGAATAATTTTGGATACGCCACGGGCACACTACCCGCGCACATCCTTTTGTTCTACTCATTCTATTTCACTGCGACGTAAAAAAATTGTTCAGCTGATATGTGTTCGAGACAGCTGCTCATAATTTAGATAGACAATCATTCAAGGCCTGTCCTTCAATCTCTTCTAGGTATACACTGCACTTACACTACTATCGCTACTTGCATATCTCACAAACATATTTGCCTTGTCAGTGCAAAATAAATCATCACAGTAGTTTTACTCCATACATAATGCGCAATTAGCTTTGTTGACATTAGATACTCGTCCCTGTTGATATCTGAAAGTGGCAGTTTGTCGTGAAGGAATTTTACATAAGCTTGATTAATGACCGTTCCATTAAGCAAATTTACACAAGTGTTCATTTCTCTTGATAAGTAACCGCCGGAAAAAGCGATCTATTTAAAGTACCAACTAGTTAATTGGAACCAAATGTTTATGTAGTTAAGTAAATCCATGAGTACTTCCCAATCATGATGATTTGATAACGATGGTCGATAGAATAACTGCGGCTTTACGATGGCACCTCACTACATGCTAGCTTGAATGCAAGCCAGGACGTGTTAACGAACTACGCGCCAGAATTGAGGAATCGAAAGAACAGACACATGACCCTGTCTAATTTAATATAAATTCGACTTTCGGATACATTTTCCGTGAAGTGCTTCGCTGCAAAACACCAAAGTTTTGATGCTTCACAAAATGATGCAAGATGCAGTACTATCAAGAAGCCACGTCGTTTCATGAGGAATCATAGTAATCGGTGCACTACAAGACACTCAACTCTTGTACGTGAAGCGGATAGAAGTCCAACGGATCAATATGGAATATCAAGGATGTGAAGGATGTGAAGGATGAAAAGGATAGTAATGGATCATGGATAAATTATAGTTTTGCACAAACCTCTCTCCCCTACTTGTATTGTTTTATTGTCTATTATACCCTTTTGTACCGCCGTCCAGTGTTTTTACTGGTATGTGCCGGTTGAGCTCATATTGGTACCTTTAATCCCCACATTTGTACTTGTACAATAAAGCTAGTATTCATATTTATAATAACATATGTCTTCCATTTGTTCCAACCAACGTTGCAAACACAAACATTCGTCGTATAAAGGCCTATAAGAAGCAATTATTTTGCCGTGATTATTGAGCTTCATATGATATAATTGAGGTTAACAAATAACAGTCAGGATGTATACGAGCATTTGTATATCATAAACTTCTTCGATGTGCAACACATGCTTAACGTTTTTCTTGATGCTTTATGGGTGCATTCATCATATGGTTGAGCTATCCGTTGATTACAAGTGGCAGTTTTGGGCTTTCGTATGTAGATAATACGAGAACTTACTTAGTTTATCGCTAGTGTTTGGTACGCATCTTTCTTTTGCGTTTTATTTATTTATAACAGTTCTCGGCCTTATTTGATTATGCTACCGATGTCATAAGTTTTTTATGTATGTAATTGTTCCAAATAAGGCATCTGCTAGGAGTAATACATATAAACAAACAAGCATCCTTCGATGTGAAGCACAAATTCTGACGTCAATTCGTCAACTGTTGTAGCTTGAAACAGATGAAGAGGTAAAAATGACAAATAAGGATAAAATAGATCGATATTTAACAAGCAGGACATTAAGATTATGAAAGGACAGTATAGCAATACTAATATGTACCAGCTCTAAGCCGTTGATATTGTGGAAGAGCGTTGATGACGAGCTACAGCGACTGCTATTTTTGTTACTATTAAGAATCGGCCGAAATTTGACATTGGTTTAGTGCGTTAATACAATTAATGCACTCACCTCTTGGCTGTTGGCTGAATCAAGTTCAGTTTTCCGCATAGTTTATTTGCTATATACATGTATAGTTTGGAGCAATGCAAGTTGTATAATATGCGCACTCTTTCCATTCAAAAAGTTGTTAGAACAATATAGAAAAACCGGTGGCCTTCAAATGTAGGGCTGCTGCTCCTCGTCCAACTTCAGCCCCCTTAATAGAGCTCCATCTGACAGTTGTGCATCTCATCGGGCGGTTGGAAATCATAATTACAACTCTCACGCGTACTCTGTCTCTCAGGGAACAAACAAGCTGCCATGTATGAAAAGGGAGACTCTTGTAGGCAAGTCGATGTTAGTAATTTCTTTCATGTAAAGTTGAGACTACTACGAGCAGGATGTTGAAGTGGAGTTGAAATTGGAAATGTGAAAAATGCGGATCGATCGAGCAAATTTTTTACTAGTAGAATAAAGTTCACACGATGGATTTTGGGCTTAAGCGTTGTATGTTGCCGATTTATGCAGCAGCAAAGCTTAAGCATTACGATGAACCGCCCCGCCAAAGCAGTGACGGTGTCAGCGTATCGGTGGGCCGTTGTCCTTTGTTTCTTTTTGGATGTTAAAGCTATAAGAGAATATGTACCTGCCTTGATCTTTCTCCTTTATCTTTACTCTTCTATAAAAAACAGTAGTTAAAGATGGAGAAAAGAAAATCATCTCGAAGACATCAAGCGATTGATCATGTCGGCATTCCTTTCCGACATCCGGCGTCAACCGATCGATTTGTAACAGTGGCACCAATTTTTATACACTCTTCGACAGTACCATCTACAAACGTCAACATCAAAGGCAGCGGCAGCAACAGTAGTGGCAAAGGTTTTATTGACTTTCTTGCACAAAGTCCATTTGAAATATTTTGCCATATAGTGAGCTATCTAGACACCTATACGGCTATCCAATGCACTCAAGTAAGCGGTACCTGGAGAACGAAGCTATTAAGCTATCATGGTCTCTGGCGGCAAATGGAAATCCGTTATCCATATAAGAGACAATACCGCATACCATCCACGTTGTTACATCATACTAGAAAATTAGTCATTCATGATCAAGTCACAGCATCCACGAACTGCACAGAGTTTCTTAGAATACATGTTTTCAAGAATCTAGAGTCATTGGAACTTTGCTTCTCCGGTAAGAAAAACTTGACAATAATGCGGGCGATAATGCTATTAATCCCATTATTATCGCTAATCCAGTCAGAAAAACAATCTTTGCTACTAGCTGGTCATGGTGCAAACATGAGGTCACCCGAACTGCTTTACAACACCTTGACATACGTCGGGCAAACCTTAACCGAATTGCGCATCGACTGGCCACGGATCCAGGATACGCGTATCTCGTTGTCGCGCATACTATCTGCATGTCAAATCCTCACGACAATCAAAGTCATTGCATGGAGTATCAAGGATTGTGTAGTTTCACGCAAGACACTATTATCTCAAATGGAGCGGCACTCGCGGCAGGCGATCCAACCTCTTTTCCAACTATGGCCACTTATTTGGCGGTGTCCGCATCTCCTGCACCTAGAAGTGAATGGATGCGAACTAGACGAGGAGATTTTACCTGTACTTTCCAATTGTTGCCCTGAGCTGATGACGCTCATTACCCGAAAAACGACACAATTGCTTTATGAAGATGTCACTGTTTCCGCGCTACATTCATCATCGGCGACAACAAGAGGGCTAGCCCAACAGCATTACAACACCATCAATGCAGGTCGTCCTGGGGAACTACAATGCTTAGTGCTTCACAGTATCCGATCCGTGATACCACTACGGTCCCGGCTTGAGAAAAGCCAAAACTCACTCCGTATCCTGAGTTTGCTACCTAGGGGCGGTTCCGAAAAGGATTGGACTCAATTATCAACACTTGCATTACCGCGTTTGACGTTTCTTCACATCAAAGTAAGCGACATCACAACCACCGAGTTTTTACGCGACCATTTCCCTGCCATGCTGCGTGGTTATGATAACCTTGAAACGCTTGTCCTGGAAAGTTACAGCGATCAATATCAGCAACGCATGCTAACAGATGTGATCTTCGGTGCGGTCGCAGAATTACCAAACCTTGTATGCTTGCGGTTATCACATATTGATATAAGAGGTCGAGGATTCAGTCAGTTGCTACACAATCATTCAGTGTGTCGTCGGACTTCGTCATTACGCGAACTCGCGCTTCATCACTGCACAGGAGTGACCACCAGTATCTTGCACAGCGTTGCTGCCAACAACAACTTGAAGAAGCTATCGATATACCAACCCGATCAACAAGTAGCTACTTCGGATGTCACAAGCTTGGTATACCATCAGATGCATCAGCTCGAGTCTTTGGAGTTAGGATTGATGCAACTTACCGATGAAAGCGCTGCAGATATTGCAGGTTGCAAAAATTTAGCATTTTTACTACTTTACAAGATGAATGGAGCAGGAAAAAGACGTGTTGATCAGTTGCTGAAACCGTTCATTAAGCAGGTGGTCGTGCAATGGCGATGATCCTGTGAATGGCATCCTCATCTGTAGCATCAATAACCCAAAAAGTTATCCAGCCATCATCAATTTGTAATTATCCATTCTTTGATACTGTATGTATTTCAAATTTTTGCATATACCATTGTATGATATACATTTTACATATATATATATATATATATATATATAATACAGTATTTATGCAGATACTGTATAAACATACAGTATATTACATTTATGGTGATTATTTTTGGTTTATTGTGATATACTTATGATGACTTTTCACTGTTGACTTTTCAGTGTTGGAAAAAGCATTAGTAGCAAATATTATTTACATCAGTGCAGCAGCTTCTTCGTCTTCAGTATCAATGTCCAGCCGGTCTCCTTCATTATCGACAAGTAGTCTATCATCAATTGGCTGACGCAGTCGAATCTCTTTTTCCATCATCAAGCTAACGATTTCATGGAGCTCTTTTTCAGATAACTGTCGCGATAATAACCTGATGCCTAATAGGCAGATTTCTACAAAGGGGAGTATAATGAATGATGTCAACCATCTCTTAGAGTTTTCAAGTTATATTGAGACTACCGGAAGAAATATAGTAGATACCTTTTGACCATGGACATGCACGAATCGCACGGTAGAAGAGAGACTTGGCCCGAACAAGTTCACCACACTGAATTTCGTGCTCAATGTATAGTTTCCACAATAAAATCGATGATCGTGTGCTGTCCACGACGAAAATAAAAGATGTTATTATCATGATATTAACTTCCTCTTAACTACAATGAATATGATCTGTGAGGCACTTACTTTGTTTTTTCGATCGATGACTCAAATAAGGACCGTACTTGATTAACGTCATAAGGTTCATGGTAATGGAGCTCCGTTCGTATAGATGATAACCAAAGAATGACATTAGGATCGCTATATATGTAATTTGCATTTTAAATGTTAGTTTTATGTTCTCCACTGCACAAACATACACGTGTGCGTACTATAAATTATTTTCTTTACCTTTCGAGAGATTTAGCAAACATGGATCGGACCCTATTGTACAGCTTGGTTTTTGCTTCGTTCCATACGTAAAGACCAATGAAGACTGTGTTGTTGGGGAATAGGATGAGCGCCCGATTCAGTAAATGTCGAAGGTGTCCTGGCTTATAACCTGCTCGACGGTTCATGGCAACGTTTTGAAATGTCAATTTTGCATATGCGACCCATAACAACTCGCTTTCAAAACCCCGTTCTGCATGACGTTCCTGAATGTACTCTAAGGCATGCTCAAATTCATTGGATGCTTCGTTGATATCTTGCGTCAAAAGTTGAAAGAGTGCGTAGCAGATAATGTAGTGATATGCAGCATCCATTTCGTTCTCTGTGCCTGCTGTCAGCTGAGATAATTGACTTGTTTTTTGTGCATAAAACTAAAAATACATGTTGTGATTAGCGCTGTCGCTAAAGTCGCAGAGAAAAATGATAGCAAAGTTACCCTTTGTGCTCTCAATAATTGTGCACTTGACGGGGTTGGTCCCTTTTCATCTAAACAATAGAATTATAGAACGTATGTGTGAGCAAGCATTTGAAAAAGGAAATTGGTTGCTGTTTTTCTCATCTGCGCTAGCTAACTACAAAAAATTCGCTTACCGTAGGATTCGTCAGTACCACAAGCAACCAATATTTTAAGCGCTTCATCGGACCGACCCTCTTCCCATTCTAGCTGTGCAAAAGCACTGTAGACTAATGGCACCATGACTTGATCTTCATTGGGAAAAGAGCGATACGCAGCTAGAGCGGTCTGATATACTTTGCGTGCTTCCTTTAGCTTTCCATGACTCTTTTCCATTTGCGCATATGCATTCCATAAGGTTACGTTTGTTTGACGATCTTTAAGCAACGTTTTAGCTACCCTCCGTGCACTAGATATATGCAAATAATGCAATCGTATTTGTTAATGATCCCGATACTACTATGTGCGCAGATAGAAAAGAATCCGCACCACATTTTCAAAATCTGAGATAACAAACTCTTACCTTTTGTTCGCATAGCTTGATTCAAATGATATATAACATACTGCCAAATGATTGGTCCACTTCAACGCGAGAAGCTGTTGGAATGCATTCCTATCACATTTACAAGAGGTGAGGTCAGTATCTCACATTATAAATTTTTCTATGAGTGATTTAAATCATATAGAAACAGCTCATACTACCTTGTAAAATCTGCTTCGAGTTGGTTGTCCACATGGCAATTTGCCACACACGAAAACCAATGATCATACCGGGCAAATAATTCTGTTGTACCGACAGGATATGAAACTGGATAATCGTAGGGTTGTCGATCACTGGTAACGCGTTCAGACTCCATGGGTATACCATCGATATATGTAAGCAACAATGAACCTCGCAGTTGTTGTTTAGTAGAGGGCCAGAATCCATCCAATTTCAGCTCATTATGAGTGAAAGTGTCCACGCAAAAATGAGTATTGGTACCGACGCCAGGAGGCGTGAAAGGGAGCCCCAAGAACACAAAAATACTGTATATGAGACCTTGCCGTGCTTCACCCGTCGTGATGTTGAATAAAAATTCACGGATATCATCTGATAATGTAATCACATATGGATCTTCGTCAACAAGTTCTGGCGGAGCATCTAGAACGGAAAATCGGGTTTTAGCCTTCTTGATCGGTATCAAAACTCCTGATATGCTAACTAGCAATCTTTCTTGAGAATCAAAGGAGAAACGCGTACTTTTCATTTTCATGGGAAGGCGGCTATTCCGTTCTTTGGATTCCTCTAGTCGCACCCAATCTACCAGGCTATAAACTAAATTTGTGGGGAAAGGATAGATTAGCATATATATATTGTTGACAAAATATTATACAACCCCAGATTAAATACCATCTTCAACATCCTCCGGCTCCGGCGATTCGGTGTTCTCGCCGACTACATCCTCTTCTTCAACTACAAAAGTAAGTACATATATTCAGCTACTTCATATCGATTTGCTTTGATAAGGTTAAGCTTACCATATTTGGTTCGATAGTATTCTTTCCAGCCTTTTGCTCCCTAGCAATAGATGCAATAAGTACCACTTTCTACGGCGGGGAAAAGTAATCACGCTCGCTTGTCTATTTCTTTTACCTTTTCGCCAAAACGAAGTACTTCACTATCCCAAAAGTCAGAAAATTCGGCAAGCATATCTTCGAAAGTGATGTCAAGTGACATCGAAAAGATTCTTGGTGGGAACAAAGTAAACTCCACAACAGCTTGCAGCGTTCCAAATCCTCTTTCATGGTAACCTAGTTATATACAGTAACAAATATCCTAAGCACTTTCGCTTTTCTTCATCTTTCTATTGCTATTCTCATGTGCATAATGTCCCTTCTTCCTTAAACTGCCTTTTCTTTTATCCAGATATTTCACTTTACCAGCCTGCTTCATGAACAAACATGCTCTTAGAAGAACATAAACCATGACAGATTCAATATTCTCTCGTGCTATATATAAAAATCATACGGTTCAGAATGCGTTTCGAATCAATATTTCCGATCAATCCTCTGTTTTTGTAAAGTAATTTAGAAAATAAATTTCTATCCCCATTATACTTACCTTCAAGATTATCCTCATTTTTCCGAACCCCTTGTAGCCTGCGTGCTAACTTGTTGAGAGTTGAAATGCAATCCTCAAACACTTTGACGCATTGTGAGAACGAAAAGCTAGAGAAATTGGTTTGTCTGAGGTTGATATAGTCGGCCCAGAGTCGAATCGATTCGGGACGAGCCTTCAATGCCTTATCCCAATGTTGTAGCAGCGTAAGCGTACTATATCGTAAAAAAAAAGTATAAAGAAAAGGCGTTATTAATATGACGATAACAAGAACGGTTGTTTGTTGCCGCCATCTGCTTTTGGCATACTTGTATATGTAAAACTTACTCCCATATTTCTTCACCACAAGCCAAATATGCCGAGAGAAGCGTCTCGTCACTAGGGTTGGCTTCCAGGGCTTTCTCAAAAATGGCCATTTTTACTTCGTTCAGACTAGACTTGTTAGCCTTGGAACGGAATTTTCCATCTGCACCGACGTTTAGGCCTTGAGCAGCCTCATCCTGAAACGCAATAAACTCCATCCAGGCTTCCACATCATGGCGATCCTATATATGTAGATACAGTTACGCGAACACGGTTCTTTTCATGTCAGCTATATCTCCAATTTCTACCCATGTGTGCCATTCCCATGTAGCAGTCAGTACAATATATTACAACTACACACGAACCTTGTCCACTTTTCTATTAAGCTCAACAGTACGTCGACGAATGTATTCGTCAAAGCTTTCGCCTTCTTCTGTAGATTGTTCATCATCATCAGATCCGGCAGGTTCAGTGGCATTTGGTCCTTCAATGCTCCGATAATCAACTCCACTTGATATTACTTGGTCATTTTCGTCTTTTCGGGGGGTTTCTCCTCCGTCAATCCGTATGAAGTTTATATCCTTTTCCGTCCCTATATTTGAGCCCGGTCGTATACGGAGTCTAAGGTTTATACATTGTGATAATTAGGTTACATTATAAATTCATCTATTGCGTATTTTTGACGCGAGACAGTTATTGTTCGTGTAAGCAAACCTTTTCATATCTTTATCTGTTTCTTTCCAAGTATAAGCTGCATCTGTATAACGTAGCAACTTCTACAGAACAAAGTAGGATTGCCATACCGTTAGCGATACGAGCAATTAAAAATATAAACATGTTCTTATACTACGTTTATTTACCTTCTTACGAGACAATCGTGACGCGATGATTTGCAACGTTCGGCCTGATGTTGCACTGGCCTTGTCAATCTTTACAGATGACGATAATCCAATGACATATCCACCTATATTTCACCAATACATATTTGAATAAGATTTTTAAATTTGCTCATCGAGTTCATCGCATCTAATACTCGTGTAAAGCACGTCCTTGCTTCGCTTCTTTCTTCTTTACCTCCTTCACGATGGTAACTTGGAACATCGTAACTATGGAGCCCACCATACGTCAAGTTATCCTTATCGCCTCGCTTGTCGACTATATATCGGATACCTGTTTTCAGCTCACCACTAAATTATATCTTAGCTCTTCCTGTCTCTCCTATTTGTCCATTTTATATAGAGTTACACGCAAGAAATGAATCCGACTACTCACGTCAGTGGTATGGGTGATGGTGAACGTCGAGACCGCCTCTGCATGAAAGGGTTAATTTCTCTCTTTTCTGTTGTAAGATCGAGTATGCAATATATGTGTTATCAGAGTAAAACAAGATAAGTGTACCTCACGCGAACGAGGGCGTTTACTGCTGCGACTATGTGGCGATCGTGTTCGGTGACGAGAACGACTTTCGGGTGAGCGCGATCGCCGACGTCGCGAAGAAGATTGTTTTTCAGGTGTACGTGAGCGTCGTCGTCGAGAAGAATGCTTTTCCGGTGTACGTGAGCGCCGTCGTCGGTGATGAGAAAAAGAGTGCTGTTTCTCGGAAGAACGTGATCGCTGACGATGACGGCCTCGTTCCTTCTTTTCGGTTGTTTGTTCGCGTTTGTGCTTTTTATGTTTGCGTTCTTTTTTCCTGCTCTCGTCGTCAGCCAATTCTAAAAGTAAAAGTTTATTGATATTCAAAGCAGCCGCTGCTAAGTAAGCGTTCGTTTTCTAGCAGAGAACGAGAAAGGGGGCGTGTGTTTAAAAGTACTAATAACCTGACAGATCTGGTGCACTCGAAAACGAGGGTACTGCAAAACCCGTTGAATCGTTCATGTCTGGAGCAGTAGAAAACGATGGTGGAGGTGGTATAGCCCTATGCTATTTAGTCATATGTATACACACATTAATTAGTTTTAAATGTTAAAGGGGGACAGTGAATTACGAATAGCAAAGAAAACTACCTCCTTAGAACTCATGATTCAGATTGATCTAGTATATTTTAAAGAGAAAAAGAGGTCTTCAACGTTCCGAACTGCGTGCGGAATTTGCATAAAAATTGATTGCCATCCCTCAATGTAGCTCAAACAAACGTACTCCATAACAGCATGGTTACCACATAAGAGAGGTGTATCAGTAGCTTTACAGTGCATAAAGCAGTTCGAAAGCTAGTATCTCGTTAGCCGATGTTTTAATAAGTTGTTCAACGATTGCCCAACTTCTCTTTGTATCTTTTTCTGACTTGGTAAATATAGAAGTCCATTCTTCTTAAACAATATGTGCCTGTAGTATTAAAATACTGATGGAACTTTGCATTACCTCGTAAAATTACTTTCCGTGCGAATTCTTTTTTATGTCACATCATGTTGGCTTTTGCAAATGCTACAATAGCATATAGTTTATGGCAGCATAAGTTGTTCGATGCCTGATGGAGTTATTGTTTAAAAGTCATAAGCGTTCATCACTATATCTATTATGTAGTTAGTATACCTTTTTAAACATGTAGCTTAAACACGAGACAATCTAGGTACTACATTCTGTATCTAGCTAGGTCCGTCCTCAACGACGCTTTCCTTACATCACACCCCAAAGAACACCATTTGAAGCCATCCAAATTACTTTTTCGGATGGATATATCCCATTGACATGCCCCATTCATACCAAAAGTCCAAGAGTGCCATCACAGGAAATATACGGTAGTAAATCTTGGTGGTTATTTTGATATATAGTTGCGCGTGCTACTAGATCCGTTTCGATAACTGTTTTTAATTTAGAGACTTGATTTGTGTGATTGTCGCTAGAAACAATATTTATTCAGATGTAGCGAGCCTACTCTGTTCGCATGACGATAAACATGTGGTACATATTGCGTGATATACTAAAGTTTCAGCAATGTAGCTGTACTTACTCACTGTTTACAAGTATGTAAGTGATGACAACAAGATAAAAACATATATACAGTGGATCCCCGCTAATACCATATTGGCATTTTCTATTTTTCCCCTGAAATGAAAGGGGGTGAATTTAGCGGGATCAAATAAATACCCTCCATACCACTGCTATAGTATGATTTTTACAAAAGAACTAGTTGATCGTCCCATACGTATATGTATATTATTACATTTCTGCATGTCTCAATTATTCAACCTACTCCAAAACGTGCGACTCTTTGAAATTTATAAGAAGTCTATTAACATTTCATCCATTGCTGAAGGCCGCTCATCTGTCATTAATAACTAGCCGATAAATAAGCGGTGATCACGTGTGTTAAATGAAAATGTATTAAGGTTTTAAGGCGGGGCTTGACTTGCACCTTACATCCATTTTCCATGTGGAATCTTACCAAAAAAGGTTCAAGTCGTTTCTGTCAATCCCGATGAGCTTCATTTAGACCTGAAGAGAAAATAATAATAACGGAAGCTCCAAAGGATAGGTAAATTAAACTTAAAAAATAACTATTATTATTAAAGGTTTCGCAAGAAAAAAGAGTAAAAAGTACGGAAGATGAGTGATGGTGGGGGGATATATTATATATACAGCAACAGGTAAAATAAAATAGAAAGGAGAAGTTTTTGTATGTGGTGTTGAGAAGGATTTAAGCCTTCAAATTATCGAAAGCGGTGGTTCTTCTACGTCGACACAAGCAATTAAAGGTGTACCACATTGTTGCAAGAGCAGATGCAATCATAGCGCCCAGCACCAGCCATGTTGCATTGCCAATTTGACCCGAGATTTCTTCTCCCGTAGCCGCATTCTGGAGCTTGGCAGCAGCAACGACAATAATTATAAAAATAATGAATAAGGCTCCCGTGGCCATCAACGAGACGATCATCAGGATGAACTCAGGAAGACGTTTGAAGAAGGTGAAGAGCGTGGCTTGCATGGCCAATGCGGTGGCCAAGAAGGCGATCCAGTACAAGATGAACAAAGCGAGGTACATGGTGTCAGGCAAATCCACCGAGAGTTGAATACCAAGGCCTTCAGCTTCGGCTATACAGAGTAGTGATATAACAATGAGATTATAGTGAAACTTGTTTTTGTTTCTGCAATATGATGTTCCAAAACTACACTTACTCCACTTGAAAGGAACAGATGGCACACTGCATTCATCGACTCCGCTGCCGATTTCACCATAGCAGCTTCCCCTAAGTACATTGTTTTCAATGAGAAGTCGTTGAGTTGACAGGGATCAAGGAGGCAGTCAAGTATTAGCGGCTGTATATCATACCATAAGCCCATACGAGTGAATCTGCCGTTCCATTCGACCTTGGCGAAAAAGAGATCACGCAACACAGGTGCGTTGCCTGAGCCGCTGATGAGAACGAAAACCTCTAACAGCAAAGCGACGAATGTTAAAAAGGTGGCTCCGTATTCTTGCTTCGACGTTGCCATAATGGTAATGTTATTAAAACTGATGTGATCGTGCCGCTGTTGTTGCTGTTGTCGTTAAGGAAAGTATATGACGATAAACAAACAAAGAAAGAAAGGGGAAAAAGAGAAGTAAAGTGGAACCCAACAGAAATGCCTTTAAACTTTAATATATTCGCTGATGGAGGCACAAGTCTAAAAAGGCGGTTTTGAGCGGACTGAATATTACTGTGTACGTCGCCCTGCATACCACATCCCACATATGTTTGTTGGAAACGAAATCTTCACTGCGAAAATCACGCTCAAATTGTTACACAGGAAAAGTGAAAAACAAGCCATCATCTCCTTTTCACACCGTTACAACACCTTCTGCAATTCGAACAGTTACGTGGAATCATCTTGGCTTTCGAATATCTTATTGTAGGGCTCCATTCTTCTCTCTTCTCTGCATATGCGACGATGTCACATTATCAGATCACCTCAGAGCGCATAACTATAGCGATGACCAGTCGGCTGTTGTGTATGATATAGATTGAGCAAATGCTATTGCTACGAGCATAGTCCATAGGAGCTTAGGGTGCTTTCAAGTCCGTCTTCGCAGAATGATGGCATATAATGTCGCGCTTAGAAGCGGTCTAAACTGCCCAAATACCTTTTGTCATTTTGATCTGCTACCATCAGACTGTGAAGTACTACGGAACGTTGGCCATCAAACTCAAGTGTGTGCAGTGGGTAACAGTGCCAGTTATTACTTAATGTAGTACCATTGGTGTTTTATTCTCCCATCTGTCCTCATTCAGGATATGATGGACGCGTGTGCATAATAAACATTGGCAAGTCTAAAAAGAAGACAGATGTTGGTGTCTCTTAACTTGGAGGAGCACATGATCGCATGCATGCGTAGCATTAACACACTTGATCCCTATTTCTGCTCAACGAACAACGCACTAGGGTACTGACAAATATGATGGAACCGTTACTGGGAAATTGCATTATAACTAGCTTTTTTATACTATCATAATTAAACTAGAAATCTAACATACTTTTAAATAAGCTACAGTGTAGATCAAAGAATAAGTTTATATATAGAATGTAGTCCAATATAGCTCAACCAAAAGTGATGCATGTACTGTGAGGTTTCAATATCAGTAACTAGGAAATTAGCAATTCGCATTTCAAATAGCGTTTTTTTAACAAAAACGCGACTTTCGTTTCCTTCGTTCACTGATCTCCCGTCTTTCTAAAAAAAACAACAATGGAGGAAACCCAGGATATGATTGACGAAGTGAAGCAGCTTTTAACGCTTGCACCGGACGATGCCAGCTTACAGTCTTTGCTCGATCAGCTGCACTTGACTCTCAATGAACAACAAGAACAACAACAAGAAAAGCAGCAAGAGTCTTCAAAAACAGAATCATGCGTGATACCATTCTCCATTGACGGTCACTGCTATTTGCTTCCAGCCATCGTTATAAAAAGTGATGATGCACACAGCACTGTGTTTGTCGTTACGCCTATTACACAAACAACTATACCGTGTTCTGCATTCCTTAGCGGACAACCTTGTACTTGCACAACACACGGCATGACCATCCCTACTGACGAGCTACTGCCCATGGAAGCACTGATGCAGGACGATTACCATTTGGACGACTGTGTATGGGTCAAAGATGATAACAGCGGACTCTATGTCAAGGCAACGGTAGAAGATCATCTAGCAACAGGCGAATGGCGAGTGCAAATCGTTTCTACGCGTCAAAATAAAACAGTCAGTGCTTTAATACCCGTGAAGGATTTGCTAAAAGAGGAATCACCGCAACAAATGGACAACGATGACGAGGAGAACAACGAGGAAGACGAAGTATCAGATCAAGAATATGGTATCAGCATACTTCATCATCATCAACAACAGTCGGAAAATTGGGCGAGCTGGCAGGAACACACCACTGGATTTGGCGCTAAGATGCTTGCCAAGATGGGATATGTTACAGTAAGTTTGTATGAGCCGTTTGGATTTCGAGACATAAAGCGCGTACACGCGTTGTGTGGATTTCGTTTATAGGGACAAGGGCTCGGTCGAGGAAATCAAGGGCGAGTGGACCCAGTCCCAGCAACCAAGCGGCGAGCTGGAGATCGGGTTGGACTAGGTTCTTTAGCTGGCATTGCTTCTAAAAAAGAAACAAAAGTAATCAACAAGAAAAAGCAACAACTGAAATCGATACCCCGTCGTGCTGGTCACCAGGATATGTTTGCCACGATGAACAAGATGCTTGTCAGCGATAGTGCAACGTCTACTACTGCCTCCATGTCATCATCCTCTACCTCATTCAAGGAACAAGAACACAATATCGCTACTATTGGAAGATCGACAGCAGATCCAAAGTCAAGCCAGCGCGATTTGGCAAAACTGCAAACCAAAATTGCTGGAACAGAAAACGAGTTGGCTCGAGCGATGGAAGCGATACGTCGTAATAAGGGAACATTGACGGAGAATCAGTTTAAAGATCAAGCGAAATTGATCGGACAGCGATTGGATGGACTTAAAGCACAAGCGAGCACATTGCAGGGCAGTATCAAACGGACCACAGATCGAGAAAAGATGTATACATTTTGAACGATAGCATGTCGTCCACTCATACGCATTAGATAATACATTTTAACATTTAAAGTCTTTTTTGTGATCTTTATGTGTGTATGAAGTGTATGAAGGGAAGGGAGTTGCTGACAGTACAGATCTTGCTTGTGAGTGGCGTGCGTGTATATTATTGACAGTGTACATCATTTGGAATAATTAGGGAAGAGTACGAGACCGGATAACCGTGATGTGGCGTAGTGTGAATGTGTGTGTGTGTGGGGGGGGGGCATAATGTAATCATGATGGTGGGGTTTTCTATATTATTCATTTGGTGGATAAGTCGACTTCATCACCTGCAACAAACACGCGCTTGACCTGCACTTCGCCAGTAGAATCGTCAAGGAACACAAAGTCTGCGTCAGCACCAACGTTCAGAGTACCTTTTCGGTCAGAAATGCCAAGCAGCTCTGCAGGATGCAATGTGGCAGCCTCGACGGCTTCTATTACAGTACAGTTTGTGAACTTTTGGAACTTTCGGATGCATTCATCGATCGTTACAGTGCTACATGGTCGGAATGACAATTCAGTTGTGATGCTCCTGTGATACAATGCTTGACGTCCACCATCCTTCCGCCCCCCAAGCTATGACGTAATAGTTATCTTCTTTACCTTCCTGCCAATGTGCTCGTGCCCTTGATGTAGGCAGCACCATTGTGATCGACAGCAACATCACGACCACCAAGGGAGTACGTGCCAGCAGGTAGACCCATGGCTGATAGAGCATCCTATTATTGCACTCTTTAGTCTCTTTCCGTTCCTCTAAACTTGTATTAGCCCCACACAATCTGCGCTCCAACTTACAGTAACCAAGACAGCTCCGGTCGGATGCGAATAGTAGGCAATACGGACGGAGTTGGGATGGACATGGACACCATCACAAATGATACCGTAGAATGGACGAGGATCAGGCTTGGTACGGCAAGGGGAAGTGTCAGAGGGCTCGGGATGGCCTTTGGATGATTCAGGAATGGGAAGGTCAGCTGCACCCAGCACACCGATTAACCCAGGGTCACGATGGTGAAACTAAAAAACGAAACGAGAAACAAGAACACATCGATGAGTTTTTCTCCTTTGCGCAACTGTTTTACAGCAAAGGAGAGAAGACGACAGTAACGACTTACAGCTTGCATGGCATTGAACAGATGGGTAATGCTGGTTGCACCTTGGACAACGGCTCGTTCAGCCTCGGCGATCTTGCAGGCGGTGTGACCCAGCGCCACCTTGACACCACGGGCAACGAGGTCAGGGATGGCATCAGCAACACCACTCAGCTCAGGAGCGAGCGTCATGATACTGACTGCCTCGCTGCCCTTCTTGAGCTCAGAGCCATAGGCGTCGTCAAAGTCCTCGATGCCGTTTTCAGCGGTTCGGAAAACGGCCTGCTTGTGCGCACCCTTTTTTTCGACGGAAATGAAGGGTCCTTCCACATGGGCGCCGAGAATTTCCGCCCCGCCAGCAGCTGAACCCTTGCGGGCATTCAAGTGGGGCAATACCTGAAACAATTTTTTTCAGTACTCGTTCTCGTTGTGTGTGTATGTATGTGTGTGTGTGTGTGTGTGTGGGAAGTCTACCTTTTGATACACTGCTGGTTCAGAGCTCACAACCGTAGGACAGAAAGAAGTGCATCCATACTGCAGCAGTCCCTTGGCAACGGTGTCGACATCAGCTTGGATCTTTTCATCGGATCCCTCATGGTCGGCAAAGTCAATGCCATAGGCACCGTTGATTTGGGTATCAATAAAGCCGGGAACAACAAGCATGCCCTTGGCATCGATGATCTTGTCAGCCTCTCGCAGATGGTCAAAGAACAGGTTCTGTGGGTTGATGATCTTGCCGTTCTGGAACCACAGATAAGAGCCCTCCACGATCTCATGGTTCATCAACAGTCGGGCATTGACAATCTTGTATATGGGGCTGGAGCAGCACTTTTTGTCGTTTTGAATGGGGCACATGTTCAGCTTGAGATGTGTGGGCATGTGGAAAAAGTGCGGGATCTGTTTTTTGGAGCGGTAGTAAGGAAAGAAGAAGAAGAAGAAGAAGAAGAAGAGGGAACGAGAGAAAAAGGGCAAAGAACAGGGTGCAGCTGGAAAAATTACTGCGGCGGACTTTTGACGATTATGTAATTTTCCAGGGTCCCCAAATCGAGCAATCTGAGTCACTCACACACAAAGGTGAGAAAAAAAGGGTCCCTGATGACGAACGGGGTTTTGTTGACTAAGCACCCCCGATTGTTCAGGCAGCTAACCGAATAGGAAAAACCTGTTGCTTATACGATTATCCAGGGTCAACGACTTTTTTGTTTTCTCTCTCCCTCTTCGAGTCTCTCTGTCTGTGCGCCTGCAGAAACGTCATTGATTGCACGCCTGGGAGCATCTTGTGATTTTTCTATTGGCTGATCTGTATTTTAGTTTTGATCACCGGCTTTGCTGTTTTTCATCATCTACCCCAAAAAAAGCATGCCTGCTTTCATTTGATTTTTACACAGCACACAATCTCTATTCGCAAGCTGCGCCTTTCCTCCCGGTCATCAAATCATGACACAGTTCTGTCCAACAATAATAATGTTGTAGCAACGACAGTGCATTCATGAACACACTATAATATTCTTTTATATAGCTTATTATGTAACTCATTTGTATCACTGTGGTAATGAGAAAAATTAGTCAAAGCCTGTTGTTTGAAAATATGAGAAAGATGGTTGTATCATCCGCGATATTCGCTAGAATAAGGGGACATCGCTACAACTGTCAGAACGCCCTCTGCTGGTCCGTTTTTCCTATGAATTGCAACGTCCGAATGGCCTTGGATACACCATATACAGCGGAACCGCCGAAAGGTTGCTCGGCCAGCCATACATGTTGCTGGTTGTTGCGAATCGGATGTGATACCAGTTGTTGCGTGACGTTGCTACATAAAAGCTTCGTTTGTGATGCGCAGAGCGTTTTCCTTTGCATTGGATTTTGGTCTTTCGCTTGATTTTTTGTTTTGCTCACTTCATCTTATCAGCGATTTTAAGTCGCCATGCCGCCAGGTGATGAACGTGACACGCAACGGAGGTCATTTACAAGCAAGTGGAAACAATGCCAACACAGCTGGCGCTGCTACTGATGCTGTTGCTGGAGTCGTCATCAACGACAGGTTGCAGTTTCCGTACGAGATTCTATGTTTGTGTCCTTAGCCAGCTGGACATTGATTCTGCGTGCAGGTGCACCAAGATCTGTTGAGCGTGGCGTACATACCAGAATAATAGAATGCCATGAATCATGATAAAGGTTATCTAGTGGGCAATGTCACTGATAGGTGCTGTATGTTCTATTATCGTACTAGTCCGCTCGGACTACCTTGATGCTCAACGGAACTGGTTTGAATTAACACTAGACGTAGGCCCAGGTATTGACAGTTTGACCTAATTGCTAAAACGGAGCCTCCTTAAATGTCGCTCCAGTAAACTTCATTTTGCCCTTGTCACGCAAACATGTTGGATGAGTAGTTGCCCCTTGGGAGAGACCATGACACGTCAATAAGGGAATGTATTCAAGTGGGAAAAGCTTGAACGAATGATGTGAAGGTCCCGATAGGTGCGTCCATAATGATTTCACCAAGCATAACCAGCAATTCGACATGAGCACGTTGCTCAAGTGAACTTCGGCTATCACCAATGAAAATGTTGCGCTGTATAAAAGTAGCAAAAAGATGGTTAAAGAGAGACAGGTCGGCGAAGTAGAAGAAGATGCAAATGGATAATTTTATTCGTCTTTCTGATATGTTTATTGGAGTTTAATTGGTCTGCTGAAAACATCAGTAATTGATTAACCATATAATAGACGCAAAAATACAGCATAGGCTATGTAGTAACTGTATCTAGTGGAGAAAAGTGAAGAGCTGTACATCGAATACTGATCTTTTTATGGAATATATGATATATCATTTATATTGCGCACAGGAAGATAAGATACATACTTGTTGTTGAGCCTACCGTGTACAGCACCTTCTTCAGGGATGCGTGTAAAACAAGTACCATTGTGTGAGTAACTCTGTGAAGCACCATTTAAAACGCGCCGCTGATGATATTCGTGCGTTCTGCTTGGCACCATTTGGAAGCCGGTGTTGCTATTTGCCCTCGAGCACACTGGACAGAAGCACGCAACTAACAATTCGTTGCGATTGAGGTCCATTGTGCCAAAAAAAAAAGTAGAGATTAAGAGCAAGTCGAAGTGTCCAGTAGTAGTACAGAGCCCCTCTTATATTTTAATACATCTGTATGCTTCTACATATCTTCTACTATAACACATTATGCACTTCCTACTTTGTGTTTTTTCTATCACATGTTACACTCTCTGTAATGATACACATTTACACTAAAGAGTCGGGGGATATGGTTTTTGCATAACAAGGTGTAAACAATATGGGGGACCATGTCTATATTAACGTTGTAACATGCATAACTAAAACAAAGACGAATGTGTGAACCAAAAAAGCGGATGTCCTTTTACGTACGTAGTGATAAATAATATTTTGTCGATAGAGCCAACAACTGAGGCACCACGCGTACTTTCAGTAGTTCATGTATGTAATTATTATTATTCCTCGAGTCGTTTTACAAAGCAGAGAAAATGGAAGGAAAAAGAGGAGAAAGTTCATGTAAAGCATCAACACGCGTACATACATGTTGTACACACTGTATTGTCTTATGTATCGTGGACATTTCGCAGATGAACAGATTGTCGATGAGCTCTTTGCCAAGGTTGACGAATAACTGATTGAATCCAGGTGTGTTAATTGGGACATTAGATATTGGCGTCAATTAACAGACTGCGCCTATAGACCCAACTTTGAAATTGGTGATCTTGAAAGGTATGGTATGGTTTTGTAGTTTGGGTGAATGTATGGGAGAAAGCCAACGCGGGTCATGTTATGGTCCTTCATATTGATCACTTATACAGGAAGTTGCTGCTTAATCCGAAAGGAAACTATCAAACCTCTTTTGTCCCATGTACCTTCAATGGGAAGGGGATAGATCAAGACAAGGGCACAGCTTAAACGACAAGAAAGATAGCTATGCATGCGCTCAATTTGCGATTTGGTTATCCCATCCGCACTACTAATTATGTAAGCTATGGTAATGGATACTACTGCTCTTCAGGTTCGTTCGCTACATCGACCCCATGTATATGTGCATCTCAACTCTTATTCGCTTTATTAGCTGTTCGTCATAGGTTTACCTCAGAAGAAGACAATGGGGGTTTCTCTCGTCTCGTCAACTTTGATCGTATATATCAGCGTGATGATGAAACGAACGTGCTCCGTTACTAACACAGGGCCAAATATGGGTAAATGCTATTGTGCGCGTATTCAAGGATCCAACAAGCTTGCTGTGGCATGATTTCATTAGATAAGAGTGGATATATTGAAGCAGGAATTTGATCCTCACACTTTGCTCATTTTACTTATTTCCTTTCTTTTGATGCTATAGCTATGATTCAAAAAAAAAAAATTGATCTCGTAGGCATGGAAAATGCCGGATTTTCAAGATACCTCAATGTTTTATTGCAGCTAATTTTCCACACCAAAATTTTTGAATGAAGCACCCGCAGCAGAAAAGAGCATTCTCGCAGGACTACAACTATTTTTCTTTCATTTGCAATCCTCCCCTAAAGCAGTAGGTACTGTAAGGGAGAGAATATGTACATACCCACTTTGTCTAGCATCGCTGATTTTCCCGCGCGCCACCTCCACAGTACCGTCGTCGCTAAGTACCGTTACATGTACACCAGCTCGTCGATTTATGATGTCGTTTCTAGGCGATGTCACTTGGAGATAAACTTGCCGACTACTCCAGGCATCCAAAGCTGCATAGTGTACTTGCTCGTCAGTAAGTCGACCTTCCCAGTTGCCTTGTTGTAAATCCTTGGATAGACGATGTTGTACAATTGTTGCACACATATTGCCAGACTTTTGATCCAGTAATTAGTTTGCATTTGTACTCGTTGCATATTGTCAACAGGTCCACGACAATGGATGCTTGAAGGTCATTGAATTGTTGAGGAGAAGATTGTGAAAGCCGAGTGATATCATTTTCGATGTTACGCCCAACCTTGATGATATCTTTGCGATTGAGCAGCGTCCAGATAGCGTGTGGCAGATGATGATATGGATCAGCGACTATACGTGGATGAACGTCAGTACGAAGAGATTCGATTTGTGTTTCAAAAATCTGTTTATCGGCCTCGACTTTGTCAGTAAAAAGGATTTCTCGGTGACGATGGCCATGGGCAGTAAGACTTTGTAGCATGGCTAATCGCAAAAATTAGTTTCGGTTACTGTAATGCATCAGGAAATAAGCTACAGCCACGGAAAATTTGATTTTCGTTATGTTGTAACAACTTTATCTGTACCTTAGTGTTTATGTGATCATGAGTAAACTATAGCATTTTGCACCCATAATTAACCCTCTTTGGATAATACAGGAAGAATGAGCCTATAAGAGCTAACAGTTAGGAAGAAGAAGAGGCACCTGCGTTCGTGATTTTGAAAAGCAACACTTCTCAGTATAATATATTCACTTCTTTTAATGAGATTCGTCAGCTTGAAAAGGCGGTGCCTTATCCATTTCTTCTATATCAATTGAATTGTTGTGTTGTATTGTTCAGCAGTGTAGTGGACACGTAGTATTGGATTTTTAAAGTTCAATGCCTTGGTTGTAAAAAAAATTCTTGGACCCTTTGTCAGCGGACCAACGGTGAGGCGAAAAGAGGGACGATTGGGGTTACACAAAAGAAGGGACTGGACCAAGATTTGCATTAACTTCGTTTACGGCAAGTTGTACCATCGACTCTCCCACTCTTTCTTTATACACCTTCAATCTGCCTCTTTTCATATGATTAAATGATTAAAGAGTTTTGTTTTGTGATGTTTCAAAATCTTATAACAGCTTAGATATATTTCAAGCGCTG